TGAAAGAATAAAATTGAAATTCTTAATTTATAAAATCATGTAGGGGCAAAAAGGTCTTTTAGTGTTATACTAGGGCGCTCAAGGGAAATTTTTAGGGCGTTTAATAATCTCCCAGTAAAAATTTAGGTTATAGTGTAATAGAAATGTGCCATTGAAACCAAACCGGATGGATTCTTTTCTATGAACAAAACTCACAGTCTTTTCTATTTTCTTACAATGCATTATGGTATACTTATCGTTGTCCTTCATCACAACTTAATATGCTTGGAGGGGAAAAAAATGACACCATTGGCATTAATATGGGAGTAACACAAATGCCAACCGTTTGGTATTTTTTGTCTTCTATTCCATTAAATTAAAAAACCTGGTCGATATAGTACTACTGCAAATCTCAGCCACGTATGTTTCTCTAAAAAAAAAAAGAAGCCACGCATGTGACCCACCACAGCTGAAGTATACTTTTTTTCTCTTTTAATAATCTTTTATTTGTAGTCAAGCTTCTTTCGCTCACGTAAATCATAATGTGTTGATAATGGATTTTTTTTTTATTTACTTTTTGTTTTTTAAGATAACCATACAATCAAACTTTGTTGGATCATAGTCTTTGACTTTTTTTTTACAACCAATGCAATTTGCCACGATGATTTCCTTTTCACCTTTTTGACATTTTTGTCCCCTTCCTTCACTTTATTTTTGTATCAGTTGTTTTGGTTCTCCTCATTATGGTATTGAAAAAATATATAACAATAAGTTCTCTTTCAAGCAATCTATATTGTGAATACAATCAGTAGCGAACCAGCTGTTTGAATTTGAGGGCCAATTACATATTTATGGTCAAAAAATGAGGGTAAAAATACATGGCGGAAGGTGAACTATAACTAAATCTAAAGAGCCTTCCACCCGACTGGGGGGGACATGATTCAAACCTGTAATCTTCAGGTTCGGTATCTTTCTAGCCCCTCAACAGTTTCGCCACTGAATACAATTGAATAAACGAATTCTTTTTTCATATTTTTTCCCAATTATTCCAGTATAATCTTAAATAATGTTTATATCTGTCAGCAAAAATAAAACTTTTTTCTACGTCAAAAAACAGGATTTTTTGAATAATGGTATATCCCGAAACGACCATTTAGAAAAATAAATAATTGTAACCATAGGAAGCAAAATACCTTACGGTTCTGATCCTTTTGTATAATTAACTAGGAGATAAACATCGTGTCAACATCAAATCATTTTGGATTGTAGTTTTAATTTTGTGCTTATATATAATGAGGTGTAGTTATCGTTGGATGTAGCTGAAACCTTTTTTTTTTTTTTTTCCCTATTACAGCTTGACACTTGAAATTGGAGCAAACCCATCATGAAATTAGCGAGTTTGGATTGGGATTTTCGACCCAAATAAAAAATTGATTAGGTCGGACCCAACCCGCTTAATCTGTTTATTAAACGGGTTGGGTTCGAGCTGACTTGACGGGTTATGCGGATTACCCGTTTAAATAACTTTCTTACTAATTTTATTAGTTTCCTAGAGACATATTGGTCATTTTGAAAGTAAATATTTTATTACTCCTTTCGTCCCATAATTATTGTCTACTTTGCCTAAAAAATTTTGTCCCAAAATTATTGTCCAATTTGACTTTTTATGGATCAAGTTACACATTTGTCCTTAGTAAAAAACATTATCCATAAAATCTTAGTGGTTAAGCAATTACTTATGTAAGGGTATATCCGGTTGTTTAAGGTAAAATATAGTTAAGTTTGACAAAAAATAAAATTTTTCATTTTAGTAAAACGGGACAATTATTATGGGACGGAGGGAGTACTTTTTTTTGGAACATGTAATATTTAGCTTTTGGATGATGGATATTTTCATTTGGATTGTATTTTATCAAACGATATTTTGTGCGATATTTCATAGATTTGGTTATGATCATGCCTAAAATTAGTTGTGTTACTTTAATTTGCATTTTGAAATGTGGAGAAAAAATAGATTTTTATCAAAAAGAATTCATAAGTTTTACCATGAGAAAAAAATTAATTGGGTACCAACAAAAAAATTAAAAATATTCGGGTTAAACGAGTCCCAACCCGAGTAAAGCGCGAAATAAAAGATGGGATCTAGATTCAAAAATCTAACATGTTTAATATATGAGTTGTTTGAACTAAGGTAAAAATTAAACAAGTTGGTCCAACCTAACACGTGGACCCGGACCCAACCCAAAATTGACATCCCTACTTGTGAGTTTACTTCAAAAGATCTGTAATTTGCATAACTTTACTAAGAAAATTTTTTGTTTCATTGAAATTTATCTGTCGCATCATGAGAAACGAAGGTGACTCATCAATAACTAAATACATTTGAGAAAAAACAATTCTGTTTTAAAAATTATATTATGCTCACTACAAGTCTCGACTTCCTTAGCTCACTCGTATTATTTCCGACTATTGTCATATGGATCCAATTCAACATATTTTTTCTAATAACAACAAGTTAATGTCATTACGTACTCAACAAGAAAAAAGTAAAGCTGGATCGTACCAAGTATGTACTTCAAATTATTTTAAATTAGTACTATTAGTCTGACCAAGTCTTAAATGTATTCAACTCAATATATGAACGATTTTTTTTTTATTTCTTTCTCACCTCATAGCTGCAATGCAATGGATGAGCTTTGAGAAAAACTGCAGGGAGTCCGTGTTCCAATTACATAGTCAGATAATAAAATTGCGGTGATCATATTTCATTTAGAGGGTAATGAAATTTTAATAACTATATATAATACATGGGTGTTTTAAACTTTATTGTTTGTTAGGTTTTTTTGATAATATTTTCAAAATATTTAAATAATAATTGTCCCATCCCAACATACTTTTTTACATTTTTAATACACTTTTTCACATTTCCAATACAAAAAACACCTAAAAATACAAAAACGAAACAAACATACTTGTTCTCATCACTTGATTTGTTTGTTTCACCTTTTTTGGGTCCAAGGATGTCCATCTTTATTGGGTTCAAATAACACTTTCAAATTCTACTTGTTGACTTCTCAAGTCTTACTGATTTGACTGTTATGGCTTTCAGTTTCAGGTTTTCAAATGAAAATTGTTTGGTAGTCTCCCATTCTTGATTTTATCTTAGAGGACAGTTTGCTTCTTCAAACAGTGTTTTGTAGGGTATTACATGCATTAAGTTTGTACTTTCACCTAAATTAGTTAATAAGTATTGCACCAATAAGGCTCACCACAGTTTAATATGTGTATTTATAATTAACTATATACTAGTATCTTAGTGAAATGATCATACTGTGTTTTAACATGTTCCTGACATTTAAATAGGGTTACATTTTTTTAAAAAACAAAAGCTTAATAACAAAAGTACCACAACACCCCCAAAAAAAAAAAAAAAAATCACCTTCAAACATGAAATCAAATTCAATACACGCAAATATATAGTGGATGTTCGTAATGTAGCTTTACCGATATGACTAAATTATCATTTTTCTTTTTAACTATTATTCTCGTTTCATAGTAATCACTGATTCAAAGAATCACTCCAAACTTATCTGCTCAATAAATCTTAATGTTCATATTGATTTGGGACGGAATAAGTAATTTAATGTTTAGTTAAATTTGTAGTCTACAGAATTAAGAACTTCCTTTCCCGCATTTATCAAATATAATAAGGACATAATGAAAATGTTACTCTAAAATTAAATAATGTAAAGTATTTATACAAAAAAAAAAAGAAAAAAGAATCCCTATAAAATTTAGACACAGTAGGCCAGAAACTTGAAAGGTTAGAGAGACTTGGTGCTCTTTTTGTGGGGGTGGGTGGGGGGTTGGGGGAAGTGAAACAAGTAGAAAGAATAAGGGCGTAACTGGAGAAGAGAACAATCTTTGAGGGGGAGTTTTGTAATCTAAAATTTAACGTTTATGCTGTGTTTACTGTGGCGTTCACATTTGACTTTTTGAAGTCTCGAACGCGGAGTCGGACAACACTTTTGTCAAATGTCTGACAAATAGGCTAATTTATACAAATAACCCCACGACATTTGTTTTGTACTATAAGTACCAAATCATTAATTTGGTTTAAGTTTTAAATTAATGCATTAAATGGTGCTTAATTCCGTGGTTTATAATTGATAAAATTTATTACTACAAGCTAAGCAATTAAGAGTAATAGTGAACTATAGAGATACAATTATACTCTTTTTTCGTCTTAATAAAAACAATCCAATTTATGTAAATCTTAAATTTGGGCTTATAATGTTTATACATATAAAATTTATAAAATTGCATGATACTCTATTAAAAAAAAATTAACTCCATATACTAACTCATTAAAGATTTTGGTTTTAAATTGGATTCATTTTGGGGGTGGAGTGAGAATTATTTTTTATTTTATCCAATAGATTTGTTAATCAGTATTATTTTATTAAAATATACTCTCTCGCATAGTCAAATATGAGTAATTGTAACAGAGAGTACTTGTTATTTGCACATCAATTTTATAACAAAACAAGGCGTAATATGTCGTCTGATAGTCTGATACTAGTTAACTTCTACTATTGGTGAATGGAGTTAATGGATTCCGATTCTAAAACATAACTACATAATCAGATTACACATTTATTTGTCATCTTCTCGGAATTTGTTCCTAAAAGCACAAAAGTCAAACACACATTTAAGAAATCTTTGTCTAAAAAGAAAATTGATCAGCAATCAAATATGTAAGAAAAAATTTTAATCTAGATAAGAAGTTCAAAATATTTTTAGTTCCATCTTACATAAGAAAATGTAGGAAATAGTGACTCACAACTGATCAATGAATTATGTTGATAAAGAATTCAGAAGGTCAAAGACCCCCGATTGGAGGGAATTACAAGTTTAGGGGTTATAATGTGAAATGTAAGAAAGCTTGAGGACTACTCTTTTGCATTTACTTCATTATTTAATTCAAATGAGGAAAAAAAGACAAAAAAACAGCCGTTGCAATTGGCACTATAGTAAAACACGCAGTCACGCACTCACACACTAGGAAGAGAGAGAGAGAGAGAGAGAGACAGAGAAAAGAACCGCAGACAGCCATGGAGTCGCGAGAGCTGCAGATTCGTACTTAATTGCCGAGTTGCCCCCTCTGGTTCTTCCTTCTCTGTAAGTTCCCTCTCTCCCCAGCATAAAATAAAGGAAGAATCTTTGTTGGTGGGTTTTAATTTTTTTTTTTTATAGCTTGTTTAATTATTATACCGTGATTATGAAAGAGAGAGAGAATTCTGACGAGTCAGAGAGAGGAGAGAATATTGTTGATGTTTCAGAGGATAAAGGTAAACGAATTGAGAACGCAGGAAATGGGTTTTTATTAGAGAAAAGCGTTGATTATTTTGGAGATTCGTCGGAAAATATTATGAGGAATTTTGAGGGTTTTGTTGCTGGTGGTGGTGGTGGTGCTTCCAGTGAGTCAAGGAGGACTGGGAATTCTGGTTTTCAGGAGCTTACTTTTAGCTATCTTTGTGATAATGCTAAAGATGGAGCTTCAGGGAAAAATCTATTGAATTCCTTTGAGAAAAAGGATTCTGATGGTGGCGCCTATAAAGGGAAAGAAGTTTTGGTTTCTGAGGATCAAAATGAGGAAAATAATAGATGGGTTGAGAGGGATTTTCTATGTTTGAATGGGAATAAAGTGAGTTCCTATAAGAGGGAGGTTGAAGAAAATTTGGAAAATGAGGGAGGAAAAAGGGAAAAGAAGACAAGGATGGAAACTTTAAATCTGTCTTTAGCTCTGCCCGATGTTTCTCTGTCAATAGCTGGGTCAAATCGAGTGCAGAATGGAGACTCTATGGCTCCAAACATTGAGTTCCCAGCTCGGCTGAGTTCTATAAGGAGCATCCAGTCTGTTGAACCTACAAACAGTAATCAACAGACTGCTTACTCGAATGATTTCACTGCAGCCTCGCTGTCGTACTCATATTCCCATCCTTATTCCCACAATCCCAGTTGCTCGCTTACTCGTAATTCTACAGATTACTACGAATATTCAACAGGGAGCCATAGGAGGGATCGTGATCAGATTTGGAATGCCGGGGAGGGAACTAATGGGTCAGTGCATAGTCGCTTTAGGCCTATTGGGGACGGGACCGTGGCATTAGCTAATCCTAGTCCCGGTGGTGTTGTGCTAGGGAACAACAAGGATACTAGTAACAACAGTTTTTACAAGGCCGCTAGTTCTGAAAACATCTCATTTTTCCCATCTGAGCTTCCTGCAAGGCCCAGGTGGGATGCTCAGTCAGGTGACTCAAGAGGAAAAGGGTCTGAGAATCTAGGAGGTTTCGAGAATCTTGATGGGGGAAGGGCTCGGAAGCTATCTAGGCCCGAGAGATTACTTCGGGAGATTGTCTCAGAGTCCATTCCTGTCATGTCTCAGCTAGTCCAGGATCTCCCTGAGGAAACTGTTGAATCTACAAAGGAGTACTTAAAGAACCTGATTGCAAAACCTGAAAGGAAGGATGAGCTAATTAGCCTTCAAAATAGGCTTGATCGAAGATCTGATCTTACCACCGAAACTCTCTCAAAGGCTCACAAGATTCAACTAGACATTTTAGTTGCAATTAAAATGGGTCTTGGAGTCTACTTATCAAGCAAGATTTGCCTCCCTTCTGCTGAGCTGGTGGATATTTTCTTACTTGAACGGTGTAGGAATATAAATTGCAAGAGGGTATTACCTGTTGATGACTGTGACTGTAAGATTTGCTCGACGAAAAAGGGGTTCTGCAATGAGTGCATGTGTCCTGTATGTCTTAAATTTGACTGTGCTTCCAACACTTGTAGTTGGGTTGGCTGCGATGCATGCTCACATTGGTGCCATGCCACATGTGGCATTGAAAAAAATCTGATAAGGCCAGGTCCTACCTTGAAGGGTCCGTCAGGGGCCACTGAGATGCAATTTAACTGTCTCGGTTGTGGTCATGCTTGTGAGATGTTTGGGTTCGTCAAGGATGTGTACATTTCTTGCGCCAGGGACTGGGGTTTGGAAACACTTATTAAGGAGCTTGAGTGCGTCAGGAAAATATTTCGTGGGAGTGAGGACAGGAAAGGGAAGGAGCTATATTTTAAAGCTGATGAGATACTTTCTAAGTTACAGAACAAGCTGATGTCTCCCCAAGATGCGTGCAATTTCATCTTCCAGTTTTTCAATTGTAAGCCTTATAAGCAAATCCTTTCTTTCTTTTCTATGCTTATTCATTTTATTTATAATGTTATTAATGCTTGTTATATACTTATATTTTCCAGTTAGCATTTGTGTCTTTTGTTGAAGATAAGTGTACTTGTTTGCTAGGGTTTGCTGTCTTGATATTTAAATGTTTGATCTTGTGATGACTGTACTCTTTCCTCAACATTATCCTGGGAAAATTATATGTGCGGTGCCACTTATGCATGAAAGTTCACAAGGGTAAAAAAAAAACTTTCTAATTTGGTACATGGTTAAAAAATTCTGGTAAACTGTTCATGCAGTTGTGTAATTTTTGATGTGCGGAATCATATGTTAGAAAAGTGGATTACCATTGTGTAGCATAAGGTCTGAACTCTGAATAGTGATTGAATAGACATGCTCGCTAGAACATTGGAATTCTTAGTGTTTTGCCATCATTTGCTGGAGGGAAAGGATATCTTGCTCTCTTTGCTTGCTTGGTTGCCTTCCTTCACCCCCACCTCTTCTTTAGGCGGTCGTTGATAAGGATTAAAAATAATGAATTCAGAGTGATGAGAGGATCATACTTCGGCCTGTTCTTGTTGCTGATAGATAGCATCAAAGTCGTCGTTGGTGTTGGGTGATATGATTGAGGCCTCTGTTTTTCTTAGAGCAGGTGTACATATACTGTGTCTGTTTGTCATATCTTTTCTCTTTGTTTACCTCATGTTTTTCCAGTGAGGACCAACATCACTATCGATAATTGTGGTTCTGAAACTTTCAAGCTTGTAATGATTTTCCCTATGCAACAACTGATTGCTACTAGATCAGAATTGGTTGTCATCTTGAAATCTGCCATAACTTTAGAAATCGTGTGCTGATGAAATGCTTTAATGTTATAACGTGGAAGCTAGTGTTTCAGAGGATTGAAAAGTAAACAAAATGTTATTTTCTCTTTTCTCTTTGTTTTTGGATGATCGAAATATAAGTCTAGAATATTTTATTTCTTTCCTTTGTTGGTGTAGACGTTGATGCCTATCCAGACTTCAGTACTTCCACCATTCCTTCCAAAGATGCACCTGTTCTCCCTAGTCTCAGAAACGATGCTTGTGCTGTTCCACCATCAAACTCTACAGCACTTAAATCCTCATTCTATGGGATGAGCTCTTCTAGCGGAAGAAAAGATTTATTGCCGGTTGATCTTTACGAGTCCGATGTAAGGACTCCTCCGATGAATGAAAATAAGATCGTTGAGGATGAATGGTCAGTGAAACCAGTGAAGAAAGATGGTTTCGACAGCTTGGAGAGCATTGTTGTGGTAAAAGAAGCAGAAGCCAGGATGTTCCAAAACCGGGCGGATGAAGCACGAAGAGAAGCAGAAGGCTTCCGGCGAATGGTAAGGATAAAGGTTGAGAAGCTGGAAGAAGAGTATGCTGAAAAGATAGCTAAACTATGTTTACAGGAAACCGAGGAGAAACGAAAGAAAAAGTTGGAGGAGCTCAAAGCTTTAGAAAATTCACATGGTGATTATTACAAAATGAAGATGAGAATGCAAGTTGAGATTGCAGGATTGTTGAAGAGAATGGAGGCCACCAAACAACTCTGGGTCTCTTCTGTTCCAATGTGAAGGGATTTTTATTTATTTTTTTTCCTGTGTTTTAAAGTGACAACATTATTGTTTTGCATCAAGCGATGTTAACTTGAGCTTGTAATTTTCCTATACTCTTTAGGGTTCTTCTTTTTGTTCATTTCCAACTGCAGGTTGACTAGTTATTTCAAATATGGTATTTGTGAAACTTTTTTTTATACTTGTATTTGTTAGTTTCAGAGCAGTGAAGTGTATAAAATCCATTACAGATGCCTTTGAGGGTTCAAGTAGCTTCTTAAAACAATTAAAACTCGATTTTCAAAACACATCAATAGGAAAAATTTTGTCTTGTGGTGCAGACTTTAGTAGTTCATTATTTTCATGGCTTTGACTTTTTATTGAAGGACTCGGTCTGCCTGGATGATTAATGTCTTTCTTTTCATCTTTCGTATTGGACTTGCTCAATCTTTTTTTACTCCTTCGGAGTTGGATGTCATTTTCAGGCATTTATTGTAAAGGCTAATAAAGATGACCTTAGTCCACCACCGATAATGGAATAGAACCAAAAATGTTGCCAAACAAAAAGAAAGAAAGAAATCGTATACATTGAAGGATACATATACGGTATACCCACACACAAACCAGGTAAACAAACTTGAAGAATTAATCCCTACATGAAACGGAACAAACCATTTAACCTAACACAGTTTATGTCGTAAGAGATCACGAGTTCAAATATGCTAGACGCAACAACCCTAGCCTTCCCTCGGAAAAAAAAAAGAAAAAAAAAGAGTGCTATAAATTAATGTTTAGATGGGACTACAATACTACTTCTAATAATGGGACAAATTACAAATCCACAAAATATGTATCAACAAATGAGATCCTACCATTTCGCACCAGAAGAACTGGTCATTTTAAGTGCTCTAATAAGACCTTGGAAGAAGAACGGTAATGGCGACACATGCTCCAAACAGAAACAAAAGCAGAGCAGTGAAATTGATGATGAGAGCTTCTTGATTCTTTCTCAAGCCCAAAAATGTGAATTTCTCAATGAGCCCAGTGATGGCAGTCAGTATCGCCATGGAGAAGATGACCAGGCCCAATAGCACGTGCCACGGGGCAAAATCTGCTCTCCTTGTTGAACTTCTTGCAGGCCACCAATATGTGAAAAACCCAAAAATCCACTGGAAAGAAACAACACAACCCAACATCATTTTTTGGTTTGAATTAAATTAAGTAATGCATAGGATGCTCAAGTTGGTCAAACCAAAAAGGGTGCGAGACAAATTCAAAATAGGAGGAGGAACAAACTGATTATCAGATGATCTCCGTTTAGTGCTAACATTTTTGTTCTCTACGTGTAAGAATGTTGTGTAAAATTGAAATTCTTTTTTTTTTCTTTTCCTTTAATCATAAGGTGTTTTGGGAAATGATCTGTTTGTTCATGTCTAATGATCTATTTTATCTGTCCTAAAATTATTGTTCAGTTCGGGTATTAATTTGAAATATAATTTAAACTAAAAATGAATATTAAAATTGGACAATAATTTTAGGACGGAGAGAGAGTAGTATTTTCTTTTGGAAAGACCGAGATAAAAAAAAAACGTCCTGATCATATCATCATCCTATTAATGAAGTTGACAACAAAGAAGATACCGAAAAGGATAAGAGCAACAAGGGGAGAACAAAAATTTAAGAAAGAAAAAAAAAAATTAGGATTTGAAAACCGGACATTGTAGATTACTGAATATGCCTTCAAGATAATTATTATTTTTCACTCAAAAAAGTTTTTAAGAGAACTTGGTAAAAAAAAAAAAAAAAATTTAGTATGTATTTACCTGGAGAAAAAATAAGCTGACGGCAGAGATCCCAAACCAAGAATGCAAGGAGTACAAATCAGGGATATGAAGATCATGATGAAACTTGAAAACTGCATATAACCCAACGATGGCTGAAGCAAGTGCAATTAGATGCAGTATCATGTGAGTTGCTTTGTGTCTCCTCCTTTCTCCTCGCACGGTTTTGTATGCCATAATAGCTGCTCCAAAACCCCCCACCAAAACAAAAAAAAAAATGTTGTTTTTCTTTGATTCTTCTGAAGAGGAAAATTTATAGTAACAAAAAAAAATGATTAAAACCCTCCTTTAATTTTCTTACCTTCTCCAGAGATCAAGATGAACCCTATGACCATGAAGAACGGGTGCAGCTGCAATTACGAAAAAACGAATTAATGTTAGAAACGAAAGTATGAGGAAATTAAAAGTATTCTTTCCGTCCCAGAAAAAAAAAAAAAAATCAGGACATAAGAAGTGACAAAGAATCTTGTTTTTAATTTAATGAATGATGGGGATAGAGTAATAATAGTAGTAAAGAAAACTTGCATTGAAAAGCTTGAGCTTGTTATGAGAGGTGAAAGAAAGGCCTTCTCTGAAATGAAGTAGCCAAACAAGGAGAAGGATGATAATTGCGAGGAACAACAAATGAGCAAACATCGTAATTGGGGTTGCAGAAGTTCGATAGGAACTGCTTTTTGGTGCCATAATTGTTAGTATTTGCTTCAATCTTTGTTTCCCAACTCTGAATATGAGCAAAACAGCTTTACATATGTATATATATTTGTGCTTATATAGAGAAGTTAAATTCAACAAAGCTGTTGGCCCATTATGTATGTTTTTTGGATTATTAAAAAAAGAAAAAGAAAAAAGAGAGTAATACTGCCAATTTGTTGACAGGTCTCATGCTTCATATATGAGGTAAGGAAATGAAAGCGTTTAGTGAATGTCGATTAGGCCAGCAAATATTGTAAAGATACACGGAAATTGCAAAACCTTATTTGGTAATCAAATATAGTGAAATTTAGTCTTTTGCGGAATCATGTTTTTGTTGTTTTGGTTATGTGTTTAAATCCAGTCCAACTTGATTGAAATAAATGGAGTCGGGTTTCGTCATTATAATCCATCTTTGGGATGTACGTATTGAATTCTTCCAAAGGTGTGGTGGCATTGTACTCACCGGAGAAGTGGTAATCAAAACCAATGATAAGATTCTTTTGCCGGACGGAGAGACTTTTGTGAAGAAAAAGAATTTTTCTTGTTCACAAATTGTGTGAGATGACAACAAATCAAATCTCAATAACCAAAATAAAAATCAGTTGGCAGCCGGCCGGCTAAGCCTTTAAGTCCTTAAATTTGATCGGAAACTGGAAAGGTCCGAATTATGCATATTGTTATTATTTATTTAGTGTTTTCTTCATTTAAGTACAAATTTCTTTGCTGCTAAATAACTTGTAAAGAATCCAATGAAAGCAGACAAGTTTGGTTAAAGAAAATCATTGCCCCAACAGGGTTTTGTTTTTACCATTTCCTGTCTTTTTCGGTTGGATCCAAATCTTTGAAAACCCCACGTCTTTGAAGAAATTGCTTCTGTTAAAAATTTGGTGGTCAATTCTTTCTGTGATCAAAGGGTCCAAATCGTGTGGAAATGATAACACTTGTTGGTTCCTGGAGGCTGGAGGGGGGTATTACATCATTTTTATAGCTTTTCCGATATTGTAAATTATCCGGGCTTTTTCTATACGTGACGGTTGCATGTAGTATCTGGGTTTTCCAGTGCTGGAACCAAACCGGACTTTCTCGAGGCTGATCTGATGTGTCCCCTTTTTACATTTTGGGAGTTTTGGAATGTTTCTTTCTTTTTCCAAAATCAAAATTTTTCTTACGTCTTTCTCTACTTTTTTACATATTGAGAATCCCAGTCTCATATTGGTACTAGGAGAGACTGAATATCAATATAAAAATACATAAATTACTCCTCTCATTGCCAATTAATTTTGAGGTTGTGAAACCTCATAGACTTCTGTATAACAAATATATATATATATATATATATATATATATATATATATACTCTAGTCGTCCCAAATATCTATTCTGATATTACAATATTATGATCATTTATTCTATGCTAATATTACAATATTACGATCATTTGGAAACAAAAGAGGTACAATCTAAACATGCGACAAAATTATATGCTTCCAAGATCACGAAACATTATAGTAGCAATTATTATTCTCTTTTTGTTGTTTAATTTTGTGTTGAACTGTTGCTGATTAAGATAGAGTTTCAGTAATTATCTGCTTTATTACTGAAAAGGGCTTTTTCTCTGGGACTACACGAAATCTATGGTATTAGTCATCAAACCTACAAATCATTCTTTTTGGAAAGATGAATTAAATTGAGCCCAGTGTTAAAAATGCTTTTGTAACATTGGGAAATTAAAAAAAAAATACTGGAACAATAAAATAAGAGATGTGAGGTTTTCACTTTTCAAGATGATGTGATATTCCTCATACTCATCCTTAATTAGGTTTCCTCGTTTGATTGATTGAGTGATGGATTGTTTTAGTCACTGTTATTGTGCGTCACCGTAATGTCATACTGTCGTCATATTTGGGCTGACTTAATCGCGGGCTGTGTTATGGGCTTAGGCGATCTAATTCTCTGGATGGGCCGACTTAATTCATCACGTCCATCATTAAAAAGGAACCGAAAGAACTGGAAGGAGATTGGAAAACAACAAGGAAACCTAATCCTAAAAGCTTGTGGAATTGAATCAATTGATAAATCAATTATAACAAAGAAAAAAATACACACACACACACACAAAAATTCACCGGTCTGCAGGAATCGAACCTACGACCAACTGGATTTTATGTATTTGTAGAGGTTTTAAACTATAGAACCATACTACAATCCCATGCTCTACCACTAAGCTAAGACCGGCATTCGATTATCCTTCTTATTTGCAAATCCTACAAACTTCCGGAATTGATACCATAAAAAGAAAAAAGGTTTTCTCCTATACCTATTATTATTATTATTATTATTATTATTATTATTATTATTATTATTATTATTATCAATTTATGTAAACTTTTATTTGTAGAACAAACTTGCAATCTTGTGCTCTATCACTTTTTGAGTAAAGAGAATGAACTTATAATACCGTGTAACAATCCAGTAATTATTAATGTTGCAAACAAACTAACGACTAGAAAAAATACAATCACCTCCGTCACTATGTTGTTTTACTCACTATGTTATTTTAGTCATTGTCTCTATCGATACTTTATTAGAAAAAATTGCTTCATTACAGTCTATTCATACATGACAATCCATGACTGTACATTTTTACATGAAAACCATATCCTTGATATATTCTCTTTTCCTTAGACTCATCAAGAAAGTAGTGCACCAAAATTCATACATATCGAGCAAGCGCGACAGAAAGATCAACCGTGATGCCAAAAAGAAGAATTGCAAGTCCAAGGAAATTAATCAATCTCGTTTCTGTGGAATATTGTAATTCCAAGAGGGTCACTTTCTCCATCAAACCAGTTTCAGCTGCGATGATTGCCATGTAGAAAAGTGCTCTACCGCCGGAAATGTGCCATGGAGCAGCCCTTGCCCTTGTTCCCGTAGTTGACCCCGGAACCATGAACGTGACCAGCCCAAATAACCACTGCAAATTAATAACATCCCGTTAAAATACGTGAATAAACATTGTCCCTATCATTATGCTTACTTAAAAATTAGAATATTGATAACGGTGATAATGTAATTTAATGGTTTACCTGCAAAATAAACAAGGAGAAGGTGCCAATTCCGATCCAAGAATGCAAGCTTCGCAAATTTGCGAAATTGGCCTTGCTATGGAACTTGAAAACTGCATGCAATCCGATGATTCCAAAAGCGATTGCCAACAAGTGAAGCAACAAATGGACTATTTTTTGCACGTTTCTTGGTGCTGGTACGGTCTTGTAAACCATCATTGCTGTTAAGTTATACAAGAAAAAAAAAAGAAAGAAAGAAAGAAAGAAATTTATTCATCATCAATTAAATCCAAACTGAAAAATAAAATGTCCAACAAAAAAAATCAAAATTTATAGAATTGGGTGTGTATAAGTTTACCTTCACCAACAAAAAATATGAAACCAAAAAACATCATAAATGGATGAACCTGTCCGAAAAAATAAAAATAAAAATAGAATCATATATTAAAAACAACATATACCGAAGAAATGCAATCGAAATATTAATTTGAAGTTAAAAGTTAAAGTAAATGTCTCATAAGAGTATAAAAATTATACTAAAAAAATACGTACATTAAAAATACGAAAAGGATTGTCGGAATCAAGATGAATGCCTTCGCGAAAATGGAGAAGCCAAACAAGCAAAAGAATGATGGCAGTAATGCCAAATAAATGAGCTAGAATTGTAATCCGAGTGGCCGATTGCCTATACACATAGGTATGCGTACTACTAACACCATAAGTATCCATCTCCTTAGTTTACTACTAGTCTTTTTTCACATATGGCGACTAAAGAGAAATTAGTTACTTATATAGAGCATTATTAGACGGTGAAATTAATAAGTTGTGTTCCCAGAATATTTGTATACTTGTAGTATAGTGTTATTGGGTTTGCTTCAGCTTCTGAAATTGGAATTTTTTTTTAATTTTTTGCTAGGAAGACTTGATACTTTAGTAAAGCACAAACACGTAACCATAAATTGGAATCACTACAGCTGGTGATTGATTCTTTGAACTATTGAATATTTGTCAATTTTTGTAACTTGAATCTGAAGAAATGGCAACGAGAAGTTTTACACACGCTGGACTTGTTTTTCCAGTGGATGAAGATTAATATGACTAACAACAAACGTTCACGAGAGTACTTCCCGCCATAGTTTTCAAAATTACGATCTGGATCTTAAAATCCTACGATCCTGCGATTCAAAATTAAGAAATCGATCATGGATCTTATGGAATACTTCTTTGTAGTGGGATCTTATAGAATCCTTCAAAATTCCAAATATGAATCGTAAGATTCTACGATCTAGCGATCCCATTGATTTTATCGATACTTATACAAATTGTTGATTTCATAAAAAAAAACAAAGAGAAAATAATTAGAAAAGATATAAAAGTTGAAATTTTGAGTTGATGATACTTATGACGGCACTAATCTAATTCTCCTCTATAAAATCAAACAAGAATTGAACTAACAAATTGAAATTCGCAATTTCAGAACTATTATACTAATTTAAATGGTTTCGATCTTGCCAATCCGATCCCACCGATCCAGAATCCGATCTGAAGACGGTAAAACGATCCTGTGTGAAATTCCGATTTTGAAAACACTTCTCCCAGCAATTAATGGGTAACCATTTTTATTACTTTGAATAGAGAATTACTACTACTATAAAAGAAATGGAACAAATTTTCTTTGGTCATTTTGTCAAACATGAAAAAAGATTACCCCAAGGAGGTCCGTTAATCAGTAACTGAACCGACCTGACATCGGAAATTTCAAAGAAATCTGTCACGGGTCATTGCCTTTGTCCCAAAATCACGGGAAATTTTTTTCCCCTTTGTAGTAGAGTCTTCAACTGGCAATTGAGGATGAAATTTCTAACCAACTGATTTTAACCTTTTTCAATACTAGTACCACATATAGTCAAATCAATGATCGAAGATGGTCACTTTCTGGACCTAGTGATACTATAGGGAAAGAAAAAAGTCTGATATAAATCTCAATTTTGACTTTTTTTTTCCCATTGATAATTGGATCATTTCAAATGATTACTATGCTTGTTATACTAATTTGTAGTACAATAAATAAGATAATTATATTTTTCAGTTCCTAAATTCGACAAGGATAAAGTAATATCTTAGAACATGGGATCGTCCGATAGGAGCCAATAGTAACTAAAACACATAATAATCAAGAAATGTATCGATTTTTGAACTTTAAATTTATGTTCCTTTCACTATACCACTAAAATAAAATCTGAATAATCAATTTGTTAAAAAAAAAAAAAGCGTAATACTACAGTAGTATGTTAATATAAATGCAACAATACTACAGCCAAAAAGGCTCCATTAAGTTTTCCCTCTTTACATAAAGGTCCTTAAAACTTTAGGCTCCCTCCCCCACATGTTATCCATGACTATAACAAGATCTCACAATTGGTCCATCAACTCCTTTAAATTTTGAAGCGTAACTCGTGGAAATTAATGTGGCTACTTGTTGGGGGGATAATAATAATATAGAGAAAAAGCACCTGGGGATCTCAATCCCATCCCCATGGGGGCTATGTTCGTCATTCGTGCACACTGACACACTGTATAACATTCTCTGACGGACTCCCTTGCCCATGCAACAACGTTCCGATTCTCCATGATTGAACAAACTCCCCAACTTCTTCCACCTATGACCTAACTCCCTTTGGATTTTTGTAATACTAGTAGGAGTACTTATTTTTAGTTAATTGATTTATTCATTCTATGTAATTAAGCATTTTTTTAATTATTATATGATCAATGCCTAATTACCGTTTCCACTACTTTCTAACGCTTCTTTCAATCGTTTTAGAGTCTAGCGCAGTCGACACCATTCCTTCTCAAAACCAGTACGGAGATGGATAGAGAGGACTGATTAGCTTGTATTACAGAGAAGATCACCCTTGCTCTGTACTATTTTACTCAACCCTAATCAAAGTTCTATTGCATAAGCTAGTCAGCCATTTTTTTCTTCATTAACTTCACACTAACGTGATCCACAAGTGTAACGATGAATTAAATAGTAGTAATACATGCAAGAAAAATTTACGCAAAAAAATTTTATTAAGAAATATAATGTGGATGAATTTTAATTATTCATTAACTTTTAAATAAATAAATAAACTCATAAAGAAACATATATCATTCATTTCATAAATATTTCTTAAAAACTTTTCCTAAAATAATAATTACTCTAAATTATAGTACGATACTTGTACTAATATATAGATTGTGATCCCTTAGGGAGTTTGCACTTCTTAATTAAAGAGACCGAATCCTCCTAAATTGACGAAAATCCTAGTCAGCATTCAGTGCAGTGAACCGGAACCGGAAGAAACATATGGCTCCGAATCTGTGACCGGCCCTTGGTTTGGACCCACATGCCAACGGCTACTGGCTGATGTGGGAAGGAAAGCGCGCTTTTTGCTGCGATTCTCGATTGTGATACGTACCCAACGCGCCGGACGCGCGGAGGAAATGGAAAACGCGTGATCGACTTCAATAACGCTCAAATCGGTGTTCTGAATAATCACGTTCTGAGAAGTGAGAAGAGCGTACGGTGTACTCACAAAGGTTTTAATTTCTATTTATTTTATTATTTTTTATATCAAGGCCGTGCAATGTTTGTTTTTGTTTTTCCCCAAATAAAATTTGCAAACTGAGAAGAAATTCATACAATTATTATTATAAAATTCAGAATTGATTATTTTCCAATGCACTACATCACATATATTGAGATATGTATCCATTATTATATGTTTATGTCGTGTGGTTCTCCCATTCATGCTTATTTTTGTTATGGCCAATTAATGGTTTGATATGAAATCATCCTTTTTTGTACTGTGAGGGACGTCTTTTGGTTGTCTACTTTAGATTGGTCATCACTCAGTGCTAACTGATTCCAGCGTTTCTATAAACTATTTTTTTCCTCAAAAAAAAGAAAAAGGAAGAGGGTGCTTTTTGTCATTAGATATTGTAAGTGTTGTCTTTGCTCGAAAGTTGAAAGCATTAAGATTTGAATAAGATTCTTTGGTTCATTATTTCAAACTTAAAAGCCTCACTAAGGGATAAAGCAACATAAAACCAAAAAAAAAGGATGCAAAAAAAAAAGTCCGATGAAATTGTTAATCAAATTCCACTTGTTTTTGTTTTTTTTTTTTTTATCCTCAACCATCTTTCTTGCAACTGATTACATTGATTTATCGCTTTTGCATTTTGTCTGTTCTTCACTAGATTATGGTGTTTCGTTTTTTGGAGAATCCAATTTCCGATGAAGTTAGGGATATTCCGATGAAAAGACTATTTGCAAGCAAAGAATCCAATCCCCCAATTTTCAAAAAGTAAGTCCTAGTAGTATACCTTAAACTATTCTTTTGGCAAAACTTTTATCGTAAGTTTACCACATTATTATTATCATAGACAAAAAGTAGAAAGTTCACGACTTTCAAAAAACAAATGTCTACAGGGAAAAAGTGTAGCCAACCGAAAAAACTTTTCGGTGCCAAGAAACATTTTAATAATGACGATTGTTTCGCTTTTTAATGTATATTTTCAGGTGTTTTTTGTATTAAAAATATAAAAATATGTATTGAAAATATAAAAAAATATACTGGGATGAGACACTTATTAGGGAGTAGGATAACTTTGCAAATTACTATTACTATTGTTGTGATTATATGACTTTTTTTTTTTAATTTTTGCGTAATATTTGCTCAGAAATTATACTACCACTAGTACATATTTACCTGGCATAGAAATCATTAGATTTTGTAGGCAATTTGTATTGTTATTTTTGTTTTCCTTTTCCAAAATTGAAATGAATTGTTTTTTTAAGTTGATAGAAAAAAAATGGTACAAAATAAATTAAATGGCTTTAAAGGAAAAAAAAAAAAACAGAAATGAGTCAATGACGGCTGGCAATTGGCAAAAGTGGGAAAAGAATCATCATGGAGAGGGGATTATCAAAAAAATTTCTGAATTATTCTCGCCACAAAAAAGGAAAGCTATAGATATATACACTACGTAGATATATCTTAATCCTTTTTATTCTGGAGTTCAAGAATTTTGAATAATATATAAGGGTAGATAATTAGCTGTATATACTATATACGCCATGAAGCTGTATTTTTTTTTTTTAATGTTCGAAATTAATTTGTTGTGTTTCAGGTTTTAGATAGGCTTTGCTGAGTCAAATTAATTCTTTTTTTTTAAATTTAATATATGGAGATCAAGACAGATGCCAATGATGTTTGGATTGTAGTTTGTTTTTGTTTTTTCTGTATTGATTTGATTCTTTTGTACTTTGCACCTATGTTTTTTTTGTTCTGTAATTAATGTTTTGAATATATTATTTCTCCATTAAAAAACAACAATGCCATGCTGATCGTACACGTTGAAGAACATTCCAGTATTATGAACTAAATTCATACAGTGTAATACTAGCGAATATGCAATTCATTAACCAGTGAATATTTACAGTGACTGATGAAAATAAAAAACAAAAACCACGCATACGTGATACACAATTACATGTATTTATACATGATCTCAATTCAGAGTATATTTTCGCTATACATACAACTACAGTATCTCATTCTCTCTTTTGTCATATTGTAAGAAAAGATTTGAGCAATTTTGTATATACTCCCTCTAATTTTTTTTTTATATGTCTTTATGGAGAAATCATAAAAAACCAAGAACACATTAATTAATGTAGTTAAAAATACAAAAATATCTTTATTTATCGTCTATACAATTCATTTCAAACTAATAGAAATTCATTATAAATACGGTTCCATTTCCAATGTACAGATAATATTAGTCAAAAGTGGTCAAATATGCATCAATTTGTGAAAATGATATACTCCATATTTAAAAAATTTTCCGAATCATAAGACGACATATATTTTTTTTTAAAAAATAGAGGGCGTATTATATATAAACAAAAATTAATTCTATAAAAGGAAAGAGGAAAAAGAAGGCAATAGATTTGCACAACACACAAATTTCATCATTTATAAAGTTGGCATTGAAAACCTTGCCACCTTTGCACTCTCACCACCCAATAAAATCACCCCTCTTGTCTCCTCTTCCCAATTTGCCATTTTTTTTTCCCCCACTTTCTCAATTTCTGTAGAAATTGGACTTCCCTGCTCACTCTCCTTCGAGTCTCTCTTCATCACCACCATCTTTTCTCTCTCTCTCTCTCTCAGCACTTCCTTTCTGAGACTGAAAAGAAAAAACAGGGGACAATTGTTCTGTTCTGCAAAACTGATTATTGAATATTCAGAAGAGGAAAACCAGTGAAAAGTGTCCCTTTTTTAAAGAAAAGGGATTGGAGAAAATGGTGAACTATCATGTGGGATTTTTTATTTTAGCCTCTTTTGTGGTATTGGTGTGTGGGTCGTCGAGAAATCTTCCGATTGTTTCATTTGATGAAGGGTACTCGCAACTTTTTGGTGCTGATAATCTGGTGTTGATTAAGGATGGGAAATCCGTTCATCTCTCTTTGGATGAAAGAACAGGTATTCCGGCTAAATTTTAGTGTGATCCTTTTCCTTTCTCATAATATAATTTCCTCTGTTTTCATTAAAGTTGCAATCTTTTTTATTTCACAAAACCTTTACTCTATAATAGGCTTTGTGGCTTTTTGGTGTTGATCACAGGTTCAGGATTTGTGTCACAAGACCTTTACTTACATGGGTTTTTCAGCGCTTCTTTGAAGCTTCCATCTGATTATACAGCAGGAGTAGTTGTCGCATTCTATGTGAGTGAATTTCATCCACTGATCACTGCTTCATGCAAATTTTGATGGGTACAAGATATGAGATTTATCTATTTGACGGGAGGAGCGTTCTTCATCAGTTTTGAATAGTGTTTTATTAGAGTTAAAAAAGTGATAATGTCTGTTAAACTGTCTTCTTTGATGATTTCAGATGTCTAATGCTGACTTGTTTGAGAAAAATCATGACGAGATTGATTTTGAGTTCTTGGGAAATATACGAGGTAAAGACTGGAGAATTCAGACCAATATTTATGGAAACGGAAGTACAAATGCTGGCCGAGAAGAGAGATATGGACTTTGGTTTGATCCTTCTGATGATTTCCACCAATACAGTATTCTCTGGACCGAGGATCAGATCATGTAAGAAATAAAAATTCTATCCCCTCCCCCTTTTATTGTGAATATTAGGATTGTTCTGTTCTAATTCTGTCCAAATGGTTCCTTTGTTTGTGATTATTAGGATTTGTTATAATTCTGGCTAAAATTCGTTAATTCAGCCATAAATTCTTGTTTTTGGTTTTGTCAAGAATAATTATGAGCAATAAGCCAATAACTATGTTTCATCCGTTGGAGAATTTGACTTGACCAATTCAGTACACTTGAATTTCTTAAATGCTCTGCTTTTGGATGTTATACTTCCCCTGTAGGGTACTATTAATCATCTGACTGTTTTATGAACTTGGGTTTTTCTGGTTCTCACTCAATATGATGAATAGCAGTTATGGTGGGTTTAGGAATGCAGTAATTTTTTATTATTTTTTTTCCAACCTCTTTCCACTTCAAACAATTATGGAACTTGGTCCATACTTGATCTTTATTTGCATTATAACTTTTGGAGGGTTGATCTTGTTTTGTTTGGTTTTGATATTGCTGTGTTGTTGTTGTTTGTTTTGTTGCAGCTTTTATGTAGATAATGTCCCCATAAGAGAGATCAAAAGGACAGCATCAATGGGTGGGGACTTTCCATCAAAGCCAATGTCTGTTTATGCCACCATTTGGGATGGGTCAGATTGGGCTACCAATGGTGGGAAATACAGGATAAATTACAAATATGCACCCTACACTGCCAAATTCTCAGATTTTGTGCTCCATGGTTGTGCTGTTGATCCTATTGAACTGTCATCATCACAATGTGGTGGCAACGATGTTGTTGTTCCGAATTCGGATGATGATTCTTCCATCCCTACTCGAATTACGCCTAAACAAAGAACCAAAATGGAGAGTTTCAGGCAGAAGCATATGCAATACTCATACTGCTATGACCATGTTAGGTACAAGGTTCCTCCATCTGAGTGTGTCATTGATCCTAAGGAATCCCAACGCCTCCGCAAATTTGATCCGGTGACTTTTGGAGGCGTGGTTCGCCGCCAGCGGGGTAAGCGACACCAGAGGAGCAGCCGGCCGAGTCGAGGGGAGGCGGCATCCTTTGACTAAATGAAGCTTACTCTACCTCTCTGCACTGTGAAAAATATATATCATTACTCAGTCAAGTTTTTGGAGCTTCATTCTGAGGTTTTTTCCCCTGTGCATACCATAACAAGAGAAGATAATAAAGGAAAATGATGAGCATTTTTACATTGTTTATTGAAACTAGAAACAGGGTAATCAAAATTTTACTATTTTGTGTGGATCATACTATGTAACTATGTTATACAGTATTTCATACATTCAGTTTTGCATTTTTTTATATGTATATATTCTTGTTTATGTTCTGCTTTGAGCTTTATGTGTTATGTGAAAATATGTTTTTTTTTTTCCCATTGGAATTCAAGTATCATCTCTAAAAATTTTAATGAGTTAAGAACAACACAAATCATTATTTTTTTTTAGCAAAATGCTTCAAGATGAGCGTACAAATTTTCCCAACTCAAATTCATCTTCAATTTCCCCGGGGATTGCGAGCGGAGAAACCCATCCTTTTCGAAAGTTGCAGTGAATTACTTTGGAAATTTGTGCAGTTAAAAGTTGTAGATATAATTTTGGTTGATGATTGGTCAGTACTCAGTAAATTTATCCGATTAATGGCCCAAGGGGATATGATAATATGCGGACCAAAAAAGAATTTAGGGGAACAAAAGGAGAAGGCAAACTACAGGGGTCACCTGGTAACACTTTCAAATAATAGGGGAGGTAATTGTAATACAAGGAATTTATCATAATTTTCTTCCATTTTCAATGAAATTGGGGGAGGTAGTACTGATGCATATATTCAACCAGTCCAAGAACCCGCATTTGATTTTTTGTTGTTGAAGAAAACTTTTGTGTACGTCGTGGACTTGGAGATCATATTTTTGAGTTTTGACAAGACGGAGGATGAGTCGGCATGAACGCTACTTCTGAGTTTCAGCTTCCTTTTTCTCTATCAACTTTATAAAATTGCCAACAATTGTTCTGCCTTCACTTGTGATAATGCTTTCAGGATGGAATTGTACTCCCTGCACATCAGGCACCACAAATTCATTCATAAGCATTAGTGTCATTCAGATACTCTATCACTGGCTACTATTTTACGAATCACTCATTTTCACCAAATTAGTAACCAATGATCTATGCCACATGAATAAAAAGTTAAGATTTCTTCTCAAGCTAGTTTGTTGCGGATAAAAAGTTAGTTATCACCAGGCTTTCTGCTCTTATACAAGGCCGAGGAAAAAGCCGGATACAATCTGAATTGTTTACTGTACATTGATTTACTTACAGCAGAAGAGCAAAAACTTCATGAGCTAACCAATAAACTGATTTTATACCTTTCAATATAGTCCAATAATTACCGAGCTAATCGCTTGAAAACATTATATTTATCAAAACAAAGCTTAATTGTTCTTAAAATTTTGATTCTCTAAGAGTGCAGTGTTCTTTAGTTATTTGTTCCAGGATGTGCAATGGTGCAAGCATACCAATAGTTGAAGTACCTGGAGATGCTTGTATTCTTTGTGACGAGCAGCCATTACCAGCCCGTCTTCGGTCCAAGCAGTTATCTCGAGTTTGTCACTGGGAAAGCTTTCCCTTTCAATCACAAGGCTGTGATATCTACCTGCAGTAAATGGGCTGGAACCGGAGAAAAAAATAAAAATCAGGAATTGTCAACATCGTAGCAAATTAAGAACTTAAAAAAATATCTACAAAGAAATCTCAGCATAGAGACAAGAAGTTTGCCTTTGACTCAGTTGAAGACAAAGTCTCTTTGCCTCCTACACCAACCAGAAGAAGCCTCTTTTATCTCAAGTACATAATTTCATTTTTAGTAATTTATTCCCAGTTCATTTTAGGGGCGTAACTTCTCCTTTTAATTTAACAGTTTGCTACTGCCTATATGACTCATTCATACATCTACATATCACAACTTGCTTGAAGTCTATCGTTCTAAGTGCAACATCATCGATCAGACTAAAACCCAATCTCTTTAAGATTATAAGCATGTTAACAAACTTCTATTTGCCTTTATCATATGCTTACTGATTTTCAAATTAACTCAATAATGACCAAACTGACACAATAAGGTGCTGAATCACTGACAGAGAAAGATATAGATAGAAATCAATGTTAACTATACATCATGAGCACTAATTGGATGTCAAAAGTAATAATAAAAACCTTACTTAGACAAGCCTGCTAACAAGCCCTCTTCTTCTCCCTCATTATAGTACACAAGTGAACTTTTTCCGTGCATTACACCAAAAGGAGAGCGCACGATTTTCCCTGTCACACATGTAGAGAAAGTAAAAATGAGGATGAGCAACATAAACAATGACTTCAATATGAAAAACAATGCAGCACTATGCAAAGGAGTTGACAATTTTTCATTTTCTACCATCATTCTAGTCTTTTGTTTTCATGACTTTGATCCTCCTAAGCTTGTGTTTGAATACAAGTTTGCTATTAAGGTCAAGAAGCAACTATAGTCAGTTTAAGGGAAGCCATCACATCTCATTAGGCGGCAGCACCAGAAGCTGATTTGCCATGACAAAAATCACTTCAGTTCAGATGGAAGGTATCAACATTATGTTTCTAGTGCAGGTAAGATCTAGACACAGAAGCTGTTGACCAATTAGAGATCAAGGTCAAGGTTTATCTATCATTTAGAGGAAAATTCAGAGAATAAGAATTGCGAAGCACTGCAAAAAAACACCAAGGAAGTATTAGTTAACAGCAAATACAGACCTATCCTTCAATACATCTAAACGCAAGTTACTAAGGACACTCATCAAACAATGGTGCAGTTACATCAAACATCTGAGAGCAGAAAATTTACTCTTAACAGATTGAAAGAACATTCTTGACAGCATGCTTAAAAGTAAAGAAATAAAGATCTAAATGAAACAAATTTCCATCATAACTTATTTTCTAGTCACAAAAAGATACCTCCGAAAGCTTCTCCTATGCATTGCAGCCCCATACATACACCAAACAATGGTACAGTTGGTCCCAGCTCCAACACTGTTTGCAATGATATTCCCGAATCTTGGGGTGCTCCTACGATTGCACAATATTCAATACCAAATAGAAAACTTGGTGAACAGAAGTCAATAGACAAGAATATTGAATTTCTACTGTATTTCTTTAGAGGAAATCACTTGAATCTCACCAGGTCCAGGAGATATCAAAATCCCCCTTGGCTTTTTCCTATAAAAAAAAACCCAATAAAGAAACAAAAAGCAAAAGAGAGATCTAATGAGTGATGGACATAGGGAATTGATTCATTCACGAACAATCATTACAAACGTAGATACCAACACCAGTAAAGAAATTGAAGAAATAACTTACTTTTTCAGTTCATCCACCGTAAGCTCATCATTCCGGTACACGTCAAATGTACACCCAAACTCCCCCAAATACTTCAGGTACAACCACAGGCAAGGAAAAACAAAAACACTTTCAGCAAATCATAATAATTATCAATTTTATTTTTTCCCAAAGCAAAGAAAAAGTATGCTCAAAATCCAAGACTGACCTGACAGAGATTATAAGTGAAGCTATCATAATTGTCGATCACAACAATGGGATTTCCCGTGACCTTTTTAGGAGCATTATTATTCACAACATTGGACACATCGTTGTTACTTGAAAATGCCACTGTCTTAAGAGGAACAGAGGTCTTAAGACGAACAGAGCTCTTCATACGCCCATTATTGAATTGGAGGAAAGACTGGATTTTTGTCGATGAACATTTCTCGGATGAAGAAATGTAGGGGCATAAACGAGAGGAGGAACTTTTGATAGAGGAGGATGGAGAAACTGTTATTGATGTCATGACCAGAAATTGATCTTCCTGTTCGTATCCAAACGCGCTGCTAGCAGTAGGTGATCGTTAATTAGGATTTCATGCTCAATAAACAGAATAATCTTTTGATGAAAATCTTTGAATGGATCACCAAATCTCACCAAGCATACAGCAGGAATTCATTTCTTTGTAATTAGAGTTTACAACAGTACAGTAGCACAAAAACAAGAAAAACCCCGAAATGTCAAAATGCGGTTTAAGGAAATGAAAGAACCCATTGAATCCGAGAACTGAGATAATGACACCAGGTGTTCGACGAAAAGCACAAACCACTGAGAAAGAAAACAAAACATAAACAACCGAATCCAAACTTCATAAACATGAAAGAAATTCACCACAATATACGATTTCACAACAGTAACTAAAAAAAGGGCGAAGTAGTTTCACCTCTTGCCGGAAAGACTCGGGGAGGGATTGGGGGGGAGATATTGGAAGGAATTCGCCGGCTAAGTCTCTTTCAAAGTCCGGTGGTAATTCCCGGTGTGCCTAAAAAGCCAGTGAACTGTTTTTGTTTGACCAAATATTTTGTTAAAAGTAAATGGTGACCCGTGAGTTCTGTCCGTTAATTTTACGTCCAGATCATTCACAAAATATCACTAAGACCCCCTAATTAGTCATTTGAATTTGCCCAAAAAAACTAATTTTGATCCTTCATTAAACATAATTCATGTGGATTGGTTTTTGCATCATTTTAGTTGACAATTTTGGTTCTCATTCATCAAATGTCGTTATCTTATCAGTAAACAAGGACAGAGAAGGCATGGAGATCAAATTCATAATACACAAATTAAGTTGAACATCTTCATTAGCAACAAACATGTGTTATAAAAAATTAATGAGACGCGTCTCTCTGCTACGAACGATTGTCAAATACCTTATTCTTGAATCATATACTAGATAATCATTATAGAGCAGATGAATAATTTTGTGATGGTTGTGAATTTGCGATCTTTTAATTTTTATACCGTTCCTGTTTAATATACAGATAAATGTACCAAAAATTGAACAATAAACTGAATAATTATTTTAGACCAGATAATTGTATTGTGATGGTTGCGGTTTTCAATTTTTGTGCAGTTTTCTACACCTTTTAATAATTTTTAGTAACTATAACACTAACTAGTGTATAAATATCATTTTCATTAATTTTCCAATTTCCGCGTGCCCATTAAGCAATTTATTTCATGGGGTTTTTTTAGACCTAGATCTTGACAGTAACACTCAGACTTCTCTATTTAGTAGTAGTACTACTTTGATGAAAATCATCATCATCATCTCTACAAAGTTACGTCAATTCACATTTTTGTTCGAATCCCAGATCTAAAAAGCTCATCATCCCCACACAAAAAACACACATTCACACACCGTAACTAGTCACGTTTCTCCTAAATTATGTTCCCTTAAATATGGATTTTTAGTCCCTTTTTACACACTCCCACAGTGACGCTTTTCGTGTTTCCGCTGGTTGCTGTGACCCTTTTTCCGCTATAACCCAGATCTGATTTCCGAGGATGAGTTGAACAAAACGTTAAAAAAATCTTCTTTAATTTTGTTGTTTGAAAACTAGCAGCGTTAATTTAATTTACGACCGTATATCCAGTTGGGGTTTTCTGTTTTCTTTCTCGTTTACGAGTTTGTATGCTGATGGCAATGCAAATGCAATCTGGGAATGCGGTGGCATCGGAGAAAATGCACCAGGGCGGCGGCGGCGGCGGCGGAGGTGGAGGTGAGGGTTTGCCGCAGCAACAACAACAAGGGAGAGGGCAGCAGCAATGGTGGCCTAATCATCAACCAACACAGTCTTTGGTTCAACTGGATGAGTTTTCGACATGGTTAAGAGGGGAATTCGCGGCTGCCAACGCCATGATTGATGCATTGTGTCATCATCTGAGGATGTTGGGTGAACCAGGGGAATACGACGGAGTGATTGGGAGCATACAGCAAAGGAGGTGTACTTGGAACCATGTGTTGCATATGCAACAGTATATGTCTGTGAATGATGTGGTTTATGCGTTGCAGCAAGTGGGTTTTAGGAAGAACCAGCATCATCAGCAGCAGCAGAGGGTTTTTGAAGGGACTGGGAAAGCAGGGAAGGAGTATAGCCATAGAAGGGGTGGCGGAGGAGGTAGAGGAGGGCACAAGTGGGACGGTGGTTTTAGAGATGGTAAAGAGGGACATCATCACGGCCAGAATTTTGGAAATTCGGACGGTGTCCCACATCTTAAGGAAATGAATGAGGGTCAAAATTTGGAAAATGGTGAAGGAAAGATTAAAAATGGTAAGGTGGAGGAGATTAAAGGTGAGAAATGAGGAAGGTCTCTTCTTAATTTGTTATTTTGTTAATCTGTTGCAGTCCTTTGTAATTATGGTGCATAGGATTATTTTGGTTTGTTTGTTGGTAAATTGTGGTTGTTTTGCCAATTGTGCTGGGAAAATGGAAATCAACATTTTCTAAACTTGGTTTACTCGTTTGTGGTAAGTGATTGTGGACTTGATTGGGACAGGTAGTGGTTATGGCCAGATAGGCTTTGTTTTGATCAGATTTCCTAAAATGTTCTTACCTTTTTGCAACTTTAAGGCATCTTACACTTGTTGTAAATTATGCATTTGTCGCGTTTTGGCACTGTTTTTCTTCTATTATAGTTTGCTGTATAGCTGTAATCTGTTATATTCTGAAGCACAGTGGTCTTTGAGCTACCGATGTCTATTTATCACTCAATTTAGAATCTCTTCTTTTGGCTATTTGACTGGTTCTAAATCTGAGACTCATGGCCTGAAACAATGTCTTCTAAATAAATGTATTCAACATTCTGTGCCTATTTTCCGTCATTCAAACTTGAATATGCTTTAACAGCACTTAAAAGATGTGAAACTGTTTCTGAAAACTCTGTGTTGTTTTCTTTCCCTTCAGATTGGCCTATCCAGTGTGTTTTGATTATTTTTTGGTATCCTCAGATAATACATAAGATAGCCCATACTTTGGTTTGGTTGGTTGATTTAGCTTTCCTGCTCATCTGTTGGGTACCCTAGAAGTTCAGCACATTGATTTGCGTCCATTATGTTTTCAAGGGTGCCTTCTAGGTTGTAAGTGGAAGATGATGTCCTTAGTTTCTCGTATTGTGGAGAAGATAAAATCAACTACAGCTGGAGCATATAAAGTCAGATGAAAATGCTTGGATGCAAATAATCTGTATTAGATTGAATATTTATTTGTGAGTTGTGATTTTTAATTAAGAGAAGAACTGGACTGCTTTTCTACTTTTTGGTCTGTACCATTCAACAGTCCAATTTACCATTACATGTGTATCAATATTGGTAAGCCATGTTCTTGTCGAATCCTATCAAGTCATGAATGAATATAATGAAACGGCGATATTTGCTTGACAAGTTTTGGTAATATGTATACTTGTGCAAACCTTGTAATGCGCATGATCTAAAATGCTTAATATTACGCTAGGGATTTTCATAGCTGGGATTACGTCTGTTTCCCTGTTTGCTTTGAAACAGAGTCGGCGGTGAAACCTGAAGTGGACAGTTCAGTTGAAAGCACAGTATGCAGAGATGCAGCCTCCACAGGTGAGATGGTCTTCATGGTCTGAATGTAGATGGTGGCTTCCCACTTCACCTTTGATGTACAAGCTTTAGTTTGCAAGCCTTTTTTTTTTTCCTTTGTATTTTGATAAAGCTTTATTTACCTTTAAAATGGATTTGTACATCCTTCACCTACTGTGTAGAATTTTCTTTTTTCCTTCTAGCTGTCGTGGATGGAAGTTTTCATTCACTTGAACAACCTTTTGCATGGACCTTTCTTTCATCCTTTTCCATGATGGGTCCGAAATTTATTTTTATGTGGCTTTAGTGTTTAAACATCTGAATTAATTGTTTGATGTAATTTAAGGGTCATGTAATGTGGAGACTGACACTCATTCTGGAGGCATAGCACATAAGAAGGAGAATTACACAGTGATTCCAAAAACGTTTGTAGCCGATCGGATTGTTGAAGGGAGAACAGTAATTTTTCTGTCCTAGCTTCCTGTTCAGTTGCTAAGATAAGGTTTGATTTATATATTGGTGCAATAACATTGGCAATTTTTTTGGTATAGGTTAATGAAGTTGATGGACTGAAACTATTTGAAGAACTTTTGGATCGTTCAGAAGTTTCAAAGCTTGTTACACTTGTGAATGAGTTAAGAAATGCTGGGAAAAAAGGGCAGCTTCAGGGCAAGTTCCTTGTTACTTTACCCTTTTCTTTCTTTAATTTTTTTAAAAATATATTAAGTTAGTAAGATTACACTTAAGCCTTTTACTCTATTATTTTCGTTCTACAAGTAGCATTTGTCTCTACATTCATTTCCATTTTCAGCATGGTTATTTCCCAAAGGATAATCTGCTCATCTCATGGAAGTACTGCATGCTTTCTGGTTGTGCCTCATTACTTTTTAGTCTGGATTTTGGAAGTTCTTTCTAGAGCTATCTATATCTTTTTCCCAGTTGTTTTGTTATTTGTTACAGCCCATTTATTACCATGCAAGCTTTTATCATGGACTTGATTTATCTTGAGAAGTTTGATTATTGTTTCAGATGAATCAAGAACTGCTTCTGACTATCAAATCAGAGATTAGTATCTGTTAGCTTATGCCTTCCTATATAGTTCTTTTGCCTTGTTTCTCGGTTTCTGATTGAGAATCATGCTTAATGAGGGTTTGGAATCCTGTACATTTCGAGAATTGTGCTTCTTTATCTTTATATGTTGATGCTAGTTGCAGCATTTTGAAACATTGAAACAATATCAGTTAATTGAAATCTTGATTTCTGATTTCACATTTTAAGAACAGGAAAAACATTTATGGCCTTTAAGAGACCCATGAAAGGGCATGGGAGAGAGATGATTCAGTTTGGTCTGCCCATTGCTGATGCACCACTAGAGGTTGAAGTTACAGCTGGAACCTCTAGAGGCATGTTGGCGATGATTTTGGTTTTTTGCAAATTTAATTTAATTTTATTTTAACCTGTTGGGTACTCTAGCCATCTCCTTTAATATTTTTTTGATGTCTTAATTGGTGTTTTGTGATTAACTTTGCAGATTGGAAAATTGAACCCATTCCTAGCTTGTTTGAAGATGTTATTGAACGTTTAGTTACTCTGGAAATTGTATCTGAGAAGCCAGACTGTTGCATGATTGACTTCTTCAATATGGTTCGCACTTTGGAATTTTCCGATTAAATCAATGGGAACTTGTAGACATTGCAGTGTGACCTAACATTTTTGCTGCATTTGTAGGGTGATCATTCGCTTCCTCAGCCGTTCCCTAATTGGTATGGAAGGCCTGTCTGCGTGCTTTTTCTGACGGAATGTGATATGACATTTGGCAAGGTGATTGTGGTGGAGCGTCCAGGTGATTTCATAGGATCACTGAAACTTTCTCTCATGCCAGGGTACTCTTCGATATCTAATGCTTTGTTTTGTCATGTTCATATTTTGGTCTCGATGAGCTTGTTTGGATTCCTTGCATTTAGTTTCCTTGGGGCTGCAAATTGGGCCATGGGTCACAGTTTGAATTTTATTTCTAGTCTCTATACAGTGTCTGAATAAATGTAAGAATGGTGGCATCTCGGCCTGTAATAAATGAATATTTTCTTCTGGACCTCACTGGTTGACGATAACCAAGTGGATTTTACTCTATTTGAGCCTTCCAGTGTGCTAATTGTTTAGTCTTTTACCGTGAAACCGCTGCAGATCCATGCTTGCACTGGAAGGAAGATCATGTAGTTTTGCGAAACATGCTATTCCATCTACCAGCAACCAGCGAATACTTGTTACCTTTGTGAAGTCGATGCCCAAGAAGGTTACATCCGGTGATGCTCAACATTTTCCTTTCGCTGCTCCACAACTTCCCTCCTGGGTGCCACCCCCAAGCAGGTCGCCGAATCATATTCGTCACCCAGGGCCAAAGCATTATGGCTCTGTGCCCACAAGTGGAGTATTACCTGCCTCGAGTGCTCGCCCAACACTACCATCTCCTAATGGTATCCAAACAATTTTTGTCCCTGCTGCAGTTGCCCCAGCCATGCCTTTTCCGGTGCCAGTTCCTCTACCGCCTGCCTCTACTGGATGGCCAGCAGCTCCTCCAAGGCATAGTGCACCTCGCTTGCCAGTCCCTGGCACTGGAGTTTTCCTCCCTGGCACTGGAAACTCAGCAAATCAATCTTCGACAATCAGCTCTACGAACGATAATCCTATTGTGGAGGCACGACCAGGTCAAGAGAATCAGGAGGTGAATCCAGAGGTTAAAAGTCCTTCCTCCAAAGGTACAAATGATGAGAAAGCGGGACATCAAGAATGCAATGGCACCATAGATGGAAGTAACGGTCTGACAGCAACAGAAGAACACCCTCAAAGGGATGATATTAAGGACACCGAAGAACCGACTGGAGCGGGTTTGAGTTAGGAAGGCAAAACAAGATGGGAGAGAGAAATGGCGCTGTCGAAACACTCCTTTTTGAAAGCAGCATAGAGAGAAGAGAGAGAGAGAGAGAGAGAGAGAGTTGGAAGCAAATGTAAAGAGCGGGAAATTTCAGGAGTTACAAAGACAGTTAAATACCTACAGCATGACTTTAGGGGGAGAAGGGTGTATGTTAAATATGCTTCTTTTTTGATCCCTCTGGTTTCTGTGGTTTTTTGTTGTGCTCTTATAGAATCTTTAGTAGGGATGAGGAACTTATTCACAGACTTAAATATTAGCTATATATAATGGACAATATTCTAAGCCTAATCCCACTGCTTTGCATCTAGACATTCCTTGCAAATGGCTTGTTTCCCTGTTAACAACAAATATATAATGATGAAATCATAGAATTCAATATAGAAATGATGAATGTAACAAAACTTCGTGCCCGTGATTCAATTAACAAAAAAAAAACAAAGATGATGTTGATCCGGAGATTTAACGTGTCCGAAACATATTTTTTAAAAACCTTTAATGGCAGTTCGTAGTATTCCAATACTTGGTGGGAGGTTTCGGCAATTAATCCTATTTCTATTTCATTGCCGTTTCAGAGCTACCATTTCCATTTTTGTTCCAGCTTGGGGGAAAACTAGCTCAAAAAAAAAATCGAATCTTTGCTGCAACAGCAATGGCGGCAGAAACAGAGCACCCACGTCTCATCCTCCATAACTTCCTCTCCGAAGATGATTGCAAGGAGTTGCAGTTCCTACACAAAAGCTGTTGCACTGTTGGATATAGACCCAATGTTTTCTCTACCACTCTTTCTCATCTGATTGCGACTAATTCTGCTCATCTCCTCATGCCCTTCGTCCCCATCAGAGGTTCTTTCTTATGTCAATTTTACTTTACTCCAATTTCTGGCGTTACTTGTTGTTATCAGTAGTATTATTTTTTCAAAGTTGGAGTTTAGCTGTGGCGGTTTCTCATTCCCCCCCTTTGATGCAGAGAGGTTGAAAGAAAAAGTGGAGGAGTATTTTAATTGCCAGTATGAGTTGGTTGTTGAATTCACCGGCCTCATAAGGTTTTTATTTACTTCCAATGAGTGTTTGTAGAATCATGATATTATCAACATCGATTCAATTAATTTGGGTTTGTGGAATCATAAATTTTGTTGAGTGAAAAATGGTTAAAAATCCTTTTGAATCATTCTAATCTGAAATACTAAAATGTTATGTTATGTTTATGTATCAATCATTTGTAGTTCAAAATTGGATCTTTTTCTCTACACGTTGTGGTTTTTGTAGTACATAGTCTGCAATAGCATTTCTGTTTTATGTAAATGTTATGTTAATTGAAAACTTCTCTTCAATCTTTCATGATAAACTAGCTGGACTAAAGGAGCAAGTATTGGATGGCACAGTGATGACAACAGACCTTATCTGAAGCAAAGAGATTTCGCGGTGTGTATCTTTTTAGTCTTGATATATTGTTGTTTATATTCAAAACAAGCTTGATGATCCGCTGAGTTATACCTGTTGGCTGTTAGCATAAAAAATGTTGGATCTGATTCCTTTATTGATTATCTCACAATCTTCTTATACCCATTTGCTGAAGGTAGTTTGTTACCTGAATAGTTATGAAGAGGACTTCAGAGGAGGTCTCTTTCGCTTTCAGGATGGTGAACCGTCGACGATAGTGCCCATGGCTGGAGTAAGTGACCTGCTTGTAGCCTGCAATGCTCGTTAAATTGAATAGAACATTTGGAGTCTGAATCTGTCTGTTAAGCAATTATTAGAGATTACTTCATTTGCAGATGCTAAGTAATTTCTCTCGTCAGAAATTCTAAATTTTGTATGCATAGTAAAAGAATTTTAGTTTTATGTGATTAAGGCTAGGATTTCAGTTGTCAGGTAAAAGAACTTTCTTTCCCACTGAATTACTGCATCATTAGAACTCAGAAATGCTATAGTTTTGGCATGCAAATTGTAACTGTGGAGCCATTTTCTGGTTATATGGACTTATAATGTGATTGTGATGTACTAATAATGACTGGATTCGTGGCAGGATGTTTTAATGTACACAGCTGACGAGAAAAACATACATGCTGTGGATGAGGTTAGTCTTTTCCTGTTTGAAAATACCACCTTTTCTCCCATCGCCTTTCTTTACACTGTATCATTCCGTCCCTTGACTTCCAAGTGATTTGTCAGTTGTTATGAATGGAAACATTTAACCTGGTATGCTCTTTGCTTGGTAGGATGTCTTTGTGTTAATTGTAATACTTACCTTAAACAGAGCTTGTTTTGACATCTTACTAAATCTGCTTTTTTGGTTGTAATATTTCACATCTTCTGTTGCTATCTCCCCTCCTTCTAATCTCAACTTTGAATGATATTATCAGATAACAGAAGGAGAAAGAATCACTCTTACTATGTGGTTTAGCCGGGATGCTTCTCATGATGAAGATGCAAAACTGATTTCATTTCTGTCTCAGAATTCACTGGATAAATTAGAGCGAAACTTTGACTCATATTTGCCAGTTCCTGCATCCAATAACATGTACTGGTTTCCTCCCAGTGAAGGTTTAACATTCCTATCTGGTTTTGATATCCGTTGTGCAAGATTGCATACACTGGGACTTGACATCTACTCTCCCAATGATCATATGCATTATCCAGCAGAAAAGTCATCAAGCAACTTGCTAGAATTACTGATGGGCCCATTGCAATTGGCACACGAAGATGAGCTGTTCAACAAGGTGTTTGTCAATATGATGCATGTTCTTCAGGTACTCGATACTCTGAACACCCTAAATATACTGCATCAGATCATTCTTTTTAGTGTGCCAATAACTGGTTCCTTCCTGTCGTTACTTTATTCAACAGGTGGTACAATTTTACTGTTACAAGTATCCATTTTCGTCGAATGTTATTAACGTGAAAGAAGTTTCAACGAATGTTCTGCCTCAATCAAAAGCACAACAGGAGAATATCAATTGTCTAAAACTGGTGTTTCTAAAAGACCTTCTACAGGCAGAGACATTTATCAGAAACCTAAACTGTGGGAAGAAATCACAATTTAATTTTGACTGGGCCAGTTTATCTGCTGCACTAGTTGAATGGGAAGCTTACACTGCTGCACTTGGGGAAAAATTGCTCCAGAGCTTCCCGAATTGGAAAGCACACGGTTCAATTTTTGACTGTTCAGTAAGTCATCTTATTGAAAGCTTGTGATTTTGTTACATTTAGTAGTACATACTGAAAAAAATAGAGTCTGGAGCATGTATCCTTCATCTAATTAATTTGGGAGCATTTGAGCCAAAATTATACAACAGTTACAACTTACAACAACTTAATTATCATCGGCCAACGCCAATTAGTACATGTTTTACATGGGGTAAAACCCTTTAGGTAGACTGGATTGGTGCAAAATATTACCAAAAATATCATAGTACTGAAAGTGAAGATCAGCTTTAGTAATCTTCATGGTCAAGAAACCTTGTCCATCGTAATAGAATTTCAGGTCATCCTTGTTCACTGGATTGAATTTATTCTTCCATGCCTTTGAACCTCCACCACTAGTGAGAAACTGAATTGGGCTGCATTGTTCAAAATGCATTAGTTAAACTTCACATATGAAGCTATTTCTGCTGAAATTTTTATTGAAAAAAAAAATAGCAGGAGATTTACCTTTCAGAAGTAGTGATATGTTCCAAGCAATGGTCATGTCCATTTATGTAAAGATCAACATGGTTTTCCTGAATGTAATGAAAGAGTAATAGTTTAGTCAAACCTAGAAATGTATTACAATGGCGACATATATAATTCATATAGCCTAAGCCTATCATTGTTGTAAAAATTCCATATGTGCGTTAAGAATCAGTTATCAGAAGTAGTTACCTGGAGGATTGGAAGGAGTCTGTTCTCAAGCTCTACAGTGTTGCCATGATATCCACCACTTCTAATTGTGTGGTGACCAATTACAATTTTCCAGTTTGAGGTTGATTGCTTCAATGCAGTGTCTAAATCCTGGTAAAAATCGGTAAAAAAAAAAAAGAAAAATGAAAATTATAAGTAAAAAGTTGTAAACAAAGATATACAGTTGAAATTCTGGAAGATATATAGTATTTATGTAACAAATTGATTACCTTTAAAAGATTTGAGAGATACTCTTCTCTGGGAAGAATTCCTCTCCAGTCATAAGTATGGTCTGGATCACTGAAGTATTTATCTGAAAATGGCGTCGTATCCAAGAAGAAAAATTCTGCAACATCTGTTTTACATGAAAAAAAAAAAAAAAATGATACTCCCAACCAAGTTACTCCACATTGTATAGAGAGAATTTTTTATTTTTTTTTTTTTGCCCTCATGTATGGTCCAACAGATCAGATGTATAGCTTAACAGATCAGATGTAATTTGCCCCTCTTGGTTCCAAAATGATTATTTCAGGTTAGGTTTATATTTTTAGTACAAATTATTGTGAAATTATTTTTGAGAGAGATAAGAAAGTACACCTGTGTTAAGAACATATGATCTCATACAAAACCATCTCTTATCCTTTTGTGTAAGGATTGGATCCAACTGAGCCAAAACATCACCTCTGTAATCATGGTTTCCCAAAACTGCACACCCATCACAAATGTCAGGATTTAGAAGAAAATTTCGAATTAAAAAGAAAAATAAAAAATGAGACGGTGTTAAAATGTGAAATTACCAATGTACCACTGCTTTTGTAGGCTTGGGCTCAAGTAGACATTGGTAAAGGACTCCTCGAATGCTGGGTCGTTAATTCCAGTTAGCCCATCATCATAAAAATTGTCTCCAGTCGAAACTATAAAATCTACATCGGCCTCCTCTCCCATTTTTCCCATCTGTATAACCAACATAGAGAAATGACATTTTTATTTTAAGACGGAGTGTTGCTAATAATTTAATACGACTAACATTTATTTAGTGGGTTGATTCGCACCCATTAAGTATCTTCAAATTTAATTTATGATAATGAATAGTTTAATTTAGTGATTTCTTGTAAAAGTTACTTATCTAACCATCAATCAAATTAGGCTTTTATTGTCCGATGGGGTTACAGTTTTTGTCAATATCCCTGTCTAGTACTGCCGATCATCTAGTTGTTGATAGATCCCCATCGTCCCATCCTAAAGGATGTTTTATAACAGGCTTATACCTCCTTCGTAATTAAAAATAAAAATAAAATAAGTGTTCTAATGGAGGGGAAATCCGAAGAAGGTTTTCACAATATTTTTTTTGTTGTCAATAATAGCGACTAAATCATTTGATTAAATTGAAACATCGAGTAGTATCCTTTGAATTTACTTGGTCCACAGATTATCATATGCTGGACAAAGAAGTTGTCACAAAATTGAAAGATAATTTATGAAATGGTAAAGAATATGCAACGGAATTATACCTTGCGGCACATGCCAAGCTAAGAAGACGATGTGGAGTAATTATGGAAGAAAGCAAATCAAATTATTACGTAATAAAAAGCGAAAAAGAAAAACTAAAAACAAACAAACACAATTTGACTTCAAGTTGGCGACAAATATTATACTAAGAATTAAAAAAAAAAAAAAAAAAACAAGGGCCAAACTTTGATTGGACACAAAAGCAATCAAATCATCACGAAACCCACCCAAGTTGAAAGCTACCTTGTGACTTAAGTTTTGTCGCAATGAACGAAATACTGACAATAATAGCTACAAATGAAATAAAATCAGTTCCACCATTGATTGTGTAACTATATTCTACATTACGTAAATCTCATAACATCAAAGATAACAATTTTTGTTTAAGTAATTATTTTTATTAATTCATTCGAGAGATAATCATTTTAAGACGCAGAGATTATAAAGTACTTCATCCGCTGTTATATTGACTCGTCATCATTTACCTATATAGTTAGGTATCAAACTAAAACGCACTAAAAAAAATCTTTACAGATGTATATAATCTGGTGATTTTGATGAGGATTAGTTGAGATATGACCATTTTCGAACCCCACCTGGAAACTAGGTTCATTTTTCTCAAGACTTTTTTCAAATCACAAACTGAGAAGAGCATCTTAAAGCTTAAAGGTGCTTTTTTTTTTTTACATGTACAAAGTACAAAAACGTGGTGTTAAGTTTGTGGTTCTTATACAAAGAGGAGTTGCGTTTTGGAATAATGATAAGGCTTTTAACTGTTCATTTAAACTTGTCATCATCGCCAAATTTCATTTGTTTTTGTTTTTTTTTCTGTTTTTTGTCATTGTCAAAACCTTGTACAAATCTTCATACATTTTCTTTTCTAGTAAAGTAATAAATGTTTGAGCTGTACACTCAAGTTTCAAAAAGACCACCACATTTTGCAATTGATTAGCAATTTACTCACGCAATCTCAGGGTATGTTTGTTTAGTTTTTTTAGTGTGTTTTTAGGTGTTTTTTTGTTAAAAAAATTTAAAAAAAGATGTATTAAAAATGTAAAAAAGTATGCTGGGATGAAACATTTATTATTATATAATCTGAAAAAACTATCCAAAAAACCAAACAAACAAACGGAACCTTAATGTTTCTAACCCAAAAAATGTAACAATCATACGAATTAATTACTCCCTCCACCCCATAACCATTCATCATTCATTATCCCTGGTACATATTTTATCATAATGTTTATTAGTGATCACAAAAACGAAAAAGGAAAAAACTTGATTGTATAACTTAACAAAAACACTAAAACAGGCCTAAAAAAATAATTAAAAAAAATCACTACTGGGTTTTTTTCCCCTGCATTATTAAATAAGAATCTGTAATCCGTACACAGGAGATGAATAGAAATTAAATGACGTCCTCTGTTTCTTACTTCCATGGTGATCGTTCAATCAAAACCCCACCAAAGGAACTAATAATGCATACACACAGAACACACACATGAACAGTACTTTTGATACATAATCTCTGCAAAAGAATTCCCCCTCTCCCCCAAAAAAAAAAAAAACAGAGAGAGCTTCAAATTTTCACAACAATGTCCAAAAAAACAGAGCATTTTTAAGTGGACAGAGTAGCACCTGAGCAGCAACTTGGGATTGATTGAAAAGGCCTCTTCTTCCCCAATCACCAACAACCAGAAGACTGAGTGATCCATCTGGTTTGATTGGGTGCTCAAATCTTGGAAGCTCAGCTTTACCACACTCCAGAATCAAACACAGGCCCAAAATGATCAAGATCATCATCGGTTTGATTGAAACCATGGGTTTAATTAGCTGTAGCTTTCCAAAGATGGGTTTTTTTTTTCTTCTTTAATAAATTTCGATGTTTTGATGATGATGATGATCAGAGAAAGAATAAATATATTTATAGAGACTATGGAGGGAAAATGCTGAAATGAGAAAGAGAAAAAAAAAAACAGAGAAAGAGGGGGTTTAACTAAGGAGGTAAAGACCCAAGGAAGCTTCTTTCTGAGATAGAAAACATGCTATGCTTTTTTTTGTTCTTCCCGAATCACAATGAACCCATCTTCGTTTTATAACTAAACCAATCAAATCCAAAAATCAATTAAATGAGAAAAAAAATAGTAGTAGTAGATTTTATTAGACGTAATAATAATATATGCGTATCAAATGTATGTATTTTTTATCCTGACGTATATGTCAAATGTAACAAGAAATCGTATAATATACAACCGTTTATTAAATGAGAAAATAATAATATATAGTCTCGCCGACTGAATGAGTTTGAATAATAAATTCATTTGAGAAATGGCATGACGCAAAATAGTATTCTATATTTATCTTTGTGACATTATTTTTTACTGAACCATTAATTTAGTATGGTATATCCAACGACCATTCAATGAATGACCTCAATCTGGATATCCAGATGGGTTAGAAATCTAGATCCTTTTGTGGTTGTAAACTGAACAAACATATATATCTGTCACCCGAATCAAGTTCTGATCTTTTCCAGTTTGATCGATTATTATAATAACAATTCTGTATAGGTAACATGTTGTTCAATGATTCAAGTGTTTCTGTTTGTGTTATATTTTAATGGAGATTTATGAACTGTGAGAGAGAACTAAAAGACATCAAACTGGAACTCAAGTAAGAGACATTCCCATGTTCTACATGCTGTTGCTTTTGAATGTCCACTCTTTCTTCTCTCACCTTATCTAAAAGAAGACTAAAAAAACCCATATCTCCAAAGATCATTTTAGGTTATTATATTCAAATTGAAGAACCATGGAAGAAAGTGAGCTACCAAAATTACCACGAATTTGGGGGATCCTGAAAGAAAATAATATTAAGTTGATTGAAAATGAAGAAGAGTGTGTACTTGTGAATATTGGGATTTTCAGAATTAAGCACATAAGTTATGATTAGTATTGCCGTATGAGATTGCTCAGCCTATCCAGTCAATTTAATTTTAAGTCCTGTTAAGATAGATAGATCTCACCTCCCTAGCTAGTTATGGCCTTTTCACTTTGCACCAGATTAACCAATGTCTCAGATAAAGCATCCCTGGGTGCATCACAAAGCTTTTCGACACTTTTTATTGATGTGGTGAATGTTGATTGAGTTGTTACTATGCGCGTACTATCATCGGTGTCCGAAAAGAAAACACATCAATATCCATATACTCAGTATATTCCCAACCAAATCGGTATCTCCAAAAAAAATATTCTATCATTTTTTCCTAGACATTTTACCATGGATTTTTTTTTTTTTTTTTTTTTTTTGCTCTTTTTCTACATTTCGGACATTTCAAAATGTCAGCAAGTACTACTGTATTTACAGCGGTTGTGCTTTTGCAGATTGGCAGGGGAGCTGAAATTACAAATGCAACAGAGAGAAATATGGCCTTGTGGCTAATAGCAAATTTTGCACTCAGAATACAAGAAACATATTTATTCCATTCGGCAAACAGGTCTTAGAAGTTAGAACCATTTTGGATAGAGGATACATATCACTAAGTCAAACCCAACTAACCAGCTCCAAACTAAGACTTCCACAAGATTCACAGCTACCAAGCATAAAGATATTGACAGGAAGAAATACAGGCCAACTCCATCTCAAGAGTTTCAACTTGTAATGTTGACTTAACAGAAGGTTAATGATACCAACACTCAAAGTACACAGGCTGATAAGTTATCTACAATCCACAAATTGTTCATGTTCCTCCATCAGTGATTTGGCCCCAAAAGCGCAAGAAGGAAGGTCCTATAATGACTGGAAGTTTCTGAGTGAACAGCATCATTCAAACTCTTTCCATGTTTTCGACGATACTCGGCTTTGATATATTGCATGTCAATTTCGGTCCTTGTCACTATCACACGAATCAATGTCGTATCATTGGTTCCCATACCCTTCATAGCCTTGTGTAGCACCTGATGCACGAATTAATATGAGCAAACACATGAATTCAACTTATCACATAGATGCTTACAGGATACAATATTAGGGGGAGAATTAGCTATCACGAGGAAGGTTGCAAACTTGAAAATAAAAGAACTTCAACATCAACTGCCTACAAAATTCAGTCATGCGGAGCACAGAAAAGAGCAAAAAGAGGATGATCTAGAGTTCATCTGAAGTGCTATTTTATCTCCACACAACAGTCAAGACTTGAAGGAGCAAGTAATATTGCAAGGATGAAAAGCATTATTCAGAACCAACACAAGAACTTAAACAGCTTGATCGTATAGGAAATAATACCCTCGCAAAGTACACTGCAGGGTTCTGAGCACACTGCAAAATTGTCTTCAGGGCAAACTCAAAGAGACCAGATGTTTCACTTTTGATAGCCTGCAACATGTAGGATTTGAAAATGAAGACCTCAGAAAAAAAAAAAGAAAAACCCTAACTGAGCACTAAAACAACAGTATTTTCACCTTTTTTAATGAATTCCCATACATAGCATGGTAAGCAGCATCAACAGCAGCCAAATGGGCACTGCTGCTTTCACTGAAAATGCGAATGAAAGTCTTCTCATCAGTTCCCAGCTTCTTCTCCCCAGCTTTGTAGAGAGCTTTAGCATCATAATCCACCCGTGCTCTATCAATCTCGGGTCCTTCATAGCGTGGTTTACTTACATACTCCAAAAGAAGCTATATCCAGCAAATCAGTCATATTAAAAAAAAAATATTTAGCATTATAAGGCAAAGATGGCTTATTGTTGCCAGAACTTTGCAGTAGTAATTTGAATTATAGTGCTCCAACAGATAGAATATGAAAGTCAAGTACCCAAAACCTTCAACACCGATGATGAAACAATGAAAGTAAATGAAACCAACAAAATTAAACAAGAGCCAAAAAGCAATTGGGTTTGTTACACTTACAACCCTTTGAACCCCGAAAAGAGAGAGAGAGAGAGAGAGAGAGAGAGAGAGCACCTTTTTGTGGTCTCCAGTGGTTTGATTCTCAATATCATGTTCCAAATAAGCACCAAAGATTGAATAGTAGATTTGCTTAAAATGCCGTATCTGGGTTGGAGTTCGGGAGCATATTACTTCAGTGGCAGCTCTCAGATCAATATCAATGCGCAATGCACGGCCTACTATTGTAGCATCCCGCCCAGCAGGGTCATGCAGCCAGAGAGACACTGCTCGCTGGAGCAAAATTACAAAAATAAAATAAAATAAAATAAGAAAAGTCAGTCCCACAAGTATATGGAAATTGGTTACAACTTTCTCCTACATTGCCTTCCCTACAGTGAACTCTAGTTTTTTTTGGTTTTCTAGCTCTTTGAGTGCTAGGTTATCCAGTGTTTTTACTGTTACTTGCTTCAAGACTCAAAATGATTAGGAATGAAAAAGTGGGAAATGTAATTGCCTTTCTAGGTTCTGTGGACAAACAAGGAACAAAACCAAAATGAATATACTTGGCTGTACCTTGACATCACCACTAAGCTCTGATGACACACGTTTGCTAAGTTCTTCGCCATACATAGTTCTGTATTCCTGTTGAATCAAAGCACGCTGTGTCACATCTCGATGCGCTAGAATGTTAACAACGGCCGCAGTATCGCATCCAAATCCTAGGAAAAATTTAAAAACTACATCAGGTTCCAGAGTATCACATACAAAAGTCCCCGAAGAGACTACATAATATAAGTGCGGAAAAATATTGCAGAAGAATGAGTTAAGATAGATTCACATGATATAGATCAAAACTTGAGAAACAAACTTACAAGATTACACAGAGATAACCAAAGAACAGTAAGAAGTTAATTATTGTTGAAGCCCATCATGTTAGGAATGGTCAGCAACATAAACCAAATGTCACCACTCAACAATACGTTTACATGATTACATAGTTATCATTTATCAACTAGCCAGTAGCCAAAAGAAAAGCCTCCCCAGTTTAAATGTTTTTACAAATCAAACAGCTAGAACTTATTTTTCCAGCTGAAAATGCATGTTGAGTGGTTCTGAAGATATGGGCTGTCCGAGAATCATAGCAGCTATTTAAGTACAGAGAGAGAGAGAGAGAGACCAATTATTACTACAGTTTGCAATTGACCTAGTAGAAAGAGCACTTTACAAAACTAGGTTTTAGTCAACTTCCTAACCTAATAAATCATCAAAAATCCAAAATCCCGCATGAAAACTCTGAGCAAGTTGAGAAAATCAACTACGCATTAGTTTCTGATGGATAATAAATCAACTTCCTAACCTAATAAATATTTACATTCTTTTAAGCCAAAACAAGTGTACACTTGAGAAAATCAACTACGCATTAGTTTCTGATGGATAAGAGCATTTTTCTCTACACATTCCATCCCGAAAAAAGCAAGAGAACCAGCTTTCGCCTAATCATGACCAAGTCCAAGAATCAGCCCGATTGATTCATTCACAGAAGCTTTCCTCTTGAACTCAATCAATTCCCATGAGCCAAACTACTTCCTTAAAAGGGCAACCCAATCCTCTGTACGACAAAAGGGATTCTAAAATTGAAAGCATGATTCTAAAATGGTTGTGACACAAAAATGCAACAACAATGAAGAAGGCATTATTGCATGTAACAGAAAAAAGGGGTGGTGCTGTAACAATTCCCCGCAAGCTCGAAATTCAAATTCATTCAAGAATCAAACCCAAAAATATCTGTTGCTCTGTTATGATAAATCCCCTTTTGCAGGAACAAAGGAAGAATAATCCCCTTCCCACCAGAAAGAAGGACACCCGTAAAAATTACAAAAAAAAATCAATAGAATGATTTGGGGGGAAATAAGTTACCCTTAAACGCTTTGTAGAGATGCATGGCGTCATCACGGGGAGTAGTTAACGTCGGAGGAATAGTCAAGGTAGCCATGTTTCTTGGAAATCTTCTTCTTCTTTTTTTCTATGAATTGTTGAAATATTTCTTCAATCTATCTGAGGTTTGATCCAAATTATACTATATAAATACCACTGGTCTTCAATGTCTTTCATAAATTACAAATTATATATAAATACCACTGGCATTTAAACCCAAAAAAAATAAAATAAAATTGATCAATTGACTGTGTGTGTGGAAAATCCCGCCCGTGTGGAGTCCGTGGTTGAATAAAGCGTGTCTGCAACATTATCTTAATCGCAAGAAAGCGTGTTTTTGGTGAACTGAAGTGGGACCCCCCTTATTATTTATCTCAGCGCTCTAACTAATCCGGCTTTTCGGCCTTACGATTTACGAGGCCCGCCTTATCACTATTATCCGATCCGTTATGTTTCTTGGCCCAACCGCCCAATCCTCTTCAGGCTTTTTTGTTAGCCCAATGACTCATTGAACCCCATATAACTGGACAAATTTGACTTACATTTATCTTACCCAGTCTCTAAATCACACTTGTCCAAAGTAAACACTTACATGTAAACTCCGCTGAATTACGGTGATCTATGTCTAAAATTTCCGTACATTTCCCTCCTGCACGTTACAAATTTCTATATATATATATAAATACATCCAATTGGAAAGAAAAATCAAAACGAGAAAATACTCCTATAAGTGAGTGGAAAAGGAAGATGGCACCAATTCAATTGTTAATACTAGTAGTAGCTGTTATTGTATTGTGTGTTGGTAGTACCAAGTGTTTGGCGGTAACAATAGCACAACAAGAAAATAGTAGCACAAATGATGATGATCTTCAAAGGATCTGTTCCATGACGAATTACCCTCCTTTGTGCTTCCAATCCTACAAGGCCGATCCTAGGACCCCGGGTGCGGATCTCAAGACCCTAGCCCAAATCGCCATTGATTTCTCGAAGCCTCGGGCCCAATCCGCGTTGGATTTAGTCACGGGCCTCCATAAGAATGCAACAGACAAGACTCTGGCGACCGTACTTGGTTTGTGCGTAAAAAATTACACGCAAAGCGTCGAGCTCTTAGACCTCGCAACCGAAGCCATGAACTCTAAGGACTATGACGTGGTCGCGGTCCGCGGAGTCTGCGCTCGGACTGACTCAGACTGGTGCAAATATGGTTTCGGAAGCGAGGTCGAAGAACCAAAAGAACTCAAGAAAGCGGGTCAAGTCTTGAGGGATTCTCTTCACCCTCTCACCATCATCGTTGCTGACTTGATTCGTAGCGGGTCAAGTCAGCAGGACACCATTTCTGTATGATTTCGGGTTTTTTCGCTACAATTGATTTTGCTTATATGATGAACCTCTTTAGTTAATCATCAAGTGTTAATTACGATTTTACGAAAACTATGTTTGCATAATTCGCAGAACTATTTCAAGTTGACGAGATTCGATTATAAGTAGAAAAGATTTGGAAAACCAAAATTATGCTGTTATAAGTGGAGTCCAATTTAGCTCCGCATGATTCGTTTGTTTAGCTCTGCATAGTATTGAGTCATTTTACTTTTGTTTATTCCACAATTTTTGACATAATAATCAGGATCTGTGCCACACGATTAACGTAATCAGTGACAACATCGATCCCCATTATCAAACAATCAATAATTAGGGGACAGGTTAGGAAAGATAAGGCAGTTATTTAAATCCATAATCGCAATTTAGTTAACTTTGATAAGTTGATCTTTCCTCACATTGCCATTCGTTCAGACTAAATCATTTTGTTAAAAAACATGTAAAGATCAAATAAAATATTCACAAGTGTAACATCAGCCATGATTAAGATTCAATAATGTAATAGGTTTGAAAATATATCTCCGTCTTCTGATTGGCTGGCCGCCCAAACTTTCAGGGTATTTAGTACTCCCTCATGTCCTTAATATAAGACATTTTCATTTGTCTTAACTCCCTCCGGTCCTTATTATAAGTCATTTTGATTTTGTCTTAGATTTCACCTAAGATGTATTTTTAATTGAAAAAAAAACTTAAACATATATCTTTATACTCGTCGTGTTCTACTAATTATTAGAATATGTTTTTGAGGTTTTTATTTCAATTAAAAAGATATCCTAAGTAAAAGTTTAGGACAAATCTAGGACAAATCAAACTGCCTTATGATAAGGACCGGAGAGAGTATAATTTATCTCGGTACGCATTTTTAATCAACAAAAAACCTTTTTAAAAATATTTTCTAACAATTAGAAAAATACAAAAAATGTGAAACTATAATTTTAAAGTTTTTCTTCAATTAAAAATGCATAATAGGTGAAATCTATGATAAATAAAAAATGTCTTATATTAAGAACCAGAGGGGATAGTAATTAAAATAAGTTTGCATCAAAGACATTGAGATGTAGTTCCATTGGCTACTTATTAATCTATTACTCTCATGTCTCGAAAATTATTGTCTAATTTAAATTTTTATTTTAGTACAAGTTAAATGAAAGTGAAAATATAAATTGGACAACAGTCTTGAAACAGAGGAAATATTATTTATTAGTGTAATACATACCAAGTGATTAGTGGACTTAATGCTTCCAAGGCGTGCTGACACTCTCTACGTAATTCCTAGCCAGCTAGTCCCTTGGATATGTGATTTCCCTTTCAATCCAAATCAATTAATAACAGAAGAGATAATTATTACTTTTATGCCATCCGTCCTAAAAGTTGCGAGTTGGAATTTTATTTTTTAGATTTTCAAATGGCATCTACTCAATTGTTAGTAGTAGCGATTGTTGCATTTTCTCTGGGTATATATGCATGCACAATCTATTGATTTTTTTTATTTTTTTTTGCACAAATAGTAAGTCATTCTCTTTACCCCTTTTACCACGACAATATTTATGCATTTTTAAAAAACTAAAATATATAAGTAAAATGTATTCATTTGGAAACATTGATGTCACATATAGGGGAATATTTTCATTTTGTTTTGTGGTAGAAATTATAGTCAACATTCATCAACTTGTAACTACCTGGACCTAAAATGAGATCTAGGCTGACTCAATCGAGATAATCTACAGAGACATTACATATTTTTTACTCTAAGCTAAGGTCATTTGCTTGAGACTGATGTTAATTAGAAATTTTGAAAATGCTCATCATGAAAGACTAAATCAGCCCTTCTATTAATCTATGTAACAATACATGGATATGATTTTCTCTACAATATGTCAATTTTTATTTTATTTTTTTTCTACAATATGTCAATATTCAACCTGAAACATCATATATATATATATACTAGTGGAAAAAAGTTAGGAGAAATATATCACTGTAACATGATGAGGTTGACTGAATTCATTCAAAATATTTCCCAAATAGGAAAAGAATTGGAAATGGTTCATTTGAAATTTTCAGGAATGGAGTATGACCAAATACAAAGGCCAAAGAAACCAGGGTGTAAAAAAAAAAAAACTCAAGTAAACAATTGGAGACAGTTTAACCTTTACCATATGTGTTAATTGTGTATCACAATTAAATATGTCTTAGTCTATTATCACTTTAACTGAAACGAAGGTTGCAAAACTTTTCTTTGCATTATAGTCATTTAAAATAAAGTGGTCTCATAGTAAAGACAATTTTCAAAAATTAGTTAATGTTTTTTCTCCTGTTAAAATGGATTATTGCCTAGAAAGTGAATTACTACAAAACAAACTGAAACAAGGATATCAAACTTAAGAATGACATGGATGAAGTCAAATGGCATGTAAAAGTTAAAAGAGATGGAAACTCAAAGAAAGTCAAAAATATTAGCCAATTAACCTTCTTCCACTTAGTATTTGTCAACATCAAATACTTTTTATGACAAAACCTTTTACAATTTTTAAATTTTTATTAAGCATAATGAAGATGAACCATACAAACAACATATGCACTTCTTCCCAATTGCATGGTGGGCTTCTTTGTCTCTTTTCATGTTGCAAGCAAATAAAATATGTGTAACCTTTTTTTGTGGGATTCAATTTGCTCTTAACCTGACACAGGTTGGAAGAACTATTTGGACAACTTAAAATAATATGCATCTTTTTTCAAAAGAATTCTAGAATTACATATCTCTAATTGACTAGTTTTGGCCAGTTTGAGATTTCATTTTTAGTATAATTTGAACTAAAAATAAAATTTAAACTGGATAATATTTTCGGGACAGAAAGAGTAAATTTTTTCTTCTTACAAAGAGACAAAATCAAAGTGTAATCACGTTATTGGCGTTTTCTATCCACGTTATGTTACCATCTCTTATAACTTGGTTTTAGCCTTTTTCTTTGTAAAAAAAAAAAGTGTAACCAAAACTTGATTCTGCGAAGAAAGACATATCATTATTGTTTGTTGTAAATCCAAAGGACATTGTACTGCTTTATCGGCAAAATTGATAAACGATCTGATGCAAGTTCACCATGCTCCTTCCATACGTGCCATGAATGCACTGTAAATTGTTTTCTAATCTCAAATCTTTTGTATTTAAATGAGAACGAAAGTACTGTTTTACATGAGTAAACTATCCCCATGAACTTTTCTTCTTTTCTTTCCTCTTTTTCATTTCCTCTTTTTTTTGGGTGCAATATAAACTTTAGACCCCACCAACAATAGCTTTACTGTTTTAAAATTTCTTGATGCCACATGATATAATTAATAGTATTATTTACTCCCCAACAAACACAAGAAATCAAGGATGTGGTGGTCCAAATTATGAATTATTTAAAATTTCTTTTCTTTTTTTTTTTTTGCCGTTTACCTAATTGGTTTATTTCTTGTTCAAAACTATAGAAATGGAACCATCATGCACGTCACAGTGCCTGCTTTATTTGCTATCTCCATTTTCCAACTTGCTTGAGAGTTTTGCTGCTTCCTCAGCATATATGGTCTTCTCTTCTCTTCTCTTTCTCCTTTTATGCTGTTGAAGATCATCGTCTCGGGTTACATTTTGCTCAACAAATAAATTCATATCCCATTTAACAAAATAGAGAAGTAAGCACAATTTTTTTATTTTTTATTTTCGTTTAATGAAGTCCAATCCCGTCATCATGAACATAGCTAGTGGCGGAACTACAACGGGGCTAAGGAGGTTTCAGTACTCTCTAGCCCCTCTGGACTCGGATTGAGAACTGGTTCCGCCACTGAATATAATGTTTATTCTTCAAACAAAAACAAAAACAAAAAAATTACGAGAATCACTAGATTTGTTATGTTTGTGATGTCGGTGATCAGCATTCATTTCATAGAATTTCGATCCGGGATTATATGGCTAAATTAACATAGTTTTTTCTTATTTTCTTCTCTCTCTTTTTTCCGTGTGTGAAGGTCATGTGGCCAAGATTAATAGCAAGTAAAATACTGAAGAAGAGGGTGGGGAGCAATAATTTTGTTGCAGATTATCCAAGTGATACAGAAACTTGGATTGAGCTTCCTTCTTTAGATCAAAATTTTCCCAGCTTCAACTCCGACTCCTGCATGGTACTTGACCAAGAAGAAACACAAAACTACAAGTAAGCAATATATATATATCCTATGTACTGTATATTTCCAGTACTGACAGATTTCTCATTATCTTGATGGAAAGTTCTATGATCTCAACATGGTTAATTTGTGGCAAAATTTAATGGAATTCCCTACTTGTTGGAAATGAAGATTTTCTCTAAAACAATAATAAATGAAAAAAAAGTTTTCCATTGATTTTAATGGTCTTAAAAAGTTTGTTGATTTCTTTGAAGGGTTTTTGTTGGGACATGGAACGTAGGTGGAGTTGAACCAACGGATGATTTGATTATTGATGATTGGTTAGAAACATGCAACATGTCCTGTGACGTCTATGTTTGCGGGTACTTTAATCTCCATATAATTTTTTCCTAATTAATATCGATTGTTTATGATATAGTAATGAAATTATATTTTACGCGATTTTTATTGTTTTGAAGGTTCCAAGAAGTTGTGCCCTTGAGGGCTGCTAATGTTTTTGGCGGTGAAAACAAAAAAATTACAATGCGATGGAATTCAATCATCAGAGAAGCATTAAACAAAAGAAACAGGAGTGAAGAAAAATGCAAAGATGTGAAATCCACTGGTGATGATGATGATGAACTTGGTGAATTGCCCAAGTACAGATGCATTATAAGCAAGCAAATGGTTGGGATAATGATTTCAGTTTGGATCCGAAGTGATCTTCGCTCATTTATAAGAAACCCTAGTGTCTCTTGTGTTGGTTGCGGACTCATGGGATGCCTAGGAAATAAGGTAACAACTACTCCTTCCTTCCGTCCCAAGAAAAAAGTTTAGTTCATTTTCCTGTTTTATTTCAATAACCATGATTTTATTTTTGGGACGAAAGATATACTCGTATCTAGCTATATACTGTACCATATTTGTACGTAAAGTTTTGGTGTTTTCTTTTCTTTGTTCCATTTAATTTCCTAAAAAGAATTTGGGTTGCTTTGCAGGGGTCAGTATCAGTTAGATTTCGGTTACATGAAACAAGCTTCTGCTTTGTGTGCAGTCATCTAGCTTCAGGAGGAAGAGGAGGAGACGAAAAATATAGGAATTCAAATGCAGCTGAAATTTTGTCTAGGACCATTTTTCCTAAAGGCCCTTCTCTTGATTTGCCCAGAAAGATTCTTGATCACGAGTACGTAGAAATTTATGAATGTTTCATATATTATGTATTAATCGTGTTTTATTTAATATTTTTTTTATATGAACATATATTAGTCGTAAATACAATAAGATGAATTTATTAACAAGACATGATCTTACTATATCGTACCCACCAAAGAGTCCAAACATTGATATTCATTATTCAGGTGTATAAGCTTTGATGAACTATTGTGTGTTTATGCGAGCTAAAGTTCATATAATAAGACAATATATGCTAATATTCAACTAACCACCATATATATGATCTGAAATTATTGGTCGTCCAACATATTATTATTATTTTTTTTTCTTGTCGTTCGTAGGTTCTAGAGTCCAATCAAAAAGGCTAGCTAATGATGGGTGATTACATTTTTTTTTAATCACCATCCTTTGAAGTTTTCTCTTGGGTTAATAATAAAGTAATTAGGAAAATGCATGGCGGTTGCTACACCCAACAACAAACAGAAAAGGCTGATTTCTACCTTATTACAAAATTCATTTAACCCTCGTTAGCTAGCTATTTATGAAAAGGAAAGCCTACATAACACAGCTGACTTTCTTCTCAAATTGCATTTAACTTTTGTAGATATTTTGGTTTCGGTTATAAAAGAAGTAAAACTCCTTTTCGTTAATTCGTGGAAGTCAAAGTAACAATATTAATTTATTTTATTTTATTTTTTTTAAAAAAACGTACTTATTATGCAGTCGAGTGGTTTGGCTTGGAGATTTGAACTACAGGATTTCTCTACCGGAATACGCTACCAGAGTTTTGGTGGACAAGGGAGAATGGACTGCATTGCTAGAAAATGATCAGGTAACCTTCATAGAGAAATAGTTTTACTTATATAGTTACCATTTGTAGCGTGAAGAACCACTATTGATTCTTTTACGAAGAAAACAAACCATGCACATTGTATTTTGAATATTATTATAGGTTAGAGGGGAAGAATATTCTTTTGTTTAGAGCATCGATATCTTGTGCCAAGATATTAAGGATGTAATTAAGTATTTGGTAAAACAATTGTATTTTATGAACTTTTTCCCTTCACAATGTGCTGATTTTTTTTGCCAAAATGTGCTGATGAATATATATAGCTAAGGACCAAACTCAAAGATGGACAGGTTTTCCAAGGATGGCGGGAAGGAAATATTGAATTTGCCCCAACTTATAAATATTGTCCCAATTCTGATACGTATTATGGCGTTTTTGGAGAAAGAAAACGTGAAAAGAAACGTTCCCCTGCATGGTACGTACGTGTGTGTCTATATATATATATATATATATATATATATATATATATATATATATATATATATATACTCTATCTTATTAAAATCGATCATTAATATCACTGAATCATTCAGTCGATTATATTACATTTTCTCAAACCGTGCAGGTGTGACAGGATAATATGGTTTGGAGAAGGATTAAAACAAATATTATATTCAAGAGGTGAGTTGAGATTGTCGGATCATAGACCAGTGAAGGCTATTTTTAGCACAGAAGTTAGAGTACCAAGAAAGTTGAGGGATTTCGGGAATTTCTTTTATTCAGAAAGATTTGATAAAACAGTTACCCACAGTTTGGAGCTACATTCAACCGATGATCTGTTCCTCTTGTATTGATCATTTCAAACCAAATTTCTTTCTTAATATACTATAGATTTTCCTAGCTTGTATTTTGTAGTTTGTATCTATGTATTATCTATATAAACATGCACAAGTAGCATTAATTATATACATGCCTTGTGTTTATCATCGTTCTAAGATACGTACGTCATTTCCTATCCTATACTATCAATGTGAGAAATCAAACAATTACTTTTGACATCTAATCAACTTTCTTTTTTACTCTCATTTCGTCTCAAAATAATTACTAATTGAGTTTGGCATTCATTTAGTACAAACTGAACAAAAAATAAAAAATTCAAACTGAAAAATCATTTTAAGACAAATAGAGTATGAACTTTGGTTTTAAATATGGGCAGACGATGACTGAAATTATCTTTTTCTTTTTTTTGGAAAAAAAATGATTTAGTATATTTATTTCCATCACATTAAAAAATTAATGAAATTTACCTTATCATAATTTTGTCACCAGAAATAGATTCAAAATAATTATTCTCACAGACAAGAGGAACCTACAATTTTATCAATATATAGGACGAAATGAGTTAGCTATATTTTACTCCCAAAAGAAAAAGACCGGTGATGAGCATGGTACAGTACTTCAGGTATTGATGTTCCATTTTTCAGAATTATTAAATTCTCATTATATATATTGAGAGCCAGCAAGTTGTTAAAATCATCCCATCTTTCTTAATTGTTATATTTATAGTAACTTGGAATGCAAATAAAAGAATGTAAACATTATTAAAGCTTGGAATGTTTGTTTTGGCCTAAAACACTAAATATAGTGGATACTGTTTAATTGGATATAATTGCATACTTCCAAAACCTGGTTCGTATATATGCGATCATATTGCTTTAACCCACTACCACCATTTGGGAATAAAGATCCCTTTGCATTATTATTTTGTCACTATGCAAATGGATATTTGTCATTAGACAATATTAACCAACCAAATTAAGATAATACAATAACATCACGCACTTCAAATTAAAATTTTTATTGATAACACGGTCGGATTTATTATTATGAAAAAAGTCATATCACTAAATTAACACACCAATTAATCAAACCTCCGACCTCTTAAAATAATTTTTAGAGTAGTAACTGTTTGGATATGCAATTAAGAATCGAACAATGATTCGTTGCTTTTATTTGAAAGGGAAAGCATTCTACAGTTACTTTGGTCATTTTCACGATTAAGGCAAGGGCTGTCTGTTGTGCTTTTAGTGCTTGCTCCACCTGTGAGTTGTTTCAACTTTTTGATAATAATGCTGAATTTTGATTCCTGAGATGCATGTATGGGATTATTAGTATATGAGATGGAGGTCCACAGATTGTGACAAGTATTAATGTGTCAGTTTGAAGACAGATACGATCATTAGCCCATACTTTGTTCCCTTTATTTGCTGATTGCATTTGTGGAGTTGGTAGATGAGATAATTGAAGTTTATAAAAATGGCCATTCTTTTTCACAAAGAGTACTTTATCATCGAAATGCAAGACACAGTACTTGTTGAGCTAAAACGATACAACAAATATGAATAACGGGATGACTAATGATTTACCTTGCAAAAGTAGAAAGATAGAGTAAGATGGTCTAAGGTTACTTTTAGATTAACTATCGTGATCGAGTTTATCCCAAAGAGGACATAATTGGATTCAAAATTCTTCTCTGTTCTAAACTATGATTTGATGAATCCTGTTACTTTTAGCCTTACAACTGACGGGAAAATGCCAAACACTTCAAAATTCAACCAAAGAAGCATTACAAGATTTGAATTGTCCAATCATCTGTGATCCGAACATTCGGCTTGCGGATGGTTGGATACATATGCGTCTGACCGCGTCTCATCGTAAGTGGCCCTAGTTCGATTTCCACCTTCTGTTTTCCGGGTTCGACAACTGCAGATTTTGCTGAAGAGGGTAGTCCTAATAATATGATCCTCTCCACGGTGGAACCGGGCAGCACAGTAGAAGATTTGACAGCAGTGTTAGTTGCAGCCGAATGGCTCAAACTTGAAGATGTAAGTTTACCGGATGAAAATGTGAAGCGGCGATGAACATAGGCTCCCTGCTGGAATTCAAAGCTCTTCCCATCATCAATATAAAGCTCACCTTCAGCTTCTTTTGAGCTATTAAGGGTAATAACCTATAAAGCACAAAAATGCCATCAGCGAATGAAAGATTGAAGGCACTGAGATGAGCTACTAATGGAAGGGGAAACTTTTGGTTATTCAATGCGAACAGTGTCAAAACTAGCAACTTTTGATTATACAATGGCTGTAGAGGTCCTGCAAAAAAGTAAAATGCTAGATCCACCCAAAATCTTCAATTATTCAAATATAAGGAAGCATGTGCTAAACACAACCAGCATGTTTCTCAACTTCAAGTGTCTTTGTCAGGCATCACTAATACACTAAGGGAAGGTGAGGATCCTGTACATAAAAAGAAAAGACCGAACAGCCAGAAAATAAACAAGAAAGGCAGATCAAATGAGGGAATTTCATTTCTTACCAGTGTATAAGGATCGTTCTCCATTTGGGTAGAGCTCCTACGGAACCGATCTTTTCTTGGAATGATAGTTCCAGCCCTTTGAAAGGCTGGAATGCTCTCTTCAGTGGCATCAAGCTTGTATCTCTTACCACCCTTATAAGTAGTTCCAGTTCTCGCGTCGTACCAAGATTCTTCTCCAGGAAGATAGACAGACACTTTTTTAGCCCGCTGGATACCAACCACAAAAAAAAAAAAAAATTACATTTAGTAAGGTCATAAGAGATTATGTGGGGAAAAATGGTAACAGGACCAAGATTTCAAAATACATTGAGGCCTCATCACCTCAGTGTAAATTCCTTGCACCAACAGACTGTTCCCAACCATGAAAGCCTCATCATTGCTGAAAGTTTCTTCATCAGAAGGAAATTCCATCCAGAGTGGACGTAAAACAGGAGTGCCAGTCAAGTTTGCCTCCCTAAATAATGTGTAGTAATAAGGAAGATACATATAGCGGGTATGTATAGCCTCACGGATCAGTTCGGTATTCCGATCTCTGCAATCAGTGCAAGCCAATGAGAAAAGTAAGTGTCGAAAAACATGAAAACTATAGCTGGTTAAGGGTAAGATACTGTAATTTGATGACCATAAGCACCAGATGAATTTTAAAGAATTTTCCAGATAATCATTTACACAGCCTCCCCTCCCTGTCAATTATCTGACTGATCATATAGTACAAAGGTCAACATGTTTACCACTGTACTTCCACAGTTATATTAAATAGACTAGGGATTGGTTCTTAATAAGTTTCATTGGCTTCCCATGATTTTACAGACCAGATTGTGGAAGCAAACCAGTTATGCTGGGGCTTCATTTAAAATGTTGAAAATTACCATTTAACAGTGTTGAGGAACATGAAACAACATAAATAAAATTTCCCGTAGATTCGCACATATAAGCTACCATAAGCAGTTTTTAGCAAGCAGACTTCAGCATATAAACACCAACAAGAAGATTGCTATTCAGTTGACAATAAAATTTACTAGACACCAAACACAAGGCTGCAGCATTAATGCTAGGATTTGAATTTCAAATAAGCCATATCATGGAGCAACAGAAGGTGTATTGGGGCAGACGCTGAATCTTTAGAAGGTGATCAATGTTGTAAGCACTTCAAAAGTAACAACAAACAAAATAAAAGAAATAATAAGGAGGACTTTGATTCTTCCAATGGCTTTTCACTGCTTTCCGCCAAATCTCTAATAATTAAGAGGTTTGTCCCTATATGTCACTCTAGAAGAGTTAACAACAATGTGAGCTCAGCTTCTGGAGTATCTCTTACTATGCGGAATGTCTTAAAATAAAAGATCCAAAAGGACAGAAAAGTTGAAGAAACATTTAAAAAGGAAACACAAAGGATCCGGGATTCCATAGAAACTACTATAACTATTATAAGGGAAATAACTTAGTTATGAAAAATAAGGAACAAATCAGACTAGCAAGTTGGATGTAAGGCAAGCTCATCCCACATTGGCAATTTGCTTTCATAGTACAATAGCTCATTTGAATCACAAAACATGAAAGAGTACATGGATTTTATGAGGGAAGAAAAATAGTTATGCATAAATAGGTAGGTATTGTAACAAATTTATAGAAAGAATGCCCTACCCAAACAACCATGGCTCTCTCCTTTTGGTGTCTTGATGTGCATGGGCCCTGAAAAATGGGTAGTAAGCACCCACTTGATACCAACGTACTAACAGCTCTGGCTCGGGGTTTCCAAAAAATCCACCAACATCAGCACCTGCGAAGAGTAAATTGAGCATCACCTTGTGAAAATGAAAAGAAAAAAGCCCAATAATAATAAACTTCAAGGACTTCGCTAACCAGAGAATATTATTCCAGTAAGACCAAGCGTCAAAACCATAGGAATTGAAACCCTCAGGTGATCCCAATCGGCTGTATTGTCGCCAGTCCATATAGCTCCATATCTCTGGCTTCCAGGAAAGAAGGCTCTTGACAACACAAAAGGCCTGTCATTTCCATTTCCTCGCTTGAGAAGGCCATTCGACGAAGCCATGTGGAAATAATATCCATAAGCATTATGTAACTCTCTGTGCTCAACGTTTCCATAATGCAAAGCATCTCTGGGCATACTCACCTGGTTGCAACACAAAGTGGGTTCACATCTTACAAAGACAACATTATTACTAGAACACAAACAAGCAGCAGTATATTCCCCCATATTAAAACTCTGAAAAAAAAACTGTAGCTCCTAGGTGATCACAATGCACATCATAGCCACATAACGGAGCATCTAAGTTTTTGGTTGCTATATTCTTTCATAATCTAATACAAGAGAAATCAAATGGCTTCCTGGAGTAGTAATTGCAGTGCCACAAACAATCACTTGGATTAAACATTAATAGAATGTCAGCAATTGATTAATTCAACATAAAATAGAAAAAAAAAAAAAAAAGAGCAGATCCGCCAGAGAATATCGCCTTTAGACAGCCTTAAACAAAAGCTGCAATAAGCAGAAGCCTTTGTTGTCAAAAGAAAAAGTGTTTACTGTGATAATTCAGCCAGTGAGCTTTTTCGTTTTGGTCAATAACATCTTGCCATTTCATTTTTCCAGAGTCTTGAAAACCTCAACTCTGACGTAGAAGCTTCTTCTTTTAAGAAAGTCACTAATTTTTAGCTGCATGAGCTTTGTGAAGATAATCAAGCTCCAGGTCCAAGATTTGGAATATTCTATGACTAAAAGTCTATGTTGTTACATCCTAAAATTATCATCCTATAATGAATCGACAAAAATGGACGATGCAACAGCAAGCATTAACTTCATGATTTCTAAAAGAAAAAAGAATAATTACCTCTGGACCATTAAAAACAGAAGGTTCGTTCATGTCATTCCATATGTATAAAGATGGAGTGGAGCCCACATATTGATCATAAGAAAACTTATCAGCCCACCAGGACCTAATTTCTGGATTGACCACATCAACATACGACGATGAACCAGGCCAACACCATCCATCAAAGTCCTTACCATTAGCCTCCTTGACATAATAACCATTATCTGAAGCCTCCTTGTGTATATGATAAGCATCATCCCTCTTAATATGTGGATCTACAATTGTGACCATATGCCTACCCTTTGCAGCCAACTTATTCTGCATTTCTGCTGGATTAGGGAATAGGATCTTGTCCCAAGTGAAGTATCTCTTCCCATCTGTGTGCTCGATATCAAGCCATAGTACATCATATGGAATATCATGTTCATCAAACTTTGAATCAACTCCGAAAACATCCTCTTCATCTCTATAATTCCATCTGCATTGATGATATGCAGTTGCAAACAACTGTGGCATGGCTGGTCTTCCAGTCACACTAGTGTACTGTTTAACTACATCTTTAGGCCCTGGACCTACAAAAAAGAACGCGTCCACAACACCAGCCTCGCTCATCCACAATGTATCAATCCTATGCTCATCCACTGGCAACATGATCTTATCTTCTCCAGCATTCCACCCAGAACCAAACACATCAATCTGCATTTCAGCAGCATTCAACCAGAAAAACCCTGAGGTTCCCCTGGACTTACCATGAGAAATCATGAATGGGATTGATCCATACAAGCCGAAAGGAGATTCATGAAGGTACTCAAAAACATCAAGATTAAAAAGCCGGTAGGGCTCAGAAAAACCATCCTCCACACCAGGGCCTCTGGTAGGCTTTAATGCCAGACTTGTAGCATGCTCAGGGATCCCAGATACAAAGTCAGCCCCAAAAAATGACACATCAAAACTTATTGATTGCGGACCATATGGCCGCGAATCAGTATGGCTTCTAAACCTTTCCTGCCAATCTTCCCCTTCAGTTTTCTCCCTTAACTGCTCAAAATCAAACAACCCATTTGAGTTTACAGACAAAACCCTCTTTTTACTAACTCTATCCCTCACGAAAACCTCAAACGGATCATGTCTCAACACTCCTTCATAATCATCATCTAAATAAACCACGGATGAGTATTCCGAATCGTTATCAATCTTTTCTTCACTCAGTCTCTGTAAATATAATTTCTTGCTAGAAAATTCATCAATAATGACATCCGGAACCTCAAATCTCTTCTTAGGTGGATTCAAGGAAGGATCTTCATCAATTTTAAACCTAAAAATCCCATCTTGATAAACAGAGATAGTGAGGAGTAAAGGCTTACTGTTATCCTTCTCAATCGGAGGGTCTTGTGCTTCATTATTCTCTAGGGTTCTTGGGATGAGCTTGGCGGTGAGGTCCCCGTCGTCGGAAATGGCAACGCCGGTGGCGATTAGGTTACACGCGCCGGGCTTCCTGGAGCGAGCCCGCTTGCAAAATGGTGTCTGGTCGCAATTTCTGAACTCGTCTTTTTTCCAAGACAAGGCCAAAGGGCTGATCAGGAGAAGGGAAAAGAGGAGAATCAAGATTCGGTTGCTGGAAGAATTGTTCATGACTCCTTATTTTCTCCGATAGATTTTATGCATTCAAAAGCATATCGAATTCTTTTCTTCCCGCAGAATGCAGCAAAGGAGAGCAACAATACGCGCGTGATTGTGCGGGTCTGAAAACTAATTTGCGATTGAACTCACAAGTGTAGTGTTGATTGGTCAAGACTGAAAGCTTGGGGGTGTTTCACTTGTAAAATTTCATATTCTTACCCCAAAAATATCATGTTTTTACACTATCATCAAAAAATTTTACCCCCAATCGAAAACTTAAAAATAGTACAAATTTTATACTTAGTGAAAATAATGAGAAGTTTCCTATATATCTACATAAAAATAGAGGGCAATCCCCTTTTCTTGCATAGTTAAAGGGGGTTGTGGGTAAACAAAGCTGACATGGCTACCTCGAACCTCTACTTTTTAAAAACAAAAAAAGAATTGACTGGCCTTTGTACGGCCAACTTCTTCTCCTGGTTGTCTGGCTTTCTTTTTCTTTTTCTTTTTTTTTCCCCCTTTTTTGACCCATGCATGAGGAACAGAGTTTACGCGTATCATTTCCTTTTCTGATTACAATTTCTTCTACTTCCAAGTGATCAATTTTCAGATGATGATCACCAAGGTTCAGATTTGCACGGTTAAAAGGGCTTGTGGGTAAACAGAGCTGACATGACCACTCTGTATTGGAGCGCTGCTCTTTTTTTATATATATAATTTTAGTTGGCCTTTGTACGACCAACTTTTTCTCTTGGTTGCCTAGCTTTATTTTTCTTTTTATTTCCTTGTTGACCGTTAAAACAATCTACCGGATCTACTTCAAGAATTATGGTATTATCGAAAATAGTCGATTGGTGTTGATGCAGCCAATGAATTTGATAGTGTGACTTGCGTTTTGCAATCGACCTCATCATTGTTGCCCTTAAGTTTCTCAACCTCACTGTTTCGAACCTTGAAATTTTTCGTTATGCCAATCAATTAAGGAGATTATAAGATGAGAGAAGAGGAGAGAGGGCGATGAACGTATTATGTTAACCTTATGATTGATATGAATAATAATAAAAGAGTAGAGATCAAAAATCAGATCCTCTCAGTTTGAAATTCAAATAGATATTGTCATTGATGGAGTTGAGATTTTGAGTAGCATGTTATCTGATTGGAGAAATTATTTTTGCATATGAAGCGAAAAATGAGATGGAATTTTGAGGGTTCATTTTTATGCGTCTTGATTTGATGTTTTAGGAACAGAAATGACAGAAGGCTTGGTTTTCATTTTTTGAGATTGTTTTTACTGAATTTTTAGGAAGCCACGTGTCAAATTTTTTTTTTTGGTAATGAAAAAATCTTTTGGCGGAAAAAAATTAAATATGGAGTTGATATATGTCTTCTTGTATATTGTTTTCATTAAGTACTATTCATTAACACGGAAATTGAAGCTTAGGATCCATAAAAATATGTATATGACATTAGTGTTTCTTTTGTCCATGTTTCTACACCAAAAATATTTGTTTGAAGGTATGCAAGATTCTACATTACTCTTTTCACAAATTAAAAAATGAATAAAAAATTGTACATGACATTTGAGATTGACAATGGATTAGATCCTTTGAAGATCTTGGTCCAGTATTTTGTGTGCATTTTGAGTGTATTTTAGCGGGTCTCATGGTTGAGATCAAACACGTTTTTAGTGAGATGAATTTTGTAACCGATTATCTGGCCTCTTTAACTATACAGAAGCGGTGGGAGTGCAATGATTGGAGACTTTTTTTTTGTACTTATATTTAATAGGGATATCATATTCTCGTAATGTTTTGATTTAAGTATTTAGGTGTGAAATTTCTATTTATTGGGGAAAAAATAATTGAGTACAATTTCTGGAGTCTGGTTCAATAACGACCTTGAATCATTTTGTTTTTAACCAACTTTATAGAAAAAGTATAAATCAGATTTCGTCATTTCTAAGAGATTTGGATCTCTTAGTTCCTAATATTTGTATTCGTTATACCTTTTTTTTTTGTATTCATGTATTAAATTCTTCTTTGTATATTCGTTTGTAATATTATTTAAGATAACGATCAGTTCACGTGCTAATAACATAAATTATTGCAATTTGATAAGTAAAACTTTTTTCAGTAAATTGAAGAAGAAATAAATCTATACCTCTTTTGCCACTTTTAAATCACATAGAAGGGAGTTTATCTAAGAGTAGTGATACATACAGGAAAAAATTACAAGGAACACTTAAAAGGAATGATTTGTAAATCATCTAAACTATGCTATAACTTAAATGCTTAAACCTTAAATGGAAAGTGGTAAAAATGAATGGATACATATGGATCTGGAAGGGAGTTGTTATAGTTTTGCCAAACTCAAGAGATTTATTTGGCAATCTTACTAAATTTAGAGGAGGGTAAAGTGCAATTTTCGTCGGTTAAACTATCACAAAAAGTTGGGCTGGGCTTTCACAATAGCCCACGCCTCTATGAGCCCGGTAAGCTTATAGTATACACTTCAAATCAGTAGGCCATTTTTGAAACTCCCTCCACATTATTTTCACTGTTTTGAATTTTTCCTTTTCTTTTCTTTTTTCTTTTTTTAAAAAAAAACACGCAGTCACACACTAGCGTTGGTGAGACGAGAGAGTGCGAGATGATGACAGAGCTTCGCAAATCCACCAGAGTTCGCGTTCTGGAATTCCTAATCCACTGCGCTCATGTAATTTTTTCGAAACCCTAATTTCTGCAAGCTTTATGTCGGTTTATATACATGTATCTTTTTTTTCTTTTTCTTTCCTTTTGATTTTAGTGCAAATTCCTCTTTACAGGAGCTTGAAGTTTCTCCGATGGTGAAATACTCGGCGCTATCGCTCTTTGCCGAGCGATTTTATCCGTCCATCTCTGGGTACGCAGAATCTTTTATTCCATTTGGTAGCCGTTTGCCTTAACTTCCCCCTTTCTTCCTTTTTTTGTAAGTTCAAATCGAGAACGAGATATTTAGGGAGATATCGCGATTGTCAGGGCTTTATTTAATTGAATCTGGGAGTTTATTATTGCTTAATGTAGTTGTATGTGGACATTTCTGAATTTGGATTGAATTGCTTCCCGGTTTCGATTATTTATTCCCTCAGGCAGCATGAATGTTTTGACACATATTGGATTAAAAAAACTACTTCATTCAAAATGTTGACGAGAATAGAGCACGAGCTAAACACTTGTGGAGGGAAGATCTTAAAAGACACATTTGGTTTTAGTGAAACATTATGTTTTCGTATAAAATCATGAATTACAGACTTTAGAGCAAATGTGGCACTCATGTGCATGTTTGTTAGCAGATCATGGTGATTCCATAACTATGGCATTTGTAATTTCTTTTTTTATGCTTGAGTTGTAATGTTACACAGTCATGCTTTGGTGCAAGTAAAGTATATTTCTAAATTTTGATGGAATGAACTTTAGCAATATTTTCCCTTTTTGTTTTTGAAGATTATTGGAGAATAAGGCAACAGAACACTGGCTGTTACACCCCATGACTGAAGGCAACTTACAGCTGTTTGCCCTTTCTGCATTATGGATCTCAAGCAAAGTAATTTTTTCTTTTTAACATTTTAAATGTACAATGTGGATACCATATTTCTATTCACTTCTTGACTAAATATTTGGCAGATGCATGATTCTCCTCCACTGTCCGTCAAACACTGTAAGAATTTAGCCAATAAGTATATTCGGGAGCAGCATTTTACTCTAAGAGATCTCCTGGAATCTGTAAGCTAGCTATTTGTGAAGAGAATACTTAGAAGCATGGTTTGCTTACGATTGCCATTGTCATAACAACGAACAAAACTTTCTGCAGGAGATACTGTTTATGCAGGTGGAGTTCTTAGCTATGATTCCTTACTAGTGAATGCGTGAATAATACTTTATGTTTACTTAGTTGGGTGGAGTACATTATAGGCTTACTTCCCCTCCATTTTAACAACAATAAAAGGGTGGCTGAATAATACTCATAAGGTTTTGTGTATTGTGCAAGGTTTCTGAGTTCAGGATTGGTACGCTGAATATTGCTTTTGTTTTTCTGGAAGAACTTCTTGTTCAGCTGAGGTGAGTTTCTTCTGCTATCTTTTACTGGCAACAAACAATCATCTTTCAATAGTTAGTATTATCTTCTTTCCATAATAATCGAGCTAATTCATTTTGCCTGCTTCTTTCTTGTGCAGAGAAGTTGCCCAAGTCGGAGAACACGTAAGGCTTGAGACTTGTATGGATATTTTTGACTTACTCTATGAAGAGGAGGAGAAAATGATTCTATACAATTCTCCCTTCTCTTTGGCTGCATCTCTGTTGGTATGTTTCTCTTGTAACTTTGATGGTAGCTTTTCTTTATTTTATTAAAAAAAAAATTTTGTTAGTTTACTGTGAACTTTTTGTAAAAGCTCCAATCATCGACAGGTTGTTGCTTATGTGGTTACTGTTCCAAAACGAAAGTGGGAGTTTCCTATTCTTCCTTGGGGTAAGAAATATACATCATTCTTATAGTTCTGTCTTTTTCAGTTTCTTCCTTTCTCTTTTTGCATTTTATGCTCCTTCCCAATGGTTGATCTTACAGTTTCCTTTTCGACATATAATGGTTGTCATTAATAAGACCTGACTCATTTATCATCTGTGCCGTTGTTAGTACTAACCTGTTGATAACAAATTAACTATCATACTTACCTGTTGCTTAAACTGCTTTCAATCAATATGATATCATCTGCATTTTCTGCCGGACAGCCATTTGAAACATGTAAGTCTTGTCTAGAAAATAAAGTAGTCTACTGAATGCTAGTGGGAATGACATGGTTTTTTGTGTCATAGTTTCTGTGGGCACTTTTGAAATTTTATAAAATGTGCATATACGCATCATGTTGCTGATTTTGATTCCTTTTGTAAAGTTAAAAAAGAACTTTTCGGCTCCCATTAGTTTCTGGAATAGTTAGTGTGTTTCAGCATAATAAGTTCTATGATGCTATTTGAGCTGCAAGCCACTCGACAGTTCATACATTCTGGTTTTCCTGGATTCGTTGTCCACCGAGTGAAGATAAAGAAGCAGGTCATTTAAATGGTTTCTAACGTTGTACCGTCTTGATCTCGTTTATATATTAAAACCAGAACTTCACAGTTAACTTCCTATTACGGTAACTCTGTACACATCATATAGATCACTAAGCCAGCCATTAAGAAGTTAATTAATCACACAAAAAGACTGATTACACTTTGTTTAGAGATCACCAGTTTAAGGCATTACTATGGTGATTTGGTAAGGATGTCTTCATTCTAGGTAATCGCGGTTAAGTGGTGATTTTGATTACTGTTTTTTTGTTATTGAAATCACATGTTAGCTGGGGAAGTTAAAATGGTTAATGAAAACATGAAAGCACGATGGAAATTGGTGGGGGAATGGCGGTTTTTTGAACTTTGGAATGCCATTGTGGTTGTGGCATCGAAAGTTAAGTTTAGAGGAAGGATAGAAATGGAAATGGAGTTCTATTCACAACCAAGGACAGGGACAAAAATTTCCCAAAAATTTGCATGATTATTTTCTGAATTCTTTACTGACACAAGTTTCTTGTGATCCTATTTGGAATCCAACCTTTGATACAATTTCCACTTTTCAATATGCATTTCCAGTTTTCCACCAAGAGAGTCCATCATTCAAACATTGATTTGTTCATCTAATATGATGCTATTCTATGTAATGATGTTTTACTATGCCTGAAACTTTTTGGGTGTTCAAAGTTAACTTGAGAGCTGGCAATTGAAACTTTTCCCCTGGAATACTTTTCACTTTCATTGTAGTTGCAATGTCGAATCTCTTATATGGAAACTATCACTAACTTTATTTCCGAGTCTTTGCGCTATTTCATTACCTCTGCATTATTCTAAATTCTTCTTCTTCATTTTTCATTTTATTTTATAACACGTTGATTGTACAGTTTGCTATGACAATTGACTTAACTCTATGATTTGATTTGTGATGATAACGACTTTTTAAAAAATACGGTAAGTAAATGTGCCTTTCTCTACCCACCATTGTTGCTAAATTAGTGATTCTCCTCTTCTTCATATATTGTGATCTTTATCTGCCATATTGACTACTGTGTAGTGGTCCCTTTTTGTTGTCAATTTTATCAGCCTTTCTTTGTTTGATTAACACTGAACACCAAAAGATGAAATGCATCTGCAGATTAAACTGGTCATCATTCTTCAATACCAAAGTAACAGGGAGCCTTTAGGACTCTTAAAGTATCTTTAATGAGACGCTTAAAAGTATATTTTCAATAACGAGGTAGCTCTCATATAACCTTTCCTATAGCAGAACAGGAATGGCCAACAACAAGTGCTTATTAAAGAAATTCAATGATACAGAACTTAACTCAGTAAAGTAAACGAAACATGGTTTCTGGGTTTATCAGAAATTTACCCTAGTTACAGTATTATTCTGTTACTTTGTATTGATAGTAACATATGTAACAGTTCAACTGTTTATTTTGGTTTTGGTGCAGTGAAATTTGTAACAGGATGCAAAGAAGAAGACATCTTGACTTGCGTCGAAGATATACTGAAGCATGTGGTTTGCAATGTCAACATGACTAGTACGTAGTACAGAGTAAATACAAGTTGTTCAACTGGTACAATGTAGAAGGAATTGCTTTTGCATAATCTCTTACCAAACCCGTTTTTGGTCTTAATAATAATGATAATTTGATGGAGGTTAGTAAGAGACTAACACCATTTCGTCAAGGTTTTGTTGTTTGGCTTTAGGCTCCATCATATTCATTGTGTCGGCAGATTATTATTTTTAAGCTCATCAACCCCACATAATGAGAGGATAATATAAGTGCTATGATGCGAAAGCTAGAATTAATCAGAAAAGTTACTTTCTTTTCTTCTCTTCCCAGTTCCCTTCTCCTCCTCCCCCGCGAAAAGAAAGCACTGCAATCATTATTAAGCCTTCCCAATTAATTTGCCCTTTGAACTCTGTAGGAGTACAGGAAAAGAATTGCTCGTGTAGCTTATCCTTATCTTTAAAACATCCTTAGAAGCTGGATTTTTTTTTCTTCTTCTTTTCCTTGAATACAGTACAATATGTACTCCCTCCTTTGTTGTAAGTTTAGATTAAATTTGTGACTTTTAAATATAACCAGAAGAAATAATAGCTAACAAGATAGCCAACATCAATTAAATAAATATGTTCAACAATTAAACATAATAAATGAAATATGATTATTATTATGAGACACATTTAAATATGTCATAGGATAAATAACATGAATTCCCATTGCATTATTTAGCATTATTTAGTACACATAATTAGTTAACAGGTTGACTAATAAAAAATTGCCAATCTAATCATTGGTTTGAAAATTCTTAACTATTTAAATGTAGGGCAGCGAGAGCATTTTTAATGTACAAGTACTATATATATATGCAATGAACACTTGCAACCTAATCCAAAAAATTAGAACCCAACAAACCATTAATAAACGTAGACCCCTCCTCTAAAGATATGCATTACGCGTATGATTAATCATGAATCTACTACTAATAATTTGCAATGAGTACCTTGTAATTGCAAAATGCCAGTCCCAAAAAAAAAAAAGAAAAGAAATTATAAATACGCCCTCTTTGGGTCTTATAGCTGATTGTATATTGTTTCTTTAGCCGTTTTCGAACGGTCTGGAAGTAATAGACATGAATACAATGGTAGATGTTGAAGTAGCTTGGGAAATTGATGGCAAAGAAAAGCTTCATTAATGGAGATTATGGTTTGCTGAAGCAAGAAAACTATACAAACGAGTGAAGACAAAGGCATCCAACTCGGAATTGCATGGCATCAAATTCGACGTACCTCACTCCATTGACTTTGATGCAAAGAGAAGAGTTACTATGGGTCCGTCCAAGCCATTTTTTTTTAATTATTTATTTTATTTTATTTACGGGTCCAAATTAAATTTTGGGGGTACTAAAGTAGTAGTAGTAATAATTGAGTGAAGAACAGAAAATACATAACTCATCATAGTATAAAATTCTGTACCAAAAACCGAATTAACCAAAGGGGACAATAAAAGAATCATTGTAGTCCACCCACCTCTATCATTCATGTAATTAAAAAAAGGTTATTGTTTGTGTTTTATTACATTTTGACTACTAAAAAGGAATCAAAGGTCTTACATTTATTTGATTATTAGAGGACTATTCCATGCAATTGTCATTTTCTTTTTCTTTATTTCTCCATCCTTACAAAAATAATCTTTTTTTTTAATTAAGATTCTTCTTTACGTGGTTCCTCAAAACAGTCTTGTTTATAATCTTTTTCACCTTTGGTAACCTTATTTATCATGATCGAGACATCGAGTATGGTTTATGATTGAAAAGCAAGGAGCCCCGGTTAATATGATTTGTTCCAAACAATCAAGTAGATTCTTGGAAGAGATTGTAAAATCCATTTGGGGAATTTTGCTATAGATTGCTTAACTATTATTAGGGCTAAAGGGTCTTCGTGTTTACTTATTCTAGCTTAAACAGGATGAAATAAATGTCTGATCATCAAATTGTAATAGTGTAGGCGTTGTAAGATTTTTTTTGGTCTTTTTCTTTTGATAATGTAAAAACAATGCAACAAAAAGAAGAAAAAAAAGAAAAAGAAGAAGCACAAGTTCAAATGATGGCACTCTTTTTTCTCCTACCTGGTTTTCATCGAAATGGTACGGCACCAGTTGTAACGAATTGGACAATTTTTATTGAACAAAAAATATTGGATAATTCGCTAGAGAAATAAAAATTGGTCCTTGCCATCTTATCTTCAATCAATTACTATCTCATCATTTATGAAAAGGTCCGTAGCCAGAAGAAAATGTCTCACTACTCACCAGTCACACCACACACACTTGCAAAAGAAAGAAAGAAATAATGAGATGGCCAATGGGGGCATCTACAATAACATTTGATGCTGCTGATTTGATTAGTCCATTTAATCCTCGCATGATCAACCCTTCGTGCACTAACTTGTTGAAGTAGCCATTCTGCTCAATTTGGGAACCATAAGTCGATAATCACTCGTCTCAAAACTTCCTTAATATTCAGGATTCGATTCACTTGATGATATTATTTGTATCAGAGTAAGTGGAGTAACGAAACTTAAGCAAACGTAAAATGTCAAAGTTTGTCATCCCATCCAGACTTACATGGAGTTTTTTTTTTTTTTTTTTTTTTAAATAATACCTGATATTAATCGGAAGTATTTATGTTATTACATCAGCTTATATGGAATTATTTGTAAACTCTTTATCATCATTGGACTATATCAGATAAAACGTACGCACAAAATCCCCCTAAAACCCCAAAAATCTCCAGACAAGAATTTGCATTTTTAACTTTTTTAGTCCTTATGTGGAATGGGGGTGTAAAGATAAATGTAACAAAACTGCCATTTTTAGTTTTTACTGAGAAGAAAAGGTCACAAGATACTTTTGCACACTTTTAAACTCAATTCTGTAATAATTGCAAAGAATATTTTTTTAATTCTACTTTTTCCCCACTGAATTATTTAACACTCAATTCCCACCTCCCCTTTCTCTCTCTCTCTCTCTCTCTCTCAAGTCTCTCTTCAGCTCTTCATTTCATACTCCAAAAATATTCACTGCCCATCTCCATAGATTCAGCAAAAAAACTACTCTACAGATCCATTCACATTGGTACATTTCAACCCCACCCCACGAAGAAGAACCCTAAAACCATCTTTTCTGTTTTCTCTCTCTTTCTTTTCCTCTGTCAGCATTTGGCAATTTTGGTTGGTACTTTTTTGTAGTATTCCTTCTTAACTACAGTTTGTACTTGCTTGTTTCTCTTTCTTTTGTTTTGGGCTTCTCTGTACCTAATTAGAACAGATCATTTATACGTTTGTTTACTCAAAGCACAACCAATATACCACCAAAAAAACAAAAACAAAGGTACAGGGCAGCCTGCAATCAATCATATAGGTTGGTTGGCACTTGGCTTTGGCTGCTGCTCATTTTTATCTTTGTGTTAGGTGGCTTTAGTGGGCGCTGTTTATGTCTTAAAGCTAAAGGTCTTTTGGGAGTTAAGGAAGAGGAAGGTTCAGATCTGTTATACCAAGTGATAGATAATGGGATTATACAAATGCCCTTTTACTCATCATTGTTGTTCTTGTTATTATTGTAAGTTTTAGTTTGACTAAGAATAGAGAGAGAGAGAGAGAGACAGCTAGATTTGGAGGGAAAAAAAAGAGGGAAAACTAAAAAAGAGGAAGTAAAAAGGGCCAAGAACCTTGTAAAACTGGTCAAAAGAATCTTTCTGTTTAGTCGGTTTTTGGTTGTGAGAAGCTTTTGAAGTTCTTGAATTGAAGTGCTTTTGCCTGTTTCTGCAAAAGGCCTGGTTTTGATTGAACTAGCTTTGAAGGGGAAAAAAAAAAGATAAAGAAAGAGTCTTTGAGTAGTTTATGCAAGAGATGTTGGCATTTGGAAGTCCTCGCGCCGACAGTGGGAAGACAAGCATCAGTTCTTGCCATGTTATGCTCAAAGAACTTCAGGTCTGTCTCGCTTTAATCTTGTGTGTTCGTTTATTTGTGGGGGACATTTTATTTTTCTTGAAAAAAGTTAGCCCCCTTTTTAGCTTCTGAAAAAGAAGTCCTTTTTGGGAAGTGTTATCATGACTTCAATTTCAGTTGTAATTTCTTCAAATTCTGTAGTTTCTGGCTTCAATCCAAAACTTTTTAGTCTTGTAGAGTTGGGTTTGCTGGTATGCTTTCTTTCTCGGGGTTTTTTTTCTCTGATTTACTTTTCCCTTTCTTTAAAATTGGACTATTTTTTCAACGGGTTTTTAGTTTTGTCCCACGACCCGGGGTGACGTACCGTAGGCTGAAGCATTTTGTCCTTGTGTTGTTTACTGGGTTGAGCTCAGTCGTATGCAGAGATATTCGTGTCTGAATTGATGTTTAAGAATGTCTATTTAATATTAGATCAATTTTTAACTTGTCCTGTGTCTGGAAAGTAAAAAATGTGTTTGCATAGTTTTTTCAACTTGGTTTTTCTAGTTTCAAAGATTGAAATTTGATAATGATTTTGTATGTTGTCTTAAAGAGATTTTAGTAGGAACTCTGCTTTTCAATAATACATGCTTATTAAATGACTAATTTTTTTTTTTTTTTTTTTGGATTGCCCCTTCTGTTTGATTGCAACATGTTTGGTTCTTTAACTGGTGCCGAGTTGGTAATGTATTCTATCCCTGATCCTTTGTTGGCTAATCTTTTTTTGGTGGGTAGCAATTATGGACGGATATCGGCGAGAATGAAACAGATAAGGACCGAATGCTGACGGAACTGGAGAGAGAGTGCTTAGAAGTTTACAGAAGAAAAGTTGATGAGGTTGCCAACTGCAAGGCACGCCTTCATCAATCTGTTGCAGCTAAGGAAGCCGAGCTTGCGACCCTTATGGCTTGTCTTGGTGAAATGAGTGTAAACTCTCCGGTAATAAGAATCTCTTTAGCAATTGAAAATCTTCCCTTTGATTACGCATTATAGTATTTTTTCTGCCTTGTGTATCTTCTACTATGCTTTGCATGAGTTCTGGTGTTAGAAATATGCTGATTGCTTTCTGGAAAAAAATACTATTTTTAATGGGTGGGGATTTTTGTGATGGATGCGTTCCTCTATTTGTTGCTAAACATTTCAGTTGGTATCCTTTCTCTTTAATCACTGGATCATATTAATATTGAGGAATGTTTAAGCTGAATAACAGATTCAATCAACAAAAACCTGAATTCCATCTTTCATAAATTGTTTTATTTGTTATGTGATGTGAAGTTCTAATTTCAATGTGCCATTTGTTAGATCCAGTTGGAGAAGCGGTCATCTTTGAAAGAGCAGCTTGCCTATATTACACCACTAGTTGAGGATCTGAAGCTAAAGAAAGAGGAACGGTCCAAACAGTTTGCTGAAATTAAAGTTCAAATTGATAAGATCACGCTCGAGATTTCTGGATGTGGCCATATTATCAATTCAATGAATTCCATGAATCTGGAAGAGCAGGACCTTTCACTGAGAAAGCTCTCAGAATATCAAACAAATCTGCGTGCTCTTCAAAAGGAGAAGGTATATCCTTGGTGATTACAGTTTAGTCCTGTCTATTTGTAGTTGTCTTCAAGATATCTGTGGCTTTTAAATTGGATCTGTAACCGTTGCTATACATCTGTTTAACTGAACTGCATCATCATTCATAGATTGCCAGTTTAATCTCCTCTTTACTCACGATCTAATCAATTATCTGTAAACTTGGTTCTATCGAACTGGAGTGAAATTTGGGTGCTTCAGAAGTTGCTTGGAGCAGGATTTCATGCTGTTTCCTCGAAGGAATACTAGTAAAGTGAAAGCGTCCAAGTGCTTGAGCTGTCTATGATCTTTAACTGTATTGTACATTATGCACTGAGTAACCAAGAATTTTTGTGACCAACTTATTTTAAGAGACAAGCTGATATACTATTTGCCACTTGGAATAGCTTTTGTAGACTGTCTTCATTGTCTGACCTGAGGAGAATGACAGTTCATGCTTGTATGTATAGATTCACAAAGCCATAAAGAAATATCGATAAATATAGTAGAAGATTTCCTTCTCTGAATTATAATAGTAGTGTTTTTAATCTCACGGAAAAACATTCGTGTACTAATGAGTATTTACTTTTACTGAGAATGTAGCTAAATTGATGTATTATTTGTGATTTTTGTGGCAGTCTGAACGCCTTAAAAAGGTTTTGGAGTTTGTTAATGAGGTGCACTCTTTATGTGGTGTGCTTGGCTTGGATTTTGGCAAAACTGTCAGTGAAGTCCATCCAAGTCTACATGGAAGCATTCTGGAACAATCTACTAATATTAGTGATGCCACATTAGAAGGCCTAGAACAAACCATCCTTAGACTGAAAACAGAGAGAAAAGTCAGACTTCAGAAGGTGATTTTTGCAGCTTGGTAGTTGTATTTCTAAATTTATTGATTTCTTACTAATATCCATCTGCAATGCAGCTAAAAGATGTTGCTGCATCATTGTTTGAACTATGGAGTTTGATGGATACTACAAAGCAAGAGCAAGTTACCTTCTCAGGAATAACTTTGATTGTTAATTCAGCAGAATCAGATATTGTGGAACCAGGGGCTCTGTCACTGGATGTTATTCAGCAGGTATTACAGCATCTGCATTGTTCTCGTATCTTGTTCCAGTTATCTTCATAAGTTTGTCCGTTCAACACCTTTTCATCTCTGTGTCCTGATAGATATCGGGTGAAGTTGAGAGGCTTACTACATTGAAAGCGAGTAGGATGAAAGAGCTGGTCTTGAAAAGGAGGCAGGAGTTAGAGGATATTTGCAGTCAAACCCATATTCAACCCGATTCAAGCACTGCTGCTGATAAAGCGAATGCTATGATTGATTCCGGTATGTGAACAACCTCATATAATGCGGTCCACAATCTTATGCATGCAACTAATTGATGAGCCTGAAAATTTTCGTTGCAGGTCTTTTAGATCCCAGTGAACTATTAGCCAACATTGAAACACAGATTAGCAAAGCTAAAGAAGAAGCTTTTAGCCGCAAAGAAATTATGGACAGGATTGAAAGGTGGCTTTCTGCATGTGAGGAAGAAAACTGGCTTGAAGATTACAATCGAGTAAGCTATAAAACTTTATTGATCTATTTTCAATTTAATTTAAATGTATTTAAAGGGTTTAAGTAAATTTGTGCGATTAATTATTGAGATTTTCCTGATTGGCAAATACTAATGGCTCTGGATGACTATTAGGATAACAACCGGTATAGTGCTGGAAGAGGTGCTCATATAAACCTGAAGCGTGCAGAACGAGCAAGAATTATGGTCAATAAGATTCCAGGTATCTACACTTGTCACTGTATAATTTATCATTGTTGCTTGAACCGGAGAAAAGATCTAAATATATAAGCAACTGTTTTACAGTTATGGTTGATGGTCTCATTAGCAAGACCCTGGCTTGGGAAGATGAGAAGAGGAAGTTGTTTCTATATGATGGGGTGAGTTATTCTGCAGATTAACATTATGCTCATTTATATTCTCATTTCCATTGAGGGGAAGAACCCTGACTAATTTTCTCTTGTATATTTTTCTTGTGCTTTAGGTGCGCCTGGTGTCGATATTGGAGGATTACAAACTAACTAGACTACAGAAAGAGGAGGAAAAAAGGCGAGCTCGGGTAAGAACAATCTTCTGATGTTTTATGGTCAATCAGTAGTTCTACTCTAATACATTAGTCAGAAAGTTTGTGCTGTTAAGCACTTACAGTTTGTTCAGTGATAATGAAAAACTTGTTTAGCTTTATGCTCTACTGTCTTGCTGGATTTATATACAACTTTGAGGCACTCTGTTGTGCATTATCAGGGACAATACTGTTCTTCTAAACAAGAATGCTCTTCTATGTGTTCTAACAGGATCAAAAGAAACTCCACGATATGTTACTTACGGAGAAAGAAGCCATGTATGGTTCTAAGCCTAGCCCAAGAAGAAACAACAGTCTCAGAAAAACAAATAGCTTTCGTGCTAATGGTAATGGCTCTATGACTCCTACACCTCGACGAAGCTCAGTTGGAAGTGCTACTCCAGAACTCTTAACACCTCGCTCCTACTCTGGGCGGCAAAATGGATATTTTAAGGAAATGAGAAGGCTTTCCACTGCACCATTGAACTTTGTCGCAATACCTAAGGAAGACACCATTTCCTTTTCATCTGTTTGCGGTTCTGAGCCAGAATCTCCACCTCAGAGCTAGAATCCAGATTTACTTTGGTATGTGCTACAGACTTACATTAGTTTAGTGCTAGGTCTGTTTATAATTTACTCGAAATGTCAATGCCTGTTTGTAAATCAACATGTCAAATCCTACTTCTGTCCTACGTTTAGAATCCTTTCACGTGTTTTTGATAAGTTCCATTTCATGTCAAAGAAAGTCACTCTAAATTCTGGAACTTAATGGCTCCGGAACTTTATAATGAAAATATATTTACCATGTTTTGCAGATTGTTGCGATCTAGTATGACTCGCTTTGGGAAAGAAGAGTAGCTGAAATCTTGTGAATATGGATGACTATGTATGCTTGTGAAGTTTACGTAAAAAAGGTGGCTGACATTTCAAATTTGTTGTGGATGATGGATCCCAATCAATTGGTGGCTCGAAGCTGTCTTAGTGGTAGGCTGTTGTGGATATACTAGGTCAAAATTTAGATCTGCCCTGTTGGGATAGGAGATACTGATTAATCCTGCTCTCATGTTTTTCCATCTTTCCATCTGAATGTATATATAGTCAGCCTGATGTGCATGATTTGAAGTAGAGGCTTTTATTGTTGTTGGGCAACAGCCGTTGTAGCATTTCTATAATATGTTAGGAAACGTTTTGAGATGTCAGATACTAGATCCTAGTGAAAAGTCTGCCGTTTATGGTAATGATATTGGTTACAAGTAGCCGTAGAAGTCTTTTTTCTTGCTCTTGCCTGATAATTTTTAGTTTGCTACAATTACAGAGTGGTGAACCACTCTCATCAGTACAAACAAAATTCCTTATGGAGAATGAATTCACTACTGAAAACATTACAACAACAGATATACATGAAAATAACACAAAAATTTCCGAGCTTTTTACTCAGAGGTCAAAATATAATTGGCTGTACAGCAGGAGGTACCAAGTTGTGTAAACAATCCGCAGTTGCTGGTCTATTTGATCTGTTCCATGATCTCAAATAAAGAATATGTTAGTACCATGATCTCTATATGGTTTCAAACTCGCAATCCTTTGAGATCAACAAGGTAAAAAAAATTAGTGTTGTAATTCGAAGCGCTTGATACATATTTTAAAGACAACGCTCGGTGTGACTATGTAACTTTGACAAAACTTGAATTCTTGAAAAGGGTTAAAAAGGGCTGCTAGTCAATTCTCATACTATAGACCATGGTCCATATTTTAACATAGACCATGGTGTTATCTCGCGCTTCCCCCTTGAGAAAAAATAAGAGAAAATCAAGGGCCTAAATTTTAAAATCTTACTCCTTTATCCAAACTCCTAAAAACAATTATTATCTATTGACACTACTATCCTTTTCACTATCAGAATTCGGAACGCCTCTTGCAACAAAACTAAGACTGGAACCTGCAGTTCTTGAACATTCCCAAGCCTGTAAAAGGTAAATATTGTACATGCTTGGTCTTTGATTATTGTCGGAAAACTTTTCATGAATCATGCGTACGGTGAAGAACGTTTTGGCTGACATCTTGATTTTCTTTAATTTTCATAGAAATATTTAGTAATGACAATTGATCCAAAACATTCAAACGTCATTGTATCTTGGAATGCTTAAATCTGCACCAAGTTCTCTTTTTCGGTCTTACATTAATTTATGCAAATTCAATGGTTTTTTTCTCATCAAATTATATTAATAAACTAGTGAAGATTGATCAATGGGGAACTTTTTGGATACAAGAGTTTTTTTTAATCTCTCTTCGAGGATGGTAGGTGATTTGTTGTTATTTTCATTAATAAATGATCACACTGGAAAATTTTAATGATTATAATTTGTTATTTTATATGATTAAATTTTTGTAAACTTTGTACATTGGACTGGAAACTCTGATTTTTGGATAAGTGAAATGACAATCTCGTCGGAATCATTTAGATGGGCAACAAAAAAAAATGTTTTTTTTTTAATTTCATATTATATTGGTTCATACAATTTTATATGATTATTCATACATTAATATCATCTCGTTCATACGTGCTAATAGGCAATTGTTTATACAATTAGTCCAATAGCTTGGCCACTCAGATTGACATTATCCATACATTAATGTTTGTCGTTTACTGTTTTTTTTTTTTTTTTGGTTGACATCGTTCATACAATATTGTGGCGTTGTTGATTCGTTTAAGCATTGATTATGATGTATAGTTTCTGATATTTCATTAAACTTAATGCATACCCATTTATGGTGTTCCGACTATGGAAATAATGTTCTTTTAGGTTTGTGCAGGTTTACCCAATTCTTGTACGTAAAGCCTATTATGTTCACAAATAGGTTTGTGCAGCTATCACCTCAGGGTTTATACCTTCTAGTGTTAATTGTGAAGTGGCGACGGATATCATTATTGGTATTAAGAGTCCACTTTGATGAGATATGATTGTGCAAACATTTAGTTTCAGTGTTCTTAACACATGATCTAAATGTTCAAAATTTGAATCATTGTATATGAAAATTCAAATTCTCTATCTGTTCCAAATAAATAGTTCACATTGAGTTTGTAGTTCATATTGAATTTAAATTTTGTACTGTTTTTAGTACAAATATGGAATTTTTTAGGGGTTTTTATTTTTTTTTAATGGAATGGAAGGAGTATGTTACTTGATATGTATTATACTAAAATGTTTGTTCCTACAATTTCATATATAATGTTCATACAAACAAAGTTCACAACATTCACACAAAGATAAAGTAGATGATAACAGACAATGACGGCAAAATGTTCACCTTATTACACCTTAATGCTCATACTAAATTTAGTACTTACTTATAGAGTTAATCCAAAAGTAACCTAGGACCATCTTTTGCAGTTACATAAATCATTATTCATCATCATGTTATCTATATTTGTGGCATCATTTTAGTTCAACAAATACAATGCTTTCGGTCGAGTTTCGGCCGCGTATTATTATTATTATTATTATTATTATTATTATTATTATTATTATTACTCCCTCCGTCTCATAATTATTGTCCACTTTGCCCAAAAAATTTTGTCTCAAAATTATTATCCAATTTGACTTTTTATGGATCAAGTTACACATTTGTTCTTAGTAAAAAACATTATCCATAAAATCTTTGTGATTAAACAATTACTTATGTAGGGGTATATCCGGTTGTTCAAGATAAAATATAGTTAAGTTTGACTAAAAATAAAATTTTACATTTTAGTAAAATTGGACAATAATTATGGGATGGAGTGAGTATTTCTGAAAATGACCATATCCATAACTACCAACTCCTCAAATTCAACCAGGAAAAAAAGGCACAAAGTATGGGCTAATTATGGTATCTGTCTTCAAACTGACACATTAAAACTTCTCACATTCTTTGGACCTAACTGCCAAATACCATAGCATATACTAATAATCCCATACATGCATCTCAGGAATTAAAAAAAAAAATTAATGCTAACTTTTGAGTGAACAAGAATAACCTAGAATGCTTTTGCTTTCAAATAAAAGCAACCTAGAACAAGAAATTAATCCCATACCTTGCCTCAATGGTGAAAATGACAAAAGTAACTGTAGAATGCTTTTGCTTTCAAATAAAAGCAACCTAGAACAAATAATTGTCGAGCGATCACTGATTACGGATTTACAAATTTAGACAATTAGTAGTCTGAAGAATAGTTTTCTCGTAAACTCTATCGTGTAATCGATAAAAGTTAAATTTGAGGTATGTGATGTTATAGTATCATCTTAATTTTGTTCTATCGTGTAATCGATAAAAATTTTATTTGAAGTGTGTGATGTTATTGTATTATCTTAATTTTGTTGGTTAATATTATCTAATGACAGGTATCTATTTGCATAGTGACAAAATAATAATGCAAAAAGGGAGTTCATGTTTGATAAAAATTATTGTTTAATTCTGAATGCTTAATATTGAATTACAAATGCTGAATTCATTAAGCAATTACAGAATAAGGAATAAGTTAACTTTTATTACTTATATTTTGTATTGTAGTTTCAACACCACTTATTTCATTATTAAGAAGTTTATTTTTTTTATTATCAAACATGCTGAATGAAAAAAGTGCTTAATCCAATAATTTTAAGCATTAATTGTCGTGATCAAACAAGCCCTTATTCCCAAATGATGGTAGTGGGTTAAGCAATATGATCGCATATATACAAACCAGGTTTTGGAAGTACGCAATTATCCAATTAAACGGTATCCACTATATTTAGTGTTTCAGGCCAAAACAAACATTCCAAGCTATAATAGTGTTTACATTTTTTTAGTATTTGCATTCAGAATTAAAATGAATAATAACAAAGATGGGACGGTTTTAACAACTTACAAAATAATAAGAATGATAATTCTAAAAAATTTGGAACATCAATACATCATCTTTTTTTCGGGGGTAAAGTATAGCTAACTCATTTTCGTCCTTTCAATAAAATTGTAATTTCCTCGTCTGAGAGAATAATTATTTTGAATATGTTTATGGTGACAATCATTAATGTTTTAATGTGACGAAAAATAAATACTTTATCCTCACAACTGATAAATCATATTTTTCTCCATAAAAAAAATAAAAATAAAATTCAAGTGTCTGGAAAATGCCAGTCCTATTTTCCCTGCGTTAGTGGTAGGCTGTTGTGGATATACTAGGTCAGAATTCATTAGAACTGGCTCTATTGGGATAGGAGATACTGGTTAATCCATCTTTCCTCTTGAATGTCGTATTTATATATAGTCAGCGTGATGTGCGTGAGTAGAAGCAGAGATTTTTATTGTTCTTGGGCAACAGGCTTTTGTAGCGTGTATTTCTATGATATGTTTCTTGCTCTTTCCATTATAAATATTTTTGAGTTTGGCTACAATTACACACACAGTTGGGGAACCCACTCTTCTCAATACAAACACAAAAAACAATGATGGGGAGTGAATTCAGGGCTAAAAACACCATTACAACAACAGATATGCATATGAAAAATGCACAAAATGGTCAAGAGATGATTAGATGTACAGTAGGAGGTACCAAGTTGTGTAACCAATCCTCAGTTGCTGGTTCAAGTAGTTTGTTCGAATTACATGGAACTTCAACAGAATCCCAGCTGCTGAATACTTTGCGTATCTTCTGACGCGGGTTAATCAAAAGGGTCCGGAGTTGGGACAAATTTTCGAGCAGGTATTTCAGGAGCTCAGTTTCATGCGGATGGCCGTAGAATCCATTTATTTCCAGCTCAGTGATGGAGCGTTGATGACATTCCGGGAGTTGCCTTTGAATCGGCGCAGTTTTTTTGATGTAGCTGGGGGTAAACAACTGCAAGAAAGAAAGAAAGATCTTCGTAACCGTGAAGATCAACAACTTAAAAAAAAAAAAAAAAGCACTAGGGTACAAAGTTCATGGATCCGAGAAGGAAAAAAATAAACAACTTTACATTGAGCTGGAGATTGCGCAACAAGGGGAATGCTTTCAGCACATATGTAGCCCAACCAAATTCGTCTTCATCTAGGAAGGGGAAAACAGTGAGGCTGAGTTCTTTGACACTGCTGAATTCTAACACCTTGTCTGGAAACTTTATCTCCTGCATTGGAAGAGCATTCAGTAAACATTGTAAGTTATCTCAACATGGTGAAATTTAGTATGTATGCAAAGCAACAGCTTATAGGTGACTTCATTGAGCTAGCTTACATGTAAAGCCAGAACCGACAGCAAATTAAGAGCCTTCAAGTGAGGTACATGGTAAGCAAACCTCGTCAATGCAAAACTTACACCCTCTCGTCTCTTCTTACCAGTGAAAGATAGGTAGGTTTCGACTAATCTCGTAATGTTTCTGAACGAAAAAGCCACAAATTCACCCGTGTACACAAATGTAGCAAGATTTTCAGCTCTGAGTTGGATGCTTTCTAATCTGAAGCAATTTTTTACACACAAAAACTTCAAATAAGACTTGGAATCAGGGAATCTCAGGTGGACAAGGTAGTTGCAGGCGTGCAAACTCAGCTTTTCCAGGCATGAACAGCTCAACAAAAAAGCATCCATCTGTTGATCACCGATAGTAACATGTCGTAGTTCAACAGTGATCAGAGAGGCGAGACTGCATCTATGGCGAATAGAACCGAAGTTGCAATAGCCCAGTCGCAGATGCTTGATCATACATTTCCTGAGAGGGGAACTGATGATAAGCGAGCATGGAAACGTGTAGTGTTCGAATTTATCTACCGACAAAGCGCCTTCTCCTCTGGAGGAGGAAGAGGAATGCCATTCGGAAAAATCAAAATCCAGGCTCTCAGCTCCCTTGATAAATGCAAACAAAATCCACCTAGTAATATGACTGGAAAACTCTTTACCCAAATGAAAATGTACAGCCAATGAATCCAATTTCACATCTCTATGAAGCTGGTGCATCAGATGATCAACTGTCTCCACAAAGTAACGCCTCCTTTGCGCGTCAGATTCGCCGTCAAAACACCATTTAGAATCAGTTTCAGAACAAACTCCATCACCCAGAATGCCAACAGAGTCACATAATATATGGACATGATAAGTCCATACTGATCTCCAACTCCGTGACAAGATACTAGTCCTTACTGCGTCTCTAATTGTAAGCCTTGAAATGATATTGCTTAGAATTTCATTCGGAAGTTCGATCAGACGATCTTTTCTTGCCTACAAGATTAACTAATCTTAACAAGGAAAAAAGGCTGGAAATTTTTTCATCTTCTACAAAACAACATATTATTAAAACAGTAATTACCCCTGTTCTGGCAGCTTTGCGTCCCCACCGCATGATGGGCAGGCCAGATTTCACCTGTTTCATACAATGATGAATTAGCTAGACTACAAATTATTCATTCATTCTGAGACTCCACGAAAACCCACAAGTAAATCTTTAAAAAAACTACAGATTATCGAGCACAGCAGAGCACAGAAAGCAAGAGATTTGTCAGTCAGTAAGAAGTTCAAGAACAGAGAACTATATACTATGTACATACATAATTGAATGAATCAACCATGAGCAGAGCCTACAGAGGCGGCTACCAGCAAAAAGGATTGAGGTAGATTAAATTTGGATATTAAAAGAAAAGACTGTAATCAGCTCATTCACCATAAACTACCCAGAATGCTGCCCTGTTTCCCCTTCCTTTTTCCTCTATCAAAAGAGCCCCAGAACAAAAAGCCAAAAATCGATTCTTTTTTTCCATAAAAATCAAGGCCAATAATCTACAAATTGGCGCAATTAGTTGCAGAGTCATGATCCGACACTAACAGTTAACTTCCACAAATGGGCAAAAGAATTCAAGCAAGAATCATATAAAATAATACCCAAAAAAAAAAAAAACAAACAAAAAGTTTGAAGATATCAAGGAAGAGTGGTGGAGATCAGAAGAAGAAGACCCAGAGCCAACAACATACACACGCACCGGATCAGGAAGACGCAGGCCACGAAACGAGGCGGTGGGCCGGGAAAAAATGAGGATTGCAATCGGCGGTGACGGTGTGGTTTCTGGTTGTGAATTTATTGTCGGGTTCGGACATATTTTTAGTACTACTACTAGTATTTTGATGCAGTCATCATGGCTAAAGTAAAGAGTTAAAAAGTAGACGAGGAATACATATGATTTTCTATTCAGATTTGGAAATAACTACAAAGTACAGACAGTTGGATTCCGAATCCGACTGCTACTGTGAGAAAAAAAAACACTAGCGGCAATGCCCATTGTAACTTGGAAACTTATAAATACGCCCCAGTTTTTTAACAAAGCCAACCTTTTTTAGTACTCCTTCCATTTTCATAATATGATTGATTATTCAGTTTAACTTTCCATTTTTAGTACTATCTAAATTAGAAAATCATTTTGAGAGTAATGAAATATATACAATAACATAAGATGATGATCCCCGTTAATAGACTGACTTTCCATTTCATATTGTTCCAGAAAATACGCTGATGTCTCTATGTAGGATTTTTTTTTTTTTTTTATGAATTTTCAAATGTACCCTTAACTCAACTAACCACCAATACATTATTGAGAGTATTAGAATTAATAAAACGACGCAAAATTTGTTTAGGATATTTTAAATTTGAAATTAATGAGTCATATTAGAATCAATAGTCACAAGTTGGCTGACACTAAATACGAACAAAGCAATTGCTCATCATCAAGAACAAGTTAGAGTTTGGTTTTATAAATTATTAATGTCTTCACAAGAATATTTTAGGTAAAAGTTGTTTGTTAAGTTACTTTTATTAATAATGTAAAAATTATTATATCTATTAAATTGGGACATAAAAAGTATTTTGTGCAAATGAATTGTTGCTCCAGTGGTTTGCAAGCAAATGCAGTGGGCGTGGATTTACCCATTACAGTGGGCGTTGGTTTATCTATTTCTGGTGTAGTTTCCGGTATTAAAAAAAAGTATTTTGTAAAAATAACAAAATATTAACTTTTCCATTTTAACTTTGTATATACGTGTAACTGGGTGATGTTATCTTTATACACCTCGTCATCGATTCAATACAAATTGGGCAAATTACATTTTACCCCTTGAGTTTTTGCTTATCTATCATTAACCTCCCCAATTTTGATAATGCTATCATATACTCCCTAAGCATGAGGATAAACATTAAAATGATTAAAATGACCATGATTTATGTATACTTCATTTTCTTTCTCTTTTTTTTTTTCAATTTCTTTTTCTTTTTTTTTTTTACCATCAAAAATGAAAATTACTTAATATTTTATTTTCACATTTAATTATAGTTTAAAAGGTAATTGGAAGGCATTTTCTTTTTGTTCCAATGCATAGGGTTGGCAATCTCTGACACGACTCGGAATTTCGACACGAACCCGACACGAACACGACACGCATATTAAACAGGTCGGGTTAGGGTTGGAAATTTAGACCCGTTTAATATACGGGTCGGGTTAGGGTCACCCGGCAGGTTACCCGGGTTACCCGCGAACATGTAAATTTTGTATACTATAGGGGCAATTTGGAAATTTTGAAACAAAATAACCCTAATTTTACCCCATATATATACCCTTCTTCCATCTCCCTCAGCCACTCTTCTCCTCACTCCTTTTTTTTTTTTTTTTTCTTTTTTTCCTCTCTTCCTCTGCCTCTCGCTCGGCCGGCGGCCGCCTCTTCTCCTCTCTCCTTTTTTTGTGTTTCTTTTTCTTTCTCTCTTCCTCTCTCTCTCGCTCGGCCGGTGGCCGCCTCTTCTCCTCTCTCCTATTTTTTTTGTGTTTCTTTTTCTTTCCTCTCTTCCTCTCTCTCTCGCTTGACCGGCGGCTGCCTCTTCTCCTCTCCTTTTTTCGTTTCTTTTTCTTTTTTTTTTTGTTTTCTTTTAACTTTCCCTTCAATTGAAACCTTTCCTGAAAGATCTGATAAATGGGGCATCTGATCTGTGACTTTCTCTGTGACTTTCAGTCAAAAAGCTCCGGCGTTCAGGCGGCGAGTTGTTGCGGGAATGCAGTGAAGAAAAATATGATTTTAGTTTTCAGAAATTTTAGTATTGATTCCGTGTTTTTGTGTTTTTCTATATAGCAGAATTTGTAATTTGGATTTAATTTTGTAATTTGAATACTGGTTCTTTACTTGTTTGGACTTTGGATCAAGGTGTTGTAATTTATGTGATTTGAAACTGGAATTTTCAGATTTTTTTGGAACTGCAATTTTAGTTTTTCTTGATTTTAGATTTTTTTTTTTATAATTTCGGGTTAACAGGTCGGGTCACGGGTGACCTGAATATTTTCAGGTCGAGTTAGGGTTCTAAAACTCGACCTGTTTATTTATACAGGTCGGGTCCGGGTTGGCTGAATATTATTCGGGTTTGGGTCCGATCCGACACGCCAACCCGGACCCGACACGGATTGCCAGCCCTACCAATGCACACCAATTTCCCACGCAAACATCCCTCACTTCTTCAATCTCTTCAACATTATAATTAGTGTTCTCCATAGCTTTTTTTTTTTCCCTTGCGGTTCCATCTTGATTCCCAAACTCCCATCCTTCACCACAAAGCGAACCCGTAGTCAAAAGAATGGCAGATAGATTTATATGGTTTTGAGAATGGAAACTGTGTAGTTATGAATGAGGAAAGGATTCCAGTACTTTGGACTTTTTCGACAAACACTATGCTAAAGATTGAAATAATACGAATATGCAGCTTATGGCTATTGTAATGAATGAGCTACATAAGTATTACTCCCTCCATTTCAATTTGTAGGTCGTTTTCGGTTTGGAGAGATTTTTTAAAATATAGGTCGTTTTACAAATTGTAGATAAATTAATGACTATTTTTCCAACTTTACCTCCAATAAATGATGCTAATTTATTTTCATTTAGTCTGATTTATAGTTTCAATGTAGTAATTAATAAGGGGCAAAAGAGATATTTAATACATAAATTAATTATTGGATGATTATCTCCTTAATTTAGGTGCCGACGTCCAAAAAGACTTAATTTTGAAATGGAGAGAATAATACATAACACATACACATTTGAAATTCGTTGGAAACTATATATGTACAATTTGGATAATACTCAAGTCGATTAGGCTAAACAACTTAATTATATATTGTCACCAAATTCTATATATGGGCCGGTCTCCCTCTAACTCCACAGCTAACATCAGAGAAAGATGGGGGAATTAACCCACAATGGTGGGCACTCAATAAAATCACTGGTGACTTGAACCTCATCAAGAATAGGCTCCATACTTCCATCGTTAATATTATAAATCCCCATACGACTCTTACTAATCTCCTCTTCAGTGAAGTGATCCAAAGCGGTATAACTAAAATATATACAATCTCCCTTAATTCCGCTCCTTTTAGTCTCGGCATATGGAATCGAAATGGTTGTATTATCTCCGACAAATATAGCATCGCCTCCTAAACTGGTGATCTCGTCTTCCCAACCGCCGCCTCTCGTCATATCCAATCGGTATATATTAAAATTCCAAGTCCAATTGTCGGGCATGTGATCACAATGAACGATTTTGCGCCTAATCACTAACAAATCACCACCTCTTTTGCTGCCGTTGAACGACGATGATGACGATTTCGCTAAATATAAATCTCCATATAGGTTGACGCGGCGGTCGCAATCTATGGGTTTGTAACATGCGTGGACCTTGGGTTCTGGTGGTTTATAACCATCCCAAATCCAAGTTGGTGGTCTGTGACGATCACCATCCCAAGCCCAAATATGTCCCAAAACATTAATTGCGTAAAATTTTCCGTTGAGATAATTCACATCTCGGAATGTACCTTTATAGTAACCCAATTTGCGCCAATGTATACCTTTTCGTGATTCTAGTTGGGTCCAAGTTGTATCTCCAGGTCGCCAGAAGCATAGAATCCCTATGTCTGCATGTATAGTACCGTGGATGACAAGTAAAATAAAATCCGCCGATAATTTTGATGGATTTTCTGACAATACTGCTTTCCGTGCAAAGTTATATAGATTCGGTTCTTTATGATCAAGATGCTCGGGAAAGGTAAAGGTTACAGCATTGGGGAGTTGGATCTGAGCACGCGAGAAAGGGTTCAACAAAGTAACATCTCCGGAATCTAGAGAGAGGGTTAACAGCCATCCGAATCCGGCTTCCACGCAAAGTTTACCTTTGGCTTCGGGGAGGGATAATCTCATGGAAACTTTTCTTTCCGATAGGCTGTAAAACTCGCGTTCATCATTTTGTCTTTTTTCTGGCAACATCAGTAACGGGACCCTAGGGCATGAATCCTTGGTGGCTACTCGCCATGCAGCACAAACTCCTCTAAACGCTATGAAATCTTCCAGATCTGTTAAGCGTGTGGCAATCTCCTCCACCAGATCCGGTGGCAGAGCCGACCAATCGCTGCATGTCGTTGGTTCCATATGCAAGTTATTCTGCCAAAAACAGATCAGGGAAGATTTTTTTTGTATGTAAAATTACAAGGAGTGAGTTTAGTTTTTCATTATCATTGAAGTCTATTGATATAAACAATTAAAGAAAATAGTGCTACTGTAAACCCAAAAACAAAAAAAAAAAAAGCTATCGATATAAACAATTAAAGCTTCTAAGGCCCACCAATTGGAAAACTAACGCAGAATTAAGAAGAAGAAAAAAAAGGTGAAAAGTCGAAAGAAAGCTTACATCGAACGAAGCCAAAATCCAACACCGTCAGATCCAGCAATTAGGAGGACTTTAGAGATGTAATTAGGCAACGACCTTTCCCGGCCGGTGAAGAAGAGATAGGATTGTGTCTATGAGATGCAGAGAGAAAGAGGGGAGAGAAATTGATTGAAACTTTACCAAAACGGTGAAAGATTTGATATAAATAATAATAATAAAGTGGAGGGGCTGAAACAAAGGGGAACGATGCCGTTTAGTTGAACTTACATAGTGAGAAATCTGCAATTTTAGCCTGACGTTTCGGTTTTTTTTTTTTTTTTTTAGCATAAGAAACCCAGACTCTCAAAACGACGTCATCCTGGTGGGTATAAAATTAGAAAAAAAAAAAAAAAAAAATTCTCTATCGGCTTTCCAGCTCCAGCCCCAACCGCCCTGTTCTTGGGGGACGGGACAAATTAGAGTTCTGATGATGATTGTTTCGTTTATGGTTAATTCATTCAATCGGTGTTGAGCGAAACACTCAGTGATCGGTAATGGCCATGCCCCTGGAATTGGATTGGCGTGCCCTCATCCAAGGTATGCGATTTCGTATTTGTTTGGGCTACTGTATGATTTGTTGTAGTTACTAATTGAAAGTTAACAGTGTGATTATTTTGTTGGTTGGTGGCTATGGACATTTCGATGCCACCCTACGTTTTGAAAAAAGTTTGGATGGGGATGTTCCCATGATACCCCGGATATCTATGATTTTGATTTAGTAGAGCTCATTAGGGGGTTAAATTTTTCTAATAAATCATAACTTGTAATAAAGCATGCAAACTCTCCCTTGCTAATGTTTTTCTCCGCAATTCGTATATTTTTTAGTGTGGTGTTTTGTTCTACTCTCTCCGTTCCATAATTACTGTCCAGTTTGGATTTTCATTTCTAGTTCAAATTGTACTAAAGTTGAAATCTCAAAGTGAACAATATTTTTGAGACAGAGGGAGTATTATATAAAAAGGAATGGCTAACTGACTGCTGATGTAGAATTTAGCAATTAATAGCTTGTTTAAAAGATAGTCAATATTTTATGCGAGGTAATTCAGTTTAGTACTAAAATATCCTAAGATTCAACTGATGTTAATAAGGTTTTCAACTGTGTTTCATTGAATTTGATTAGTAAATGATGAAGGATGATGCAAAGTTTTTTTTTTTTTTTCTTTCTTTCCAATTAATTTGATTTTTTTTTTCAGGCATATTATAGAATATTTGATGCTGGTCCTTCAGCCGTTTAGCCACACTAATTGCGGCACCAACTGTTGATCACAGGAGAAGTAGAGGAAGCCATAGATGATAACTAATGAGGGGAGAACTCATGTCTGGATTTCCAGAATTTCAACTCTTTTTAGCTACACCTCATGAGGGCCTTGCAAAAGAAGAATTGAAGCTGGTGAACATTATCTTTTTTCCGTGGCGTTATGAAAATAGCATTAGCAGGAATAATATTCAATTTAAGACAAATTAGTTCCTGCTTGATCAATCAAAACCTGTGTTGTACCTCTAATTTCTGACCCTTGAACTTCCTAGCTTTCCGCCCAAGTATGGTAGCTCGTAGCACATATGGCAGCAAACAGAACTTTCTGTTTGGTTTTCTGATACCTCCATGTTCTCAGAATATTACCAATGCTAGCCTCAAAGAACCAACCTTCAAATCAACCTTAATCCAGCTAAAAACATTCTACAACAGCAACTGAGAAAATGGACAAAGGAAGAAAAGATGCTCAACATTTTCAACAGTACCTGAACATAATTTACAACTCATTGATTCTTTTAACAGCTGCATTCTAGAAAACCTTTCTTGCGTCAATAGACGATCTCTTACTAGCAACCAACTTATAAAACAGTGTTTCTAAACATTGTATTGTCCCTAGATGATTTTTGAATAGTAGCAACGTTCCTGTACACCTATTAACCATCTATAACCTGATTTCGCAATGTACGTCTTCCCAATTGGTTCTGTCCAGATGCCCTGCCGGAAACCATCTTCCAAATTGTTCTTTACTAGTAGCAGCTTCTTCCAATGCTATCCACTATCCAAAGGAGGATCATACTCCCATAATTTGGTTTGCAATTTGTTGTGGACACATCAAAAATTTAATGCCCATTCATCTAGATTTAAAGGCAATTAAATGACATGTTTTTTAGCTAGTAACTTAATTCTTTTTTCTCCCATAATACATTTTTTTCTTTTGAAAACCCTAGTACAATGATTAAAGGTTTCAATATATGTATAAAATTGCAGTTTTCTAAATAAAAACCATATATCATAAATTTATGCAATCGCAAAACATCAATTCTTGGAAATAATGAGGTGCAACATTGGGTTTCATGCATGGGTCGCCGTAACAACCCTTCCAGATTTGCCCACAATTCATTCGCATTTTTTTTTTCGTTTTTCTTGGTGTTACTTAAGAAAAAATCAATCACAATGTACTTTTTCCCAAAAAAAAACAAAAAAGAAAGAAAGAAACATAATAACACACACTAAACAAATATAAAGACCCTTTATGTTGCATATTATTTATCTTTTCCTATCTTTTTGGATAGAATCAATGAAAGTTTATTGTTGTTTTAATTTACAAATAGTTGATATTAATAATTTCTTCCAACCCCCATTCGTATTAATATCATTTTATCACTTTCGAAAGTGATATCAAAAGTGACAACTCCGTTTCTTTCTACGGAGAAAATGAAAAAAATAATATCGTTTTTTAACGAAAAATATAGAACTATCCCTTTCCCTTTTACCTTATTAAAGCAGAATACAGGATGTTGATGTGGCAACTTCTTATTAAAAATTTTTGGCTCCAAATGCACCATATTGCATTAACCATTCTGCCACGTGTCATCCCTTTTTAAAAAAAAAAAAAATTCTTATCCAAAAAAACAAAAGCTACTTTACAAAAATAGCTACACAATTTTAACTCCAAACATTTATCATTTATCAATCAAATTAAAATAGTATTTAAATTTGTCCATAAACTTATCCCTTTTATTACTCCATATTCTTTCGTATGATTTCTGAATCGTTATACTTTTCAATATTTTTTCTCCTTTGGCAGATAATTTTTTTATTTTTATAATTATTTTTTGCTAAAAAAAGAAAAAAAAACAAATGTGTAGTTATTTTATTTTTTTCAAATCAAGAATTCATTTATCTATTAACATAAAATTAAAGTAGAGGGACGCCCGAGTATCTGTCTGGGCCAAGCATCTAGTTATTATTTATTAGGACATACAAAGCTTTAAATAATAATAAAGAGATTATAGTCCACGACTAAAGTGCTAGTAATATACAACCCTACTTCGAGAATACCATCTCACACCAACGAAACACTTTGGAGCAGGACACATTGGCACACAACATGATTGAAAAATTTGTTCTTTTCCTACTCCAATTTTCACACCAATTTTCCACACAAACATCCTTCAATTCTCCAATCTCTTCTCTTCAACATTATAGTTTTCTCCATAGCTTGGTTTTTCTTCCATAAAACCTCCCCAAAATCACTCTGTTCTTTTGCCCTTTGGTTAAGAGTTAAGACCTCTTGTATTTTTTTTTTTTTTTGGCCATTTTTCTTAATCTTCCTCCATTTCATATCCCATATCATAAATGTGTATAATGATGCACTAACTACTAATTAATAATACTCTATTGTTGTTAGTAACATAAAATTAATTTTTTCTTCCCCCAAGAATGGATGTGGTGACATTCGGCATCATAATCGGAATAATTATTCTATTCTTCTGTGCAGTTTGTGTCTTCACCATTGAAGGCACCTGCAAAAACCGTAGTTAGTTTTCTTTTTTTTCATTTTTGCGGTTTCTTCTTGATTGCCAAAATCCCATCTTTCCCCTCAAAACCCGCCTTTTAACACTCCCAAAAACCACTCCCCACTCACTCCAATAACGATAAACTGCTATTGGGCAACTGCCCATTTTGCAGAAATCCGAGTTTTTTATATTTTCCTTGTAGTCTAATTGGTTTCATTGACTGAAGAAGAGATTGAAACTGAAGAAAATGGGAGTCAAAATTGTGGGCAAGATCCGTTCTTGGAGAGTAGTACTAAATTTTTGGGTTGTGGGTTTAGCTGTTTTAGTGGTTTTATGTGGATTCTCCAGTGCTCATGAAGCTGGCCATGGAGATTCACATTCAACCGGTCATCATCATCACTGTAATCACGGCCACGACCACCACCACCACAGTCATGATGATGAGGGAAAGCATCATCATCGGCATAGTGAAATGACGATGAAGAAGAGGACGATGTTGCCGGAGGAGCTGGCGGAGGAGGAAGATTTGAAATTGCTCCGATTTGGAGGTGGGGACCACCACCATCATCATCACCATGACGATCACGATCATCATTTCGGTGCAGGTTCAGATGCCGAGCTCTCTGGCCTTCGTAAGTTTCCATAGAGCATCTCCCCCTTTTATTTTCTTCTGCTATTTCTTTCTTCTTTTTGGTGGCATTTGTGTCATTGTGTGGGTCAGATGTATCCGTTGAATAAACATTTTGCTGCTCGGAATGAAGTGTGTCTGAAAGAATTTACGAAGCTCTGACAATTTTCCCTCTTGAATTTTTATGCTATGATATTTGTGTTTCCATAATCGTTTGGCTAACTGGTGACTAGTAACCATCTTTCAAGTTTCTAATTTGTACCATTTCCCTGTTTATAAGTATCAAACTTTTGGGCTTTTCTTGGATTGGTTATGATCATGTATGATAATGAATTTTTCAATTCTGAAAGTACTTTTGTCACCTGTGGCCTGTGGAAAATCGGTTTTGGGAAATTGGAAATTGTCAGACTCGGGTGAAGAATGTAGGTGACCAAGTACTCACCCCTATGATAGCTTAGGCTGATGATCTTTTTCCGAAATCTGCATGCTTTTAGTTTTAGGCTGTAAGAATCGATGGAGTTGATTACTGGGAGAGGTATATGCAAGAACATGTTACTGTACTTGGGGTGTGGCATTGTATGACATCATTATGGGCGATAAGTTTGTCGGTGTTTAAAGGGTTCCTGGTAAAATTCTTGTCCATTATCTAACCAATGTGCTCTTGCATGGTAAGGTGGTATCTGTAATGTTTTTTACATCACTAACTGATCGAAGCATTTAAATTCGGGTGGAGTTGCTGAATAAATGGTTTACTCCATGATTTTACGATGTGCATTTGAAGAATCTGTAAATGTTAAGGACCCCTTTTGTAATTGCCTGAGCTTATTATACCTTTGTTCAACTGTACATTTGGTCTTGTTGGTTGCAGCTCTGTCGTTTTCAGATGGGGTATGAACTGCTAAGTTTCTTCTTGTTTTTTGTTTCCTGCCCTATTTTATTAATAAATGAATTTATAAATCAAATTTTCTGGCTCGTGTTAACTTCTATACAAAATACTTCAAATTCGTTCCTTGCCATTGCCATTTCTTTTTGTTCACTTGTTTTGGTCTCATTGGCAGGCCTCTGGATTCATGCAATGGGTTGCTCACTCTTGGTGAGCCTGGCTTCCCTTATTTGCCTAATTATTTTGCCTATAATCTTTAGTAAGTAGCTCGAGTTTCTTACTTCTCGTCCTGATTATGTTCCTATTTTGCTGCTTTTTTCCCACTAACTGAATTAGCATATTATTATTGTATTTTGCAGTTCAAGGAAAGCCATCAAAGGCCGTGGTCGACTCCCTGGCTCTGTTTGGGGTTTGATTTTTGTACCTTCTCCTCTTCATTTTACAAATCTATTTACATAAAGTTTGCTGTCCACAATTAAGTCTTTAGGTTTCCTGTTTGTAATGCATTTACTTGTTCCGTTTCTGCTGAATTGTGATATTTACAGCTTCTGAGTTTGCTTGGGATACTCTGGCAGATAATCTTACAAATTTCCTGATGATAGAATTCACTTGTACCAATCCTCTTAATCACTAAATCCAGTAATGTGAAAGAATTATTGTTTATATCTAGTCTAGCTAGCTTTAAGAAGATTGCACGAATTTCGTTTCTCAACCCCTTTGAATGAATAATGTTTTCATGGTGCATCATGCTAATCTTCTAGTCTTTTATCTAGTAATTTGGTGACTCTTTAAGATGCATCAGTTATTATAGAGAATGCTTCATCTCAACAACAACAACATACCAGTATATTCCCAACTCGGTTGGTGTCTGGGGGGTCAAGATGTACGCAGCTTTACCCCCTGTATTTCAATACAGAGAGTCTGTTTAAGTAGTACGACCCAAGATGCATTGGTGCATTGATATATTGATTTCCGGCAACTTCACCAAATTAAGAAGCGCCAGAATTTGAATGAGCCATTTTGATCTAATCCATTTTTAGCACAAAGCTGAAAGAATTGTCAATAACGACTCTTCCAGCTCCATTTGCATTGGATAAATAGAGAATGCTTCATTTAATCATTTGAAATACTTATCTAAATTCTTCTGTTGAAATTGATCCGTTATTGAATCTTCTCATATATCTCTGCACCTGCAGGCTGGAGCTATGCTGGGAGATGCCTTTCTTCACCAACTTCCTCATGCTTTTGGTAACTTTTTTTGTTCTTGAGAAGTTCTAGTGTGTCACTTACATGTGATACTGTCCTAAAGTTTGTGATTAATTTGATGAGTATACCTTGATTCATACTCTTGCTCATTTGGGTTTTGATGCTTTAGATTTTCATAAAACAAACTAAATTATTGAGAACAGTACCCGGGTACTGCTTAAATTCTTTGTCTTCTGCTTCTAGACTATATCTGCAGTGTTCTCTTTTACCTTAAGCATATGTGGTACTAATTGGAGCATAACAAACTGTTGCTTTGTGAAAATGAGCCAAAGTTTCATCCGTGAATGAGCTCTTTCAATCTTGATACTGAATGATGCGCCACTTAAGAATTGAAATACAGGTGAAAAATAGACTGAATAGTCGGCATGCTCATTAAATTCTTCAGTCAATCAATTCCATGTAGGTTCTGTGTGTTCTTAATTGTTAATCTTTTGAAGCTTCTCGGTTTTCCTACTGCAGTTTTTCTTACCATCTTAATCCTTCCCAGCGTTAAAACTGGTACGATGTTACTTGCAGGTGGTGCGCACTCCCATTCTCATGATCATGATCACGAACATTCTCATGTGCACGATCATTCTGGAGATGGGCCTTTTCAGTCACATGCTCACTCTCTTGAAGATCTTTCTGTGGGATTATCCATTCTGGGTAAGACTGGGCATAGATAATGCCCACGTGGCAAAATTCATTTTTGTTTGCTTCTGTTGATTTCTTTATCTGGCTCGTTTTTTAGCTATATGTGATGTGCCGTTTAGGTATTAATGTGGTTAATGTTGTTGCAGCTGGGATTATATTGTTTCTTATTGTTGAGAAGCTTGTGAGGTATGTTGAGGATTCATCTGGAGGAGTAAATACATGGAGTCGTGGTCATCATCATCATCACCATAAAAAGGGTACCAAGCTGGAAAAGGAAAATGAAGCTGATGAGAATCTTCAGCTACCCCAGGATGATAAACAAAAGGATCTGACAGACTCCAAAGAAGTGTTCAATGGAGGTTCTATTGATTCTAGTACTAGTGAAGAAAAGCTTCATCCTACTCTTAGGAAGGTAGGCACCAGAATTTGTACTATGTGGGGTTTAAAAGCTTCATTTGCATGCAACTTTTGTAACTAAGTTTCTTGTGATGGACTTGATCGAACAGAGAAATACTGGTGAAGAGGCTGCTGAAAGTAAGACTGGTTCAGTTGGTGCTGAAAATGGTGTTTTAAATAATGTCTCGAGAAATGATGAGCTGAAACCTGAATCCAAATCATCGAATCTTGTCTTCGGTTATCTGAACCTTTTTTCCGATGGTGTGGTATGATCTATTATTTTCTGCCGTTTCATAGTATTTTCCCTAGCTTATTTTGTAGCACCTATATGGATGGGTAATGACAAATTTTAAGAACAATAAGAAAAATGGACAATTGATCATGTAGTTGCCTTAGATTTCTGAGGATTTCGTTGTTATCATGCAGCACAACTTTACGGACGGGATGGCTTTGGGCAATGCTTTTCTGCTGTATGGATCTATTGGAGGGTGGTCCAGAACTTTATTTCTGCTCGCTCATGAACTTCCTCAAGAGGTTGGACGACTTCTTTTTTGCTGCTGTTACATTTTATGTCCTTCTGTTGTTCTGATGTGTCTTCAGTTGAGTGTTATTGTGTCTTGCAGATGGATGTTTCTTCTATTCTTTCCAATGCATTAGCTACTATTTTTATGTTGTTATAAAAAAAGGGTCCATCTTTTGCTTGAACTACAATGATTTTAGGGGAATAATTGGTTTACCATAACCACAAATGTAAATATAGATTGAACTTCTTTACTCCTTGCAAATATTTGTTTTTTTACTTGTGAATTTCATATGTCAAAGCTATTTACATATATTGGAAGCAGTCACACGTTTCATTTCTTTTGTCCTTGTTCCCAGTGTTATCCCTTTTATTTCATTTCATTTTCCGTACCGCTGTTAAGTTTTTGACTATGATCCATATGTATAACGCAGATAGGTGACTTTGGGATACTGGTGAGATCTGGTTTTAGTGTCTCAACAGCCCTCTTTTTTAACTTCCTCTCTGCACTTGTGGCACTAGCAGGAACCGCTTTGGTAATCTCTCTTACCACGATCACGTATTCCAAACATCTGCTTCTGTTACCAGCCTCCTCTAATAAATTGTTTAGTTAATATTTGCTGTCATGGATTAAAGTTCGTTTATGATGTCAATATTTGTTCCATGTAGGCTTTGATGTGGGGCCAAGATCCAGGGCACTCGTCCTTGATAGAGGTAAGAACTGACAACCTTTTCAGTTTAGGGGATGGACACTGAGTTTGTAAGTGCTCAGTAAACGTTTACTATGCTTTTGTGGTTTGGACAGGGACTTACAGCTGGTGGATTCATTTACATCGCTGTTGCCGGAGTCTTAGCAGAAATGAACAATAATGGTAGCTCGAGTTTTAGAAGTGGAGCAATCCAATTAGTGTCTTTGGTGGCTGGCATGGCTGTTGCTCTAGGTATTTCCCTTGTCGAATGATACTGGGAGTAGTTCACCTTTAGGTATTCAGCTACCCGGCACATGTGTTGTTTGTTAGAAGTCATGTACAATGATGATGTATTGTAATATAGCATAATGACATTTCACTGAATTTGCCCTTTACATAGCCAAATGATATCTTGGTTGATTTAAGGCCAGACGCTTGTATTGTTTGTTGTAAACTTGAATTGGAGATGATTTAGTGACTGATGTAGCACACACGATAATACAAGATGAAGCAGACTGATGATTTTCTGCCCATGGTTGGATGATGTTATGTAGTTTTATGTATGGAATTTCAAAGAAGTTAGAGAGAAGGGATCAAAAGTATCTAGATTGTGAAAACAAAATACTAACTAGTACTAAACCCAAAAAAAGAAAAAAAAGAAGAAAAAAAACCCTAACTAGTACTGTATTTTTATATGGAATGGTCCAAGTTTTGGAATAGTTGTGTGCCTCTACAGTGGTTAGCCTGTTGAAGAGGGTTGCCGGCAGGCGGTGTGTTTTCCCGGGGATACCTCCGGCGAACTGCGCGGCGAGGACGTTCTCTTCCCATCACCACCATCTCTGTTCGATCAATTACTTCCAAGAGTTTTGCTTTCCTCCTAAAATTCTCGCAGGATGATTCTTGGGTTTTCGCTGCATTGTCCTGCAACGATAGAACAATGATTTTAGGTCAAAAGAAACGTGACTTCCACAATGAACTTACGCATTAGAATTTAGAAACCGATAAAGTGACTCTATCTTTCTCAAAATAATAGTAATCATTTAACGGTGAATAATACGGGTATATCACCATATATTAGAGGAAAATGAGGAATTTTATTTTATTTTATTTTATTTTTGTCGCAAACACGAGGAAAAATGTTGAACGATAATCAGTGACACAAGAAAGTGTATTTGCGATGTTCAGCATTTCAAAGCCTGTAAATTCTCAAGAAGACAAAAAAATAAAGAAAAAAAAAAACCCATCAACAACCCTAATGGAGATTGCTTACTTTAGAAGGACTAGTTCCAGGAGGGATAGGACACTTGATAGGTTGATCTTCATCTGGGGGTTCAGTTGGGTGTTCCAGTCGCCAAAACTGATCAACATTCATCACCATTCCCTACCTTCTTCTTCCTGATAATCCATTGAATCTACATCCATTTACTTACTTACTATTTTGGGTGACTTGAAGAATGATCCCCAGCAAACCAGAGTCCAGACAGACAGCTGAAAGAAGAAGAAAACAAAGATCCAAAGAAACACATGCAACTTCTTTATATTTATTTACAGGGTGGGTGGGTGGGTTGGTTCTTCTACAAATACAAAGTGCAGTGTAGCCATTGGAACATGTGAGTACCACGAATATAGCTGGGAAAGATACGATCTCCGCAATAACAATAAAATCAAAAGACACAAGACCTCAAAAGTCGTAGCTTATAACCCCACCTTAAAAAATAAACAAAAGGAAAAAGTGGACAAAGGCGTAATTTTTGGCTTGTCATTTGTGTATACAATTTCTTTTCTTTTTTCCCTTTTTCCCAGGCGTTCATGAATACACAGAAAGAATCATTTGTGTATTCATGTTCTTCTCCACTAAGCTCATCCCTCTTACGTTGCTTAATCACATATTTGTAGAGATCAATAACTTATTTCTCTACTGTTTTCTTTACTCTTTTTTTTACAATTCTCTTAATGATAATGTCACTCAAAAATGATACGTGTATTGAGTATTGCCTCGATTTAAATTAGTGTAACACCGTACTTACCACTTACACAAGCGGGAAAAAATCGCTCCACCTTGCCTTTTATAGATGTTCTTATTTGTAAATATCATCATCGAATCACCCCCTAAGTTTACTGGCTAAATTCACTTCATACTTACTGTTGATAATCATTAGTACAAGGGCCCTATATTAATTAGCTTTGATTGAGACAAAGATAAAGGCGGGGGTAATGAAAAGAGATTATCTCCACGCTTTAGATATACCTTTTTGAAGACTAAATCCTACCGTTTTGTTTGAAAATATAGACAACAACAGTTTTATGCTTTCATCCTTTTCTTCTAGGATTTGGAGCAAACACGAAACTAACTTGTTTAGACGGTAAAAAGAAAGAGCCGAAAGATCCAAATAGGTCCACTTTTAGGCTCTACTTTTTTCAATTAGGGCATGCAGTTTCCCTTTAATTATGATTTTAGCATAACTGGCATAATTTTGGACAACTTTTTACCAGAAAAAACAACAAAGTTTCAGTAACATGCAGCCTTGCGCTCATTTGGGACCAAGGAAGGAGTATACATTTAAGCCCTACCCTGATCTCTACACCACAAATATGATTTTAGAGTTCTCCAGGTAACCAATATAGGAGTACTCCAGAGATCAAAACCGAGCACTGCAGTGGAAATTATCTTTTACTCAATGATAGTCCCCTTGTTAAAATGGGAAGGCCGAAAATAATAACTAACTATGAAAGTTCCTAATAACGGCCATAGTCCTACAAAACACGAGGAAAATAAATCAAGCGGCCAGCAATCAAATAGGAAGATCATCCAGCTCCATTCATACTCAGTATTCACATAACACAGTCACACACCACTGATTTTGCTTTCAGCGTTATTCCCAACAAGGATAAGAAACTCTCACAAAGACAAAATTGTGATCATAGATGCATAAGCAAAAAAAAATTGTACAATCACATACCATCATCAAATATAAATGCAATGTAGTAGTTAAAAGCATCTACGAAGGAAAACATGACAACAACCGGGTAATAAATACTACAATAGCATAAGAAAACATGGCAAGAACCGGGTAATAAATACTACAATCGAATAGTTATGAGAAAAAGAATGTCAATGAAACAAAGGATATTGTAAATTTCAAACTAACAACTCATCCAAATAATTAGAGGGAAAAAAGTGATTCATATTCCTACTCTCTGAGGGCCAGATATCTTTGCTAGCCGTAAAACCAAATGGATAGTTAAACAACATCTCTTGAGAACACACCCAAGATTTAAAATCATGTGTCATCTTGACCATAGAATTCGTGAACCACCAAACAGACCTCTGCAAAGGCCCTGAAATATGTACATGAGAGACCAGATGTGATGGAAGTCTGTGAGATATACCGCAAATGCAGATCTACCTTATTATCACAAACTTGTTGGTACCATGTTTGGCCCAGTGACTCCTGAGATCAATTGCATTAGCAAAATTATACCCTTCAGAAACGAGTTTCTCCAAAACCTTCTTGAAAGCCCCCTGGCTCATTTTCCTTCCAGCAATTCTAGCACCACGTCTTTTAGTACTCATAGGCAAGGGATACATCGATATAGTAGTGGTGCAACAAGCTGATTGCCAACCACCACATCCCCACCTGTAGCATTGCTGAGGAGTACCAGTACAAGAGCAAACTGGTATAGGAATGCCGGAAATGTCAATTCCATTTATCTCAAATTCCATGTTTTTCTTTGGTGCTTTGGTACGCTGACCAGATGAATTCCCATTTTCCTTTGAGGCAGCAGGGCCTTTCTTTGGTTTCTTTGATTTCGGGGTTTTGGGGACAGTAACGGCGGGTCTTTTTTTTCCAGTACCAGCTTCCTTTCTAACACCCACATCCTCCACTTTCACCCTAGTATCCTTAGAAGGATCAGGCTGTTGGAGCATCTGCATTTGATGGGATCCAGAAGGCTCCGCAAGCACATTGCTGTTGTATACATGTCCGGGAAACATATAATGAAACCTGTCTCTGTGGTTTATCCAATTGTCTCTCACCATATCCATGTGATCGGGAGGTCCAGAAACCAAATAATCCCGGGATTGAAACATCCCGTTGGCAGCTGCCATGACGCCGTCCCGACCAGATATAAAAGGTTTGGGTTCTCGGTCTACCATGGATGACATGAGCTGCAGACCAAGATTCCCTTTAATAGAAGGCTCATAATACCCCCAGTTTTTCATGTTTAATCCGTCATCATCCATCAAAACTACAGATCAGAACAAAGATCACCTACAAATTAAGTTTATCATTAAATTCCAGCTGCAAAAATGCAGGTATCTCAGCCACATTCCATCAACGATATGAATCACTATAGGGTAAGGTCGCAAAGTAAGATAAAAACCAGGGAAACTTGAACATCAACCCCCTCCAGCAGGGATGGGGTTGAAACTACAAAACAGGACTAACATATCAGGAAAAAATCCACAACATTATAATTCAATCAACACAGTTAGACCAAGTCAATCATAGTCAATGCCATATGCATTACATATTTCCATCAGTAAAATTGTCAATTCTTCGTTTTGGATTCAAGTGCATTTCCATCCTAATTAAGAAAAAGTGGCAAAACTCAATGCATCAAAAACTATATCAACCAAGAGGGCCAAACATCAAAAACATAAGCATTGCATCAGTACCAAATCAACCTGGCGTTGAGACAACGCCGCATTCGCGTGAATCAAGCAAATCTATAAGAAGATGCCCATAACTCTTTACATTAAATAAGAAATCAGAGAAATAAAACATTCCCATCAAAGGAATTCCAGGGGAATAAACATTTCCATATAAAGTTCCAATCTTTAACATTTCAGCAGCAGATCTGACACTACAGAAGGGGAAAATTGACAGATCCAATGCAGCAATTCGAACCATTTATGGAAAATAATCAAAAAAATGCAAACAAAATAAAACCGAAAGGCTGGAACTTTGAAATTGCTGAACAGAAATGATGGGGAAAAAAATGATCAGATATATAATAAACAGATAGAAAGAAATAAATAGAAAGAAAGCGAGGGAGAGAGAAAAAAGGGAAAAAATAAAAACTTACTTGTGGGCAAACAGTTCTTTTAGGGTTTATTTTTGCCTTCTGGAGAGAGGAGAGAGGAGAGAGATAGAAACAGAGAGAAAGAAAGAAAGAGAGAGAGGAGACAAAGGAGAAGAGAGAAGAAAGAAGAAAGAAAGAGAGAGGAGAGAGATTATTAGATCTAAATCTAAGACAGAGAAAGGGGAGAGAGAGAAATGGAGTAAGTTCCTCCTATTAGTGTGTGTGTGTGTGCGCGTGAGAGAGAGAACAACTTTTAATTTGGAAAATGGTGAAAATTATTATTTTTAAAAGAGCATTTCTAAACTTTGTTTTAATAACGAAAATAAATACTCCATTTCCACTTTTATTCAATTTTTACTCAAAAAGTATTGTACCATTTCCATTTATATTTCAGCCCTTTAGTACCGAACCCAACTATATCCTTATCCTAATCGAAGTTAAGATAACCCCACTTCTAATCTAACTTCAAAGTTCCAACTGTCCAAACCCCAAACTTCTAAGTGTGAAATCCCTCCTTTCTTTTGGTTATCACGACAATGAAAGTGAACATACCTATCACATTCAAACTAATCTATAAACATTCTGCAAACGAATATCATGAAAGTGTAAACTAATATTGTGAAAGTGTAATATACCTATTACCTCCAAACTAATCCGTATTCAATCAATATTGAGAATTCTATAAACGAATATTTCCTCCGCTTCTACTGATACAGCACAATTATGAACCATGATAATAAAATTTCCTTTTATTTGATGAACTCCATGAGTCGAATTTCTCAAGTAATACAAAATCTTTTTGGTTATAAAAAAAACAACAAATGAATACTAGAGGTAATTAAAGTTTATCCATTGTAATTAGGGTCGGAGGAAATACGTGTTTTATTAGTGAAACAATATCGTCGCAGGTTTTCCTTTGACATCAAGCAAATCCCCAAACAACCTCAACTACAACTGAAAAATCCACAGTATATATGCCAAAAAGAAAACATAATTGGAAAAATTATAGGCGTGGCATAGCTGAGTATAGATAGATTTTACCGGCAATTTAAACGAACTTTAATACATTATTTAAACATTCAAAGCTCAAAAAGCATGGCAACCCATTAACAACTTTCTAGAACTGTAAGGAAAAAAAAAAAGGCTCTAATGCGTTTTCGCGATCAATTTGCAGAGATGAATATTTGAAAATATATGTCATGCACATTGTAAGCTTGCCATACTTTTGATTCTTCCTTCCATTTTGTTTATAAAACCCGACAGACTCGTTAAATTCTTGTCCAAATAATCATTCATGAACCCCATGTGTGTGATCAAACTTCTAACGATGCTCAAGTTAGTTTTAAGTTAAAAACCTCTTTAAATTGAATCATCGTACTGTTGTTTTCGTGTTCCTAATCTAGCAAAATCTCTGTCAATAATCGTAAAGAAAGGAAAAAATCATGTCTCATCATTTGGATCTTAGTGGAATGAAGAAAAGGAAAAGGGGTGAAAGGGTGTTCAAATTGAAGGCATTTGGTGAAAATGGATACCCTGTTGAGTTCATTCAAGGTGGCTCTTTTGAGCAAAATGTGAGAGCCCTTTTGGAGTTCGGACAAATGGAGATCGGTTTGTGTGATCCACTGCCATGTTGGTCGTTTCAGCTCGAAGTTCACCGTCATCCTTTGCTCCATGTGTTTCTCCTCGTTGTTGAAGAACCAATTCATCTGTCTTTCAGTCGTTGTTGCAAGCATTGTCAATATATAGGTAACCTAAATCACCTTGTTGTTTTATACTCCTTTGTCCCAAAATTATTGTCTGATTTGAGATTTCACTTTTAATATAATTTGAACTAGAAATGAAAACCCAAACTGGACAATAATTATGAGACGGAGGGAGTAATTTTTTTAAGGTTTATGAAACTTATAACAGAATTACTATTTATGTAGTAACCTATACCTTGGCCTAATTTATGGTAGAAGAATTCTTGCATATTTTCCTGCATATCTCATATGTATTTGCTCACACAATGAACAAAAAAATTTAGCTCAGGCTGGGGAGAACACTTGATTTGTAATAAGAAGTATCACTTTCTGCTGCCTTCCAAGGACACAATTTCAGCACATTTAAGCTATGAAGGCCACTTCAGCATGAGTTCTTTTCCTGCTGCTGCAATAGCAACATGTAAGTCCAATTTGATTGAATTACAAGGTCATACTCTGCATGGTGTCTTTCACTCTAATGGTTTTGGACATTTGCTCTGTGTCAATGGCCTCGAGACCGGCTCCGATTTGCCTGGGCATCAGATTATGGACTTTTGGGATCGTTTATGCACTGGATTGAAAGCAAGGTCTGTGTGCCTTTGGCTCGTTTTTTTTCTTTCAACTAAAAATATTTTATGCACATACTGTGCATCAAATTCCCTAGCTTCATTGGCTGGGATGTCTGATTTACGAGTAATGATAGCAACAGTGACAAAATCATAGTGACTGATGATTAACTGTAAGAAGTCTCTATGATTTCTTCGTTGTCTCGTCATCAATCTTCTTTGGCTTTTTATTGCATATGTTGTATTATTGTACCGTGTTTCTTTAAAAAAAAAAAAAAAAAAGAAACACTTCTTAACAATTGTTTTGTTTATTGTAGAGAAGTGAGTTTGAAAGATGTCTCACAAAAGAATGGCATGGATCTAAGATTACTTCATGGAGTGGCTTATGGCAGGCCTTGGTGTGGCCAATGGGGCTACAAATTTGGGAGAGGAAGCTTTGGTGTTACCCAATCAACGTATCAAAATGCCATTGAATCAATGCGAACTATACCTTTAGCATTATTTACTCATCATCATCATCATCTTGGCAATAATGATCAAATTTACAACGAAGTAATCACAACATTGTCAAGGTACCAAATGTTATCAGGCAATATCCTGGTTAATCTTGGTGATATGTTCCACTTCATGTTGGAGCTGAAATCGAAACTTCCGAAAGAAAGCAGTACTACAACCACAGAATCCTCTCATTCATCTGGATTGCTAGTGGATACTTCTTGCAGATGGTCTCCTAAGCGTATCGAAATGGCCATAAGGGTGATCATTGAAGCTCTCAAAAGAGCCGAATTTCAATGGATTTCGAGGCAAGAGGTTCGAGATGCTGCTCGCGCATACATTGGTGACACAGGGTTGCTAGACTTTGTGCTGAAATCATTAGGAAATCACATTGTTGGAAAGTATCTGGTTCGTCGTTGTCTGAATCCTGTGACCAAGGTGTTGGAATATTGCCTGGAAGACATCTCTGATGCATTTCCTCAACAAGATCATCAGGGTTATGGCAGAATCATCAGAAATCGCGATTCGAAGTCGACTAAACCACAGTACAACAACATTACATTAGGGCAGCTTATGAAGGACGTCTTTCGTTTGTACAAGCATATTCTGATAGAGAACAAACCAATATTGGCTCATGTGCCAATGGCATCAAGGATTGTTTTGGACACTAAATTCTTCATCAAGAACTACTCTGATCAGAACCCATTATTCACTCTGGAAAACTCAGGGATTATTGGTTCCATATCCCTCATAAACATCAAGAATGGAGGAGGGGCTGATTCGGTTAGCAAACTGACCATTGATCTCTGTGAATATCTAACTGTGAAGAACAGTGCCACATTCTATGAACTCCAGGTGGAAATGGAGAGAAGATTCAGGGATTTGTACTGGGGATTGAGGAACTTTGTGGTGCAATCCATACCAAATGTAGAAGCTCAAGGATCAGACATGGTTTTCAACATCATCAAGAGGGGTTCAAAGGTTATCTTTGAAGGTGAAATTGTTGGAGAAGAGGAAGCCACTCAAGATCAGATTTGTGGGTATTTTGAGAATTATGATGGCAAAATGGTGGTGGATTGCAGTTGTGGGACGAAACGTGATGATGGTGAAAGAATGGTGGCGTGTGACATATGTGAAGTTTGGCAGCATACAAGATGTGTTAATATCCCAAGTATGGAAGAAATCCCTACTATATTTCTGTGCCATTCTTGTGAGCAAGGCATCTTGCATTTCCCTTCCTTACCTTAAAACAACACAATTTATGAAAGAGCCAAACTGATCATGTTTATTATACCTTTTATTTTAACTTTTTTGCAAAAAAAAAATAAAAAAAATATTCCAAAGAATCACCAGTTAGGAGTAATCCAAGTTCATGGACTATCAGTTCTATTGCTGATAGGTAATCCCCAAACATTGACCAACACAACCAACGATCAAACGATTCCAACCGGTCTAAACAAGAAGCAGTTGTAATTGGACCAGAAGCTGTATTCGCTAACAAAAATGTCAACTACTATGCTAAAGTGTTTTAGTGGTGCTCCACTTCTTTCAAGTTTCAAGACTATATATATTAGCACTCTTGTAATTGACATTCCAACAAACGGCTGATCAAGGAATATCACCACCACAAAGACCCGCAGACGGACTCACGGACGTTACCCAGTGCAACCACCAGTCAGCCGCGCCAACCGTAATAAGCGAAACAATCCCAAGTCCATCTTTTTCTTCCACCTTACACAACAGAATTGATTTGGATCATTGTTCTGCGTTCTGTGTTTCCATCTCCGTACCACTCGGTCCTCCATGGCCAGCAAGGGGATTCAGCTGCGGGGATTTGGTATTACAGCTGCTCGGAAACACCCGGCGCTGATGCACTGAGGGGACCAAAGAGCTGAGCAAAGCAACACGCAGAGAGGGAGAGTCCCATCTCTTCTTCAACCATGGAACAGAACTAGATCATAGCAAACTACTCAGTCATGATCGTCAAGGTATACCAATCAGTCAGTCGACATCCAGGTACCAATTTAACATTATCTACCATGTATCATATTGTATTTCTTCTTATTACAGACGAGAAAACACGTATACAGTATTTCACTGGATTACATGTGTAGATGAACTAGTTTTTGCATTGGGCATGACAGATAGGTCTTTATGGAACAAACAACAGCTTTTAATCACAACTATGAAGTGTGAATGAAACTCGAACCCATTTCAAGAAAAAAAAAAAAAAAACCAAAAAAACTATAAAAATTGTGTTACACAACTGAACATCTACAATCGAAGAGCACCAGCCACGAGAAACAATTCTAACATTACAAAGAAACTATAAAAAATTGTGCGGCAAACATAGTTCCAAAATTTGATAGCCTTGCCAAGTTACTGATCTGAGGAAAGATTGGTCTTACAAGTTTCATCTATGGAGCTGCTTTCAAAAGAAAGAAAAAAGGATGAAAACTGAGATAAAATCTCTGACTATATCATAGTTACAAACAACAAGACCATATCACTGCAAGTCACAATATTTTTCCGTATTACCATAGCTAACAATAATTCCAATCAGATTCTTAATCTGTAGTACATGACGAGAAGCTCATGTTTCACAAACTCTTTGGTCTAGCCCAGCCTTCATAAACACACTTTTACCTTGGAACTCTTCTGTTTCCACACCTATGAGCAAGATAAAGAACTGAACCAATGTACAACTTAAACCCAATTGTTTCACCTATTCTGAATTGTTCTTGGCTAGCGGATAGGATGATATTGAGTGATTCCACGTTTTGGAGGCAACTTTCTCAGAATGAAAAGAACTAAGGAAGACGGTAGTATTTCCACTAACTGCATCACACAAAAAGAAAGGGTCATAACATGGAATACAAAATTTACAAAGAGAAACATTTCAATACCCTGCATAACTGAATATGCGAGTAACTGCAAATACTCCTGAACCAATAACACTCACTTGTGAACAACTTTTAACAAAGAGATGTCCCAAGGGGGGGAAAAAAAACACCTCAAGTGAGTAATTGATTATTTAATTTGATACACCACAGGTTTCTGACCGGAGGGATAGTTCAAGTCAATTAAATCTGCCTCGGCAAGGTATGGCTAACAGATCACGATGGTTTTCGAACATTTGTAGGCAAATGGAAAGCACTAATATACAATAAGTTAACTCCAATTACTTCAGCCATGGCATTGACAGTAGAAGACCCATTTTAAGAGACCATACCAAAGAGACCATACCAACCGAAGAAATTCCTTGAACCAAATAAAACACTAATCTCAATTTTTGATTTAGTGCACCATTGCGTTTTGAGCAGTGACGACCTTCCATTCACATACAAACTCCTCAAAAATGGAGAAGACAAACAACGCAAACCAGAGGCCAGACATTAGATTTGCCAATGATATTTCAACTTGGGTACTTCCCCATGGAAAATATGGAAGTATAGTTCCAGAGACTATGAGCAAAAATCAAAAAGCTAGAACTTACCAGGTAGTAAATGAAGTTTAGAATAGGATGATCCAAAACATCAAGGTCAGCAGCCGCATCAAAAGCATCAAAACACATCTGCAACTCAGCAAGTTGAAGAAGCAGATTACATCAGAAACTAATAAATGTACAATTAACGCCTAAGATATCATTAAATCCATAAGCAATGAACTTTACTCACCATGATGCATCGAATGAGGAAACAAGAGAAGCATATTGTAGTCACATAGCCAACCTGAATGAGACCAATGAAGAAAAGTGTGTAAGTAGCACATCAAAAACAATAGCAGATGACACAAATTATCTCGTGAACTACCTCCTGTAGCTTTTTACGCCTTCCCTTGGATTCTACGGGGAACCGCTTCAACATTAAGAAGAGCCTGCACAAGGATGCAAATATGAGGCTAGGATAATTACACAACGAGACGGAGGAGATAATAGTCCAAGACCAAAAGAGAATCTTATACCTCCCTCCATATAGAAGAAACCCAAGGGCTGCAAATAGAGAGACACCTGAAAAAGACGAAGATTGGGACCCTCAACAAGTTGTTTAACACAAATCGATCAAGAGCTCTAAAGAAATTTTTGTCTAAATAACCTGCAAAGAACATCTTAGCTAATATGATCAGGAACCGAATAGGTTTCCACCAGATAACCAACCACAAGATAATCTGAATCAAAATGAAGAAAAGTTAGTATATACCAATGATGCAACGAGAAATTTACAAAAAACTGTCATACACTAGTAAGCTGTATCAAGCCAATTCAACAAGCCACTGTCCAAATGTACTACATAAATCCACCCATCTTTTAACAAGAATTTTAGCACTAACCACTATTTGGGTGGTGTAAGAGACAGGACATCTTTCTTTATGCAGATAAGTTAACTTGTTCCCAAAAGAGTTGACCAACCAAAGCAAGTGTTTCACCATGAATAGAGTTTAAACGTTACACACAGCATACAGGTACATTGAAACAGATAGAAGAGTGCATCGTCTAAAACTTGTGAATAATAAATACTGCTGAATTCAAAATAACACTATCATAAACTTGCCATGGAACTATCATTGTTTCACAAATCATGCTGTTTGGTTGACTATGGGAACAATGGATGAGGGTAACAAAGTTGGAAAAAGTGAGATGGATAAGACAATACATGAGATTAAATAGGATCAGCAAGAATTCCACTAGTACAAAAAGTGGAAATAACCCAAAAGATAAGAAAATCAAACAAAATACCCGTAATGGTTTGAAAAATGCATGCGAGAGTACAATAACAAATGTGTACTAACAACTACAAAAAATGGAGAAACAAAAACCCCTACGTGAACCCAATTTTTCACCTGAATAAAATACACCACTCCATTAATAATGAAGAAGCTTGGTCTTAGTCCGTCTGTAGAAACAGCACGTGCCTGCAAAATTGAGCAAGAAAGGTTAAGAGATCAACCAAACTCAATCATATCTACACCGGACTGTAATATATTTTTTCTTAAAAAAAAAAGTTATGCCGCGTCTCATATACAATTAGCAATGGTTTTAGCATTCAAAATAAACAGAGAACGGACCTGGTAATATATTTCTGCCCAGAATAGAACTAGAAGCGCGTATGTTGTGAAGAATAAAAGACTCGGCATATCAAGCATTATATGTTGAACAATCTGATATATAGATATCGACAAGGCATATATGTTAGGAACAATAGAAAAAGAACCAACAAAATAGAATGGATGCATAAGTGATGGTCCGCACCTCTGGGTGTAAATTTTGGACATCCCGGCGGAACACGAAAACCAAGCACCGAACTGAATAGAGAAAAGAAACTCGATATCACAAATCAGCCAGAAAAGAAGATAACAAAACAAACAGTTGAAAAATCTTCGGGGGATAAACAAATGAAATCATTGTATACGGGAAAATAATAAAAGAACATTTACACACAAATCAAAACAAAGTTTTATTTGCTCAATAACTATGCGTAAAAGAAATGGACAAACCTCCATTCACGAAGAAATTAAGAAAGTGGAACACTTTCTGAGTAGTCCAACCATACTCTGGAACTCTCAACTGTATACGAACCAATTGAACCTGCAAGCACAGATGCCATATTAGCCTCAACGCTACACCATTTCCAACATTGCATCCATGACTAACATGTAATTTTTAACCTTACAACTGTGCAGAACATTCAGCTCATGCAAAGGGAAAAGAAGAACAAAAAGCAAAACGAATCATAAGGAACTTTTGGAAAATTAATTTGATCCCAATATTCAACCAAATGAAACAAGCAACAAAGCATAAGCTACGGGCAAAAAAATCAACAAATATCCTTTTCAGCTTCCAGCAGCAAGAAACATTCTAACAGAGAATCCAACAGAGCAAAAACGCCTCGACAATTATTACATAAGGATGCATCCAAGAAGAAAACTAACGAAACAGGAAGCTCGAGAAAAGAAAAAGAAGATTAAGAAAACTGTCAATTCTCATCATTCAGATTCACGAAGATGATAATATGAACCTCTATTCGGCGGTAAATGGAAGTTAAACAGATAGAAAAACAAGGGAAAGGAGAGGAATAATACGAGGGCAACAGCGGCAACGATCCCGTAAAGGGTGGCAAGAAAGTGGAAAGTACGGTCCTGCCAAACCGGGGATTCATTAACTTGGTCCCACCAACTCATCGCATCTTTGAGGTTGTGCGCCACCGTGACCGCCGGTGACCCCACCATCTCCATCGCCGGGAAAAAAGAAAAAAGAGGAAATCTCTAATATACGAAAACCAGATCAAAATCAGGATTCCGATGATTTATTTAAAGGGAGAGGGGGAAACAAACAAATGGAAGGATTATCCAAAACTTTGTTTCCTCAATTTCTCCGTTTCGGGGAATTTGGGGGAAAACAGCCGGCGAGGGAAGAGGGAGACGGTGTTTGTTGGTATGGAGTTTTTTGGGATTTTAATTAATTGTGGGAGGAAGGAGGAGAGGGGGAGATGAAGCGCGTGAACGAATTCAATTGGGGGGAAGAACAAAGGTTATAAGGCACGCGCTTGGTGGGACATGTACACGTGGGTGCCGACGGAGCTGCTGAATTCGCGTCTGGCAGGCGGTTATAGACTATAGAGAATACAGGAGGCCGCGCTGGCTGAATTCCCCAATTTGGATTTTCCGATTGATTGATACATATATATATATTGATATTGTATAGTCATAATTTTTTGATGTTTCAGAATGTTCCGGTCCCTATTTGGGATTAGGCGCTCAAAAATTCCACGTTACACCAATTTATTTACCCCATAAGACTCCAAAATTATTCACCCAAACTTTTTCTGATACCCTTAACACATCGCTCTAGAAACAAAGTTAAGTGAAAGTTTAATTATAAAATAACTGGATCAAATTTGTTTTCTGTTTACGGAAACAATGGTGTTGTTGGCCTACGTTCTTTTTCGCCTGATTGCGCAAATCAAATAATAGACCAAGTTTAACCTAAAAGAGTAATAATGAGCGATAGGGATTCATCC